GGGGGGGGGGTCCAAAAATCATTCACTAGGAAATTGATCCTTTATCTGAACTTGTTAATTCTCACTTTGGGGAAGCTCAGATATTTGCAAGAGTGGGGGAAGGGGGGGGGTTGCTTACTTTGCTCTAATTAGTAAAAAAATACTTATAGCCAAGATGGGAGGTTATTATTATATACACCCAAGTCTCCCCTTCTAAACATATAGAAAAGCCAAATATGTATATAGTGAAGACAAGTTCTCAATCCGATTTTTTTCTTATGTATACATGTCTCTGTTTAGACCATGTTCCTACGGTGTTTCCTATTATCGAGGAGTACTCGGCTTCGGAGATCCAAGCAGTTCTTGCAGAACGTAGAGTTCCTTCGTTCCTTTCTTCCTGGATTCTTTTAGAGATGCAAATTTTAAAAATCAAGGTACATTTATTTTTTATTTTAATACAGATCATACAAATCAAGGTACATTTATCATCTATCTTGATACAGATAATTCAAATAAAGGTGGGTTTATCATCTATCATACAAATCAAGGTAAGTTTTTTATCTACCTTGATACAAATCATACAAATCTAGGTTAGATTATTGTCTATATTGAAAAAGATTATACAAATCAAGGTTATATTATCATCTATCTTGATACAGATCATACAAATCAAGGTTAGTTTATAATCTATCTTGATACAGTTCATACAAGTCAAGGTTAGTTGATCATTTATCTTTATACAGATCATACAAGTCAAGGGTTATCATCTATCTTGATACAGATCATACATATCAAGGTTCGTTTAATATTTTATCTTAATACAGATCATACATATCAAGGTTCGTTTAATATTTATCTTAATATAATCATACAAATCAAGGTGGGTTTATTATCTATCTTGATACAGATCATACATATCAAGGTTCGTTTAATATTTTATCTTAATACAGATCATACAAATCAAGGTGGGTTTATTATCTATCTTGATAAATATCATTCAAAACAAGGTTTATCATCTATCTTTATACAAATCATACAAGTTACCCTTAATATCATTGTTGCAGACCTGATTTAAAACGGTAAAACATGTTTGATTCCACCGGAAGCTCCGTTAAATAGCTCGAAATTTTAAAACAATTATGACTATTTATAACTATTTTTTTAGGATGAGAACGTATTTCCTTTTGGAGAAGGACTGGAACCCAGTGATTATCTCTCCTACCCGGAGTCCTTGAATTTTGTAAACCAATGCAACACAAGAAACCTCACTAACCAAGCACGTAAACAATACAATCAGGCTAGTAAATCAACCAAGACTCCTGAATCCAAACCTTGGTATCAGGAGTTTGTGAGATTACTAAGAACCCTGTATCCCGCTAGTCCTGTGATAGATTTAACCGATACTTTCAATGAACTACTTGCCCTGGAGTTTGATGATGACTCTCGTCTCCAGTCTTATCTTCCACTTCGTTTCTCCGTCCTGACCGAGTCAATTATTATTCTCAGCTTCGACGTTTCCGAACACAACCTTGGTTCAGTTACAAGATTCAGTCCTGGATTTCTTAGTGACAACCAAGCCAAGCTTTTGTTTATTGTTTATCAGCTTGTGAATATAGTGAAAACCTACCAGGATTTAGGTGTTTATATAGGCGAGCTTCAACTTAAAGATTTTACGATAACTCAAACTCTTCATGTAGCTCACAAGCCAAAGTTCCTGGAGAACCTCATAAAAACTCCCTGTAAACCTGAAACCAAAGATTTAAATGTTTGTATTGAGACTGATAGCATCTGTGATAAAGTACTTGGTTGGGTTCAGGGTAGGGTTAGCAACCTGGAGTATATCCTGTACCTAAACCAGCTTTCAGGACGTAGGTTCGGAGATCCAAACTTTCATCCTGTGGTTCCCTGGGTTACAGATTTCACATCCAGGAACGGAAAATTGCGAGATCTGACCAAATCCAAGTTTAGATTAAATAAAGGCGACGAACTGCTGGACCGGACCTATGAGAGCGGAGATCACCACGTTACAGCAGTTCTCTCCGAGATCACCTACTACACTTACCTCGCTAGACGGACGGATAACAAGGTTCTCTGCAAGTACGTGAGACCGAGTTGGGTTCCGGAGGAGTATCCGAGGTCTATACAGAGACTGCAGGAGTGGTCTCCGGACGAGGCTATTCCGGAGTTTTATCAGGATCCTATGGTTTTCTCGTCAATTCATTCAGATCTTCCCGATTTAGGTAAACTCCTCTGCTAGACTTTCTAAAAGTAAAAATGTTAGCGTTTAGATGTTTAATGTTTAATTTTTGCGGAGTTGTCTGGCAACATTGATGGATTTATTTCAAAGAAAAAATAATCGACATTTTTTTCCAGACTCAATTGTTCCATTTAGACCAGCCTGACTTCTTTCCTGGGTTCAAGTAATTGCAACAAAAATTTGCGCCCGATCTTTAGATTACATCAATTCATGTTAATTATTTTGAGGCGGGATTTATTCTTTGCTTTTCGTCAGTTTTGGTTTGTTGAAGGGAGTGGTCGCTAAGCATCGGTAGTTGAGCTGAGATGAGAGCTTTGCATTGTAGAACATAATAAAATATTAGAATTCATTTTATTTCTGTTATTTGTTTTTACGCTGTATGATTATTGAGTAACTTCTTAGTAGGTGGATTCGCCGATGAAACCTGTGGCGGTCACTCCCTTTAAGAAATGAAAATCCAAAGAAATAAATTTTATACCGTAACTTTCACAACAATTTTTTGAATGCGTAAATTTTATTTATGTGTGTATCCAATCTTTTTGATGAATTGAGGTTTTGCAAGAATTCGAATTTTGTTGAAAGTTAAAGGTTTTCCAAAATCTCTGAATTGGCCTTCTGGGTAAACGAGTTAGGGTTTGAAATTAATTTGAGAGATATTTTTATTATGATAAAACTTTTCCAAATATATATATATATATTTTTAGAACTTCCTGATTGGATTTCTTCCCCTGATGATTTTATAATTTGGCATCGAAGCATCCTTGAGTCGGAGGAGGTTTCTCGTCATCTCCATTCCTGGATAGATCTAACCTTTGGGTACAAACTGTCAGGGAGCGCTGCGATTAGGAACAAAAACGTCTGTTTGGATTTCTCCGAGAACCAGCGGGATCTGAGAGTACGCGGAGTTCTTCAGCTGTTCACCCAACCTCATCCGATCAGACAGAAACAGAAACCTGTTATTCCAAATCCAATACCAACCGTTGATCTTTCCGATTTTGATGATCCTGATCCAGGTACAGAGGAGGGTGGAGCAGGGGTTTGGGATCCTCCGAGTAAGATCTTAATTCCTCCAGAGTTTCATCCCGCGGCAGATGTTTCCGTCCTGGAATCCTTAAATACATTCCTATTTCGAGCGTTTACTTATAAATTCAAGGACAAGGATTTGACTGATGAGAAGGTTGGGAGAAACATGACGTATCTCCGGAAGGTCAAGCCTATGCAGATCCTAGGCTGCTTGATCTCTGAACTTTTTCATCCTAGGAAGTTTCGTGCTCTTGGAGATCAACCTAGTTTTGAGACAAGATACAGAAACTCAGCTGATTTAATAATCAGAGAAGAGAAAACCGTTCCGCTCTGTATCCGGGGACTATTGAAGAAGCTTCTGCTGATCAGGGATCTTACTCCGTTTGATCTTGAACCCTCGGATAGGTTTCCAGTAGTATCGGATCAGGGTTTGCCTCTCCCTTCCGCGGAGCTGTTACTTGATCCGATTCTCAGCGGATACTTCCCAACCTTGTTTGCTCCCTTCCTTCAAACCATATCTGCTATTGAAACCTTGAACAATGCAGCGGAGTATATCGAGGACTCAGATGCGTTAGAATCCTTGTCGGAGTTTCAGGTCAAACTTGTTGCACGGAGAATATCTCCGTTGATCCAGGAAGCGAGGAATGAACATATTGAACTTGTTCTTCCACTTTACTGCTCTTTGATATATTCATCGCGTACAGCAGTTCAGGCCTGCTGGCATCTACTGGATAAGATCAGTGTTAGTTTAGGTCCGGAGAGAACTCAAGAAACTTTCCTTGCATCAATAGTTTCTCATTATAAGAATATTTACACTACTAAGCATGTTAAACTTTATCATAGATCTTTCATCTTGGTCTTGATGGCAAGGTTGAGACTGCCTGTATTCCTGGATAGTTTCTCCTATATCTTGATAGAAGCGACCGGAGGAAATAGGGAGTTCTCCGAGACTCCGGTTCCAACACCGTCCGATCAACCACAGTCTCATCTGAACCTGGAGCCGGAACCATCCTTGACGTACGGAGAAGTATTTAGTTTCGACAGTTGGGATTCGCTTGGCTCGATGAAAATTGGTCTTGGGACGGATACCATCTCCTCTGTTGCACAGAACTTAAAACAACCTGGAGCTGACTCGATCGACGTGCATGCGTCCGTAGTATTTAGATTCAATGATGAGGACGCATCAAGTCAGGGCCGGAGAGAGAACTCCGTGGTTCAAATAAGTAAGGAAACCTTGCTCTGGCTCCCTCAAAGACTGGGACCTGTTCTAACTGCCAAGCATATTACTAGAAACCTTCTCCGGATGATGAGCCTGTGTTATCTTCCTCCCGAGGGGTTGGAACCTACTGACCAATATTTTCCAGATCAGCAAATCCGGATTTCTCCGTCAATGTTAGCAGGTATCAAGAAGAACATTTTGAAACTTTAAAAAATCTAGAAATAATCTACTTGTAATTCTAGTTTACAGTGCTAGCCAAAATATATTTGAATGATTGTTGCCTTGTCTCTCTTCTTTATCAAAAATGCCATTAAGAATTAGGAAATTTAGCAAAACTCTGAAAATATCAGACAAACAAGACGACCCTGTTACAAATGGCAAAACCCTTTAATTTATTTTAAAAGGGGTATATATTTTATGAATAATCTCTCCCTTCCATTTGCATAAGTCATTGTTTTTCTGATTTAATTTTTTCGGGGATTCTGCTGAATTGGGATAAAGAAAATAATTTTCAAGGTTTAAAGTAAAAAGGAGGGGGGGGGGGTTACTTGTCAATTGATTTTTTTCCCCCCCCCCCCTCCCTCGGAGTAATTAATGATTAAAAGAAAGTGAAAAGATAATAATCATTCTGCTTTAAAATGGTAATGAAATATATAAAATTAATATTTGTAGGTGATTCACTAAGTCTATCCGTCCTGGAGTGCTTGAGAAAGATTGCTGAACTCTACGGAGATCATTTTATCTTGGTTCAGTATCTACCCTGGTGCTGGGACCTAGCAGGGTTATGTCGGAGAAAGATAACTCCGAACCTGGAAGGTGGTCTGCTCGGAGCCCTGGCAGTTCTTCATTCTGTGATTCCTCTTCTCTCAGACTCCATTCTTATGAAGGTAGAGGCAGGGTAGGGTATGGGGTAGAGGCAGGGTAGGGTATGGGGTAGAGGCAGGGTAGGGTATGGGGTAGAGGCAGGGTAGGGTATGGGGTAGAGGCAGGGTAGGGTATGGGGTAGAGGCAGGTTAGGGTATGGGTATGGGTATAGGCAGGGTAGGGTATGGGGTAGAGGCAGGGTAGGGTAGGGTATGGGGTTTATATTTTCATGAATTGCATTAAAAGGCAAGGGTTTCCATCCCTTTTTCATACTGTTTAACCGGAAAATAATCAATCATAGTCAACTTAGGTGGGGTCCACATTGGGACCTCTTGCAGATTTCACTTATGAATCCTGAGGTGGAGATCAAGTAATTTTCTAAAGGGGGGGTGGGTTGAATTGCGTTTTAAAAGAAAATTTACACCCCCTGTAGTTTGTACTTGTACTCTCATCTCACATAATCACATAATCACTAATTCAATAATGACTAAAAACTAAAAATCCATTATAAAAAAAACTATTTTCAGTTTTGAAAAATCTCGCAAAATAAAAAAATAGCAGTCCATGTAACGTTTAATGGTACAGTAACAGTCCATTTAACGTTTAATGGTACAATAACAGTCCATTTAACGTTTAATGGTACAGTACTAGTCCATTTAACGTTTAATGGTACAATAACAGTCCATTTAACGTTTAATGGTACAATAACAGTCCATTTAACGTTTAATGGTGCAATAAGTCCATTTAACGTTTAATGGTACAATGACTTCAACCTAAGGAAATAATTAATTCTTAATATCTAGGAGCTGGATAATATTACATCTCAGATTCTCTGCCCTGTGATACACGCTGCAACCTCTAGTCAAAACTCCTTCACATCTGGACCTCAAGTCAGGTCCGCACTTCTTCTCAAGTCCCTGGACGTCCTTTACCTCCTCGGACTCAGGATCGGAGAGGAGATGTCCCGAACCCATCTCAACGAACTGGCGATAGGAGTGTTCTCAGCGTTCAGCAAGGTTTTCGAAGACGTTAGTTGTGAAAAATCCGCAAATTTTGAATCTCCCCGTACACAAAAAATACAACTATCGACGGAACTGGCCGAAGTGTTGACTAAAAAGCTGGCGTATTGTATTTATATATCCTTTTATTTCCTCCTGGGTGAAACCTTCCTCGACGAAACAGTTCCAAACATCTGTCTGATTAAGAAACTGTGCCTGGAGTATCAATCAGGACTCACTGCTCCCATGGTTCGTCCGTACACGTACAGAGAGATACAACGAACCCTGCCACATCAAAGCAACGAGGCAAGTTTCAGCGGATCCGGGAATATGATTATAGTTAAATCAGCAGACGAGGAAACTGAGAACACGTCCGAGATTTCGAAACTTATTCATGCTCCTGCAGGAAACACGTCCAGACATTTGCGAGGGAACTGGCTAGCGTACTGGGAGCATGAGCAGAGCAGAGGGGAAAACGATGGTTTTAATCTGAAACAGATCCGACTCCAGAACTGGACAGGACATCAAGGAAGTGTCAAGTCCATCTCCGTCCTAGACAATGAAAACAGTTTTATCTCCGGAGGAAAGGATCGAACCGTCCGACTCTGGTCTCTAAGAAGCTCAGGAGAAGGAGAACATTCCGGAACAGCACAATGGGTTTACTCCGGGCATAAAAAGTCAGTATTCTCGGTAGGATATCTTGCACAGAAAGGTTATGCAGTAAGCTGTGATGGCTCGATCCATATCTGGGATCCTTATGTTGGCTGCTTAACTCACGAGTATGACGGGTCGAGGGGAAATCCTTTTTGCGTCATGACGCCTCAAACCTACGCACATTCTATAGTTGCGGCCTCGACCGAAGGCAATCTTGCATTGATCGACACAAGAGTTAAGAATGTTGTTGATCTTAAAGTGAGTTATGGACTTGTTGGTTTGATAAGAAGTGTTTGTGCCTCAGAGGATGGAAATCATGCCGCTATAGGCCACAGCTCCGGGTATATATCTTTATTAGATCTCCGCTCCGGAAAGATCAGGTCTGGGATGAAGGCGCATGACGGAGAAGTGTTAACCTTGACGTCTGGGGATTCATATTTCGTCTCCACCTCCCTTGATCAAACTGCACATGTTTATCAGTGGGAGGATTCAAAACTCTGGACCCATCTCCGGACTCCTCCGGAACCTCTGCATTGTGTTGCAACCTACCAGGATCAGATTATTACTGGATCAACAAACCACAAGGTGTCCGTACACTCCATATTTAGGGACAGGGAGTCCAATACTGTCGTGAGTAAACTAAGATCGGATATTATCCGTGGGAACCTGATTCAGATGGAGATCCTACCTCTCAACCGTCTCCTTCTTCTTGGAACTGATGTTGGAAATATTCATCTGATTTGTTAATTATATCCTGGTGAAATTTAATTTAAGGGACTGTACACGGAATTAAGCTCAAGCGACCCTCCATTTGTATTTTGTAAGGTGACATCTTCATAATTTATCTGCCGCAGAAAATTACTTTGCATGGAAACTGTATGGCGGTCTGGGTTCTCCAAATAGGGGGGGNTTCATTTTCCGTCATTGAAAATTAACATTTTCATTTTTCATTCCTCTCTTTTTTTAAACTTTTTCACTTGGAATATTTTGGAATTATTGGATTTTTTGCATAGAGTTTTCACTGAACCAGTGTAAACCAACCTTCAACCTCAAAGTGAATCACCAACCTAGTGCAAACGGTACAAGTGGCACACAATATTAGCGAGGGGTACTGTTGTGAATTGATTATACTACTTATGGAGGGTTACTTTAAATCTCGCTTACAATCCCTTTAAATCAAACTACAAACAAATGGAGATCATGTTATATTAATAAATGCTACATCTGTGATTTCTTCCTACTCCTACTGTTTATCGGTTGAAAACCATTTTTAAGTTGTGATCATTTACTTTTTCTTATTATATATTTAGCACATAATACCTTTGATACGTCTTGCATTTAGTTACCATGATCTTACGTTAAACATCAATCATGTTTATATTGCAGAGTAGAGATGTATTATTAAAATGAGTCAGTATACTCAGATTTCAAGAGATATACTCAAACTAAGGGTTGAACAACAACAACTAGAGAAGGACGAGAAGATCTTGAGAGAACTTATTTTAAAGATAAGAAATCAGCAAAACGCGGTTCAGGTATTTTTTGGTCTTTTAAATATAATTAGAAAATAAAACTATTTTGCAGAGAGTTGAAGTATTGAGTGTACCAGTGCCTCATTTTGTATTGACATTTCTCTAAATTTGAATTTTCATGACTAAAAACTATATCAATTTTTTTTAATTAAGTAAGTTCAAAGTCCTACAGTATTTTTCATGTATTTCGGTATAAAGCTTTGAGATAATCCAATATGATACGGTGTAGAGTATCAGAACAGCTCAAGAACTAGTTTAATCAATGCAAAAACAAAGATTTTCACGGGAAGGGTAGGACGGTCGGGCCTGTGAAATAATTGTTTTCTTACTATTGTTTATTTATCATATGCTGTCCTAATACGTCACAGTAAAATATAAGCAATCACTAAACCCTTCTCCTTAATTGTTTTTTTTAGATTGACAACATGATAAAATTAGATTGACAACATGATAAAATTAGATTGACAACATGATAAAATTAGATTCACAACATGATAAAATTAGATTCACAACATGATAAAATTAGATTGACAACATGATAAAATTTGATTGACAACATGATAAAATTAGATTCACAACATGATAAATTAGATTCACAACATGATAAAATTAGATCGACAACATGATAAAATTAGATTGACATGATAAAATTAGATTCACAACATGATAAAATTAGATTCACAACATGATAAAATTAGATCGACAACATGATGAAATTATTGCGCCATGACAAACTCCTGAAAGACAAACTCCTGACGAAACAAACTGATGAAAATAAAAACTTAAAAACTTCTGAAATACAAACTCCAAAATATCAAATTTAAAAAATTAAAATCTAAATTATATTCTATTCTAATTATACAATTAGGTAATTTCCTAGAGAACGATTTTTGCACACACACCCCTCCCCAGGCCCCCACCCTCCTATCAATTTTGTACATGGATCTTATATGTCAGACATGGATATAATTGACCATGTGGCCGCAGCGCTCGGCCCCCTAACCTGTCCTCGCCGCAGCGCTCGGCCCAGAAAGTGTCTTAACCTAACTAACCCTAAATAATAAAAAATAAATAATAATAAATTTGCTGGTTATTCTGATCATTGTAATACTTGGCTGGTTGAAGCATATTCAAATTACTAAAGATTGAGAATTTTTTCTAGGATATTTGCGGATTTTTTCTCCTAAAGTTTATAAATTTTATCATATTTCATTCAGAGAAAAATTTCATAATTTCAGGAGTTTGTCTTTCAGGAGTTTGTATTTTCAGGAATTTGTATTTTCAGGAGTTTGTCTTGTCAGGAGTTTGTATTTTCAGGAGTTTGTCTTGTCAGGAGTTTGTCTTTCAGGAGTTTGTCTTTCCGGAGTTTGTCTTTCAGGAGTTTGTCTTTCCGGAGTTTGTCTTTCAGGAGTTTGTCATGGCACCTAAAATTAGATTGACAACATGATAAAATTAGATTGACAACATGATAAAATTAGATTGAGGACATGATAATATTAATATTGTCAGGTTGAAAGATTAGAAATCCAAATCCGGCAGCCCGCGGAGCTAACGGACGATTATCTGAAGGAACTGGCAACTGGAGCAACTAAAGAACCCGAACTGGGGAGCACAGATATCCTGGAGCAAATGGTTAAAGGAAATTTTGTCATCGAAGCAGAAGAAAATTTTAAAGTTTAGTTCTTTCTTTTGTGTTATATTTAGTTCAAGTTTCGACCGCCAAAATGTCGTTGCTAAACAAGAAACTCGAGGATTTGCAACAAAATGTGAAGAATATACGGAACATCTGTATCCTAGCGCATGTTGACCATGGGAAAACAACATTGGCCGATAGTCTTGTGGCGGCCAATGGGGTTATATCGGCTAAATTGGCCGGTAAGTTGAGGTATATGGACAGCAGGAAGGATGAGCAGGAGCGAGGAATTACGATGAAGTCGAGCGCTATCTCCCTGTTCTATCCCTGGCAGGAGAAGGAGTATCTGATCAACCTCATGGATTCTCCAGGTATAGACAGCTATATATGGTGCATACAGTCATTTGTAGGATATTTGATTGGACAATGGACATCGGATTGGAAAGAATTGGAAATGTTTGGATTACGGAAATTTAAAATGGGGTAAATGCACAAAAGAAATTCAAGTATTAAAATTTCATGTTTGGACTATTTCTTATTAATAATACCATGCCCCCTCCCCGTTCTTAAGAAAAGCAACCTCCCGTGACTTTCGATCTTAACCTCACATAACCTGGAAAAGTATAATCTCGAGGGGTTGCTATTTTATAGAAGGAGGGGAACAGAAGAGCAACGAGAAAACAAAGACAAAGGATTAACATTGATTGATTGATTTTTCAAATCTTTTTCTTGCAGGGCATGTTGATTTCTCATCCGAGGTCTGTACAGCAGTTCGTCTCTGCGACGGAGCCGTCATAGTTGTTGATATAGTTGAAGGAGTTCAACCTCAGACCAAGGTTGTGCTCCAGCAGGCCTGGGATCAAGGCATGAAACCTATCCTGGTCTTGAACAAGCTGGACAGGTTGATCTTTGAGATGAAACTGGACACGCGGGGGGCGTACGCTCATATCAATCAAGTTTTGGAACAGGTATACAATGTATATGTCCATGGCTACAAAAAATATAAGGAAGTTAGTAAGATAAAACCAACGCGAACTCTAAGACGTTGCCAGTGCCACACTTAATAGATTTCTTAAGACTTGAATGGGTCATGATTTATGTTAATTTTTATATTGTAGATTTTAACGTTTTTTTTTTCATGGGGGTTTCATGCTTACAAATTTTTAACCAAAGATCTTCAACATTTCAGATATATTAACCCTATCTCTGCTGGGGTACTTGAAAACCAGGATACGCTGGGGGGGGTCAATTTGGCCCCCCCCCCCTCTAAATCCCATGTTTGATGTCCAAATATGACAAATGATACATCATTGGAAAGCTCTTGTGCTCTACTTTTAGAATCTGCAAAAAAATTTGCAAATTTGCAAAAATTGAATTTTTTATCGCAAAATCCAGTTATATAGTAAAAATGTGTGCAGAAAAAAATTTGTCAAAAAAATGAAAAATTATACATTTTTGAAAAGCCCTTGACCATGCCATTTCAAATATGCAAAAAAATTTGCAAAATTTTAAATAACATGATTTTTAATCAAGAAAAACTAAAAATGTGCAAATTTCCTTTGACAGGTTGTTTGCAAAAATTTTGCAATTTTTTTTTCGCAAAACTTGTGCAATTTGTTTCCTTTTGTCAAAGGCTTTCCAAAAAGCTAAATTTTATCAAAATCTGACAAGTGAAAGTGGGTCAAAACAAAGATTTAGTTTGTTACAGGAAAAAGCAGTCATTCAGGCAGTGTGCCTGAGGACTCAGGCAGTTAGTATTAAAGCCCTGTTTTAGGCCTAAAGGGAGGGCTATGGGTATGTAAGAAAAGTCAGAAAATTTCAACAGCCTCAGACCAATACTTTTTGAGTTATGTAAAAAAAAACTACAGGGTCAAATTGACCCCCCCCCCCCCAGCGGGAATAGGGTTAACTTTAGTTTTCTTTTAAATTCAGGTGAATGCTGTAATGGGAGAAATGTTTACGACCCAAGTGTTCTCCGACTCCAACCAAAAACCGGAGATAACGGAGTTCAAGGAGGGGGATACGTTCGACTGGAGCAGTGGTCTTGAAGATGCAGACGACAGTCAGCTCTACTTTTCTCCAGCACAAGGTAGAACCCCCTCCCTCCATGAAAACTTTTCTTCTTGGAATAAAAACAGCTCGTAAATAAAATTCTTATGTTTAATATCACGCCCTCGAAGGGGGGCTAAGTTTTGGAGGTAAAATATCCACGTGTTCAATTAATTATTTTATTTTTTCTGCCTTACTACTTTCATGCAATCTTTTTATATTCAGGAAACGTTATTTTTGCCTCTGCATCTGACGGCTGGGCATTCTCCCTGGAAACCTTTGTTGAGATCTACACAAAGAAACTTAACTTCAGTAAGACTGTTCTCAGGAAAACCTTGTGGGGGGATTACTACATGAACGTAAAGGAGAAGAAAATACTTAAAGGAGCAAATATCAAGAATAAGAAACCGCTGTTTGTCCAGTTAGTCCTGGATAACATCTGGGCGTTCTACCAAACCATCCTGGATGATAAGGATAAAGAAAGGTTGGAGAAAATGATCGGAACCCTGGGTTTAAAGATTCTACCCCGGGATATGAGAAGTTCTGATCCTAAAATCCTTCTCACAGCTGTGATGTCAACGTGGCTGCCGTTAGCAGTCTCCGTTCTATCCATGGTTTGTGATAACCTTCCCTCCCCTGCAGATATAGGACTGGAAAGATCTAAGAAGTTAATGTGTCCTCAGACCAAAAAGTTTGAAATTTTGCCGGAAGAAACGAAGAAACTACTCACCAGTTTTACCGCCTGTACCTCGAATGATTCAGATCCGAAGATAGTTTTTGTTTCCAAGATGTTCCCTGTGAGTAAATCTCAAATGCCCGGAAACCGCGCGAAACCGTTGAGTGACGAAGAACTTGCGTCGCGACGTACAGCGGCCCGTGAGCGGCATCAAGAACGCCAGCTCACGGCGGGGACCGAGGGAGCGGTTCAACTCACGGCAGACCAACTGAAAACAATAGAACTAAACCAGGAGGAGGAGAAGAAACCTGAAGATGATATAGAGTTTATTGCGTTTGCCAGGATATTCAGTGGAACTCTGAAAGCCGGAGACGAGTTGTTCGTCCTTGGTCCTAAGTATGATCCAACGACTAGTGGCAAGTCTCTCGCTGAAGGAGACTTTCCCGAGCATTGTCATGCTAGTAAAGTTGTAGTTTCTGGAGTGTACATGCTTTTAGGACGAGACCTAGAACACCTAGAGGTTGGATATGCTGGAAACATAATTGGGATTTCTGGTCTGGCTAATTCTGTGATAAAATCTGCTACTCTTTGCTCCAACCCCTGGTGTCCTCCTTTCGTGGAGCTTGTTCAATCTACTTTCCCTATTCTACGGGTTGCCGTGGAACCCGTTCGCTCTTCAGACATGAAAGCAGTAGCTAAAGGACTCCAGCTGCTAAACCAAGCGGATGCCCATGTTGAGGTTCTTGTAAGCGAAGTTGGTGAACATCTTCTCTTAACAGCTGGAGAGGTTCATCTTCAGCGTTGCATCCTAGATCTAACAGAGAGCTACGCTAAGTGTGAGATCATGGTGTCGGATCCAATTGTACCTTTCAGGGAAACTATTGTTCCCGTCCCGGATACAGATATGGTAAACGAAGCTATAGAGGGAGAGAAGAAAACTAATAAAGACCTGAATGATGAGGGAGGTATCGTGGAGCTAGAAACCCCTAACAAACAGAGCAGTTTTAAACTTCGCGCCTTTCCGCTCCCAGCCGGATTCACTAAACTTCTTCAGGAGAACATTTTTCTTATTAAAGCTCTTGCCAGCAAAACTGAGCTCTCGTCTCAGTCTCAGGAGGACCTGGAGCTCTTCCAGGAGCAGCTAGCGACAGCAGCAATGGAGGATGATTTTCTTACGGCTAACATTAAGAACATCATTAGTTTTGGACCCAAAAGAACCGGACCAAATATATTTATTAACAGCGTCCCGTCGTTAGACACTGCATCGGTTTGGGTTGAGCCACAGAGCAGGAAAAAAGGAGACGAAAGATTAGATCTTATCAGCAGTTTAGGTTAGTCCTAGAATTTTTTTTACACTACATAGTCTTGGAGTTTGCTGTTTAAAACCCATTCTTGATCCAATGACCAACGCTGGCATTTACATAGAAATTAGAACTAAAGAAAATATTTTAAGTTATTCTGCAGAGAGACCCATAAAACTGTGGTATAAGTGACGACTGCTAGACTCAAGTTATGATTTCAAATATTCCAAATAACACTAATTGTGCAGTTTACACAGACCCATTTCACTTAATTATATTTTCAAGCTCCTGGTGAACTATAAGAACATCTTTCATAAGATTGATTAAATGATGTTGTTTCCCTATTCCACAGTTTTATGGGTCTCACTGTAGGAAATTGCCATGTCTAAAAAATGTAATTTTTCCATTTTATTAGTGAACGGTTTCCAGCTTGCCACCTTCGCTGGTCCTATCTGTGAAGAACCAATGATGGGAGTCGGATTTGTCCTTGAATCCTGGGAACTCCAGGAGGAAGGGGATACTGGCTGGGGACCACTTTCCGGTCAAATCGTCTCCACTGTCAAGGTCAGCTTTATGGTTCAGTTTTATTCAAATATTTAGAAAACGACATAAACTAAACTGTATTAAAGACATAGTCTTTGATGAAATTGTTTTTGGATCCATAGTCTCAAAAAAAGAATATTTCTAATGATCAAATGAAAAAAAAAATCCCTCTTTTAAACAAATTATCCGTTATCGCCCATCCATAATGTAAGGACAAGGAGGTTTGCACGGAGCAACAAAAAAAATGAAATGATTTAAAGGAGGAAACAAGCCAAAAAAAAATTATTTTGAGGGGGTGTAGTATAAAAAAGGTGATAACCTTCCACGTTAAAATTCCGATTATTCCCAAAATTCATTATTTCTTTTTTATTTCTTGAAAATAAGTCTTTAACCTTGATATTTTAGGATGGTTGCAGAAGATCATTTCAAGCTCAACCTGTCAGATTAATGACAGCAATGTATACCTGTGATATTGCAGTTAAAGCAGAGGTTCTGGGAAAGTAAGTTCATAAGAAAATAAACTTTTTTTGTGCAAAAACGAAAAAAATATTCTAGTTTTTCTTCCTAAAACCTAATACTTTCTGGTTATGGTTTCTTTCTTAAAGTGACTTGCGGATTTCTGCGTAAAAGAAAAGAAAGGAAATTTACAAAAAGATTTGATAAGTATCGTTGTAAATCAAGCATGGAATTCATTTAATGGGGGTTACTTATAACGGAGTGGGGCATTATGATAGATTTTGCGCTGCTTTGCTACTAAAGAAGAATTTTTTCTTCAAACTTTTATTAATCGAGAAAATACAGATACAACATTGTGAAAAAATTTCAAACATATATTAAAAAATATTTAAAGAAATGCACGAGTGCTCAAATTTAACAATGAAATTGCTTAACACAACTTACTCTATATATAAAGATTTATGAGATGAAAAATAAGAAAAACAGCCTTGTTCTGACAAATATAAGCTGGAGACTGTTGGACATATTGAGACTGCCGCATTAGAAAAATAAAATAAAATACAGTCGCACAGATATTTAGTGATCTGGAGCCATTATTGAATTAGACAGTAATCATCCTGGCATTTTAATGTTTTCATTCAATGTACTTTGACCAAAAATTGGCAATGAAAGGTACATAAAAGTTATTGCAAATACTTAAAATGACTTACGTCAAAGATTGTTGATCAGATTAGTAGATATATTTCAAGACTTTTCGTCATGAATTTTGTAAAACCTCGAGAAGTGAAAATTAACTTTATGCATACATATAGTTTCCTTTTATATAATTAAAGTGGATATTGGATATAAAATCCTAATAGACACAAGATATATCGAGCATTTTAAGGTCTTTTGCATAGTTGAAAACTCGAGGCAGTGTGATTATTAATATTAAGATTATCGAATTAGAATTAGAATTATCAGCTGTGGCCATAATTAACCATCAACTGTGATTACAGTTTGAGATCAATGATTTAGAATTTTTAGTTTGGACCATAGTTAACATTCTGGTTAGATTAAAGTTTGAGATCATCGATTTAGAATTTTCAGTTTGGACCATGGTTAACAATCAACATATTTTACAGTTTTAAATTGGTACCGTCCTTGACTCACTTGACTTGATTAACAATAGACTTGACGCCATAATAAAGTACTTATTCACGACTTGACGCCATGAGACTCCTCAAGTGAACAGTAAGCTAATAGAAAGTAGTATAGAAAATAATTAGTCACGACTTAACGCCATGAAACTCCTCAGGTGAACAATAATTTAATAAAAAGGAGTATTGAAAATCCTTATAAGCTTTCAATCTTGATATAATTCGGTCTCTTTTGGGTCAAAGAAACTGTTGGAGAAAGTGAAGGTAACATCCTTGGTAGCATTTAATAAGTTAAATTTTAGACAAATTTTGCTTTTTTAAGAATGGAGTATATGTTCCAGTAGTTTGAATTGAATTAAATTGGAAATCAGACATTTAAATTTAAAATTTTTAATTTTTCAATTTTGTAGTTTTTCAGTCTGCATTAAGCATGAAGATAACAGTTTCCAAGTTGTATTTTGGAAACATACTTGAAGGGATAGAAATAACGGAAGAAAATATTTGACCAAGAGTATCAATAGAATGGACAGTTAAATTAGATATTTGCTCATAATCTTCCCAACAAGTGACTTAACGCCGTAGTATTAACAGCAGACTTATCGCCGCTATATTAAGAGTCCTGAGTTCACTGAAGATCGCACTGATGTTAAAGAGTGTAGTGTTTCTAATGAATCCGTAATGAATCCTGGGTATAAAAGCTTGATATCACACGAATGTTTAGGGAAAAGTATATAGGTTGGTTGGATTAGAGCTATTCGGTTTCAGATCAAACTTTTGAATTAGTTTATGGAGGATTATTAGCTAGTGCTTCATTCTTACTTACTAAAGAAGAACCATGTCAATTATTTGTTGTTTGTTTAAAGGATGTACGGAGTCATACACCGGAGACGAGGCCAAATAGTGAGCGAAGAGATGATCGAAGGATCGTCCACATTCACGGTCACCGCTCACATTCCTGTTATTGAGAGTCTTAATCTAGCTAACGAACTCAGGTACGTTTTTATAGAGGTTGTACTTTTTATTCAGGGTGTACTTATTTAAGTGAAGGGTGTACTATTTTATTCATGTTCTTTTTTTTGTTTAGGGTTTACTATTTTATGCAAGGTGTACATTATTAAACAACGTGTATTTTTTATTAAAATTATGTTCCCAGGTGTTTGTGTGTTATAGTACAGTGTCTGAGCTTAAAACATGATTTATTTTGACATCCATGAGAAATTCTTCTTTTTATTCCAGGAAGCAGACGAGTGGTCTGGCAATGCCTCAGCTTATTTTCTCCCACTGGGAGATCCTGGATGTAGATCCTTACTGGGAACCCAACACAGAGGAGGAGCTCACTCACTTCGGGGAGAAGGCGGACTCCGAGAACCCGGCCAGGGTCTACATGAACGCCGTCAAGCGCAGAAAGGGTCTCAAGATCGACGAGAAGTTGGTCGAGTTCGCGGAGAAGCAAAGAACGCTCACAAAATCTAAATAATTTTTTTAAATTTTATTTTTAATATATTTTTTTTATTCTTTTATTTTGTCATTTAATTTGTGCCTGATAAGGCCTGAATAAGAAATTGTATGTAATTATAAACCCAACACTGAAAAGGTATCCTTTATAATTATCTAGTGTTGCAGTGCATGTATTTTTTATGCAGAAGAAACATCGCGGCAACCATTTTTAGATTTTTTTGATTGATGATATAAGAACATATTTTTTATAGCAACCCTAAAACCACAAATGGAGTTAGACATCACGCCCGTTAGCACCTTTCCTAGCTGAATGATACCAGTTGGAGAAAGTTTTGTTTACCTTCATTTCATTTGAAGGTTCTATGCCAATTGCCAAACAATTACTGCACTGTGGTCAATGTCTTCCATTTGTTAGGATATATTAGTGAGGGAAATGCAATAGTTTTTATTTCCAACCGCTTTTTTGGTCAGCTGAAATTGACTTTTTCTAGTTGATTAAATCTGGAAATCCGCGAATTTTCAAGTTAGTGAAGAATCTTTTATAATTTTATAGCAATACCAGAGTATTAATGGTGGACTAAGTTACCCATATGTAAATACTCTGGAATAACTGGAGATAGTCAAAAGTTACACACTGAGTATTCACAATGGAGGTAGTTAGTTATGTACTTAGTGTGAATACTCTGGAAGAACTGGAGGTAATCTGAAGATACACATACTGAGTACGCACGAGGGAGGTGGGTATCCATGTACTCAGTGTGATTACCCTGGAACAAACGGAGGAAGTCTTGAGATGCACATTCAGAGTATGCATCAGTATCGCATATCAATGTACTCTGTGGATACACTACAACCATAGTCAACACTTCAAAGAAATCTTTACTTTTTCAGATAGAATGTCTGGATCTTTAAAGGAAGTAGTGAAAATTGCTTTGGAAGAAGCCAATTTTACCACTAAAGAAGAAATGTGTACTGTAGATGATTCAACGATGGAAAAAATCACCATTAAAAAAGAAATATCTACCCTGGAAGATACATGCCCAGTACTTATAAAGGAAGAAGATACAACGATAGAAAAAGATAATATTAAAGAAGAAATATCTTCTGTAGAAGATATGTGTACTGTTTTTATGAAGGAAGAAGATGTGAAGTCGGAAAGTACAGAAATAAAAGGTAAATTATTCTTTAGATTTATATATTGAGAAAACGTAAAATATCCGTTTAAAGAATTTGTTTATCTACTTGAAATACTACTGATATCGAATTTAGGATCACTTCTAAGCCTAACAGATATCTTTAAATAGTATATTAAATAGTATATTAAAGTAAACTTTGCGCAATTTTTCGATACTTTCGTACATGGAAAAATAAATAAATAGTAAATATAACAAAAAGTAAAAAGTAAAAAAGTAAGTATAAGATATCTTTGAAATTAGTTTCCATTGCAATTTGTTTTAATGCGTTTTGATTCCTGATTTACAGAAAACATAATATGAATGCCTATTGCCTATATTTTGAACAAAAATCGCTTTTTACGCTTCATAACAAACAATAAACTTAATTGATAATAGTTCTCAGCTTTTTGATTTTAACATCGTTTCTTGTAAACATTTAAACCTCATAAATAAAAAATAAAATCGAATAAGATAGACTAGTAGTTAGTTAGTATTTTATATTTTATTATATCTGTTCGGTTCCATAGTAGTAAACCTATTATATTATTATATTATTATATGAATAACTCTGTTACTAAATAAATATATATGTTATGTTATTTTATAAGTTATGAACTTTTCTGAAAACATTTTGTTATTTAAATTAATATTTTTAGATGAAGTGATATTTGAAGATCCACTACAATTCAGGCCCAAGAAGAGAAAATATGAAGGAGTAAGGTATCCCTGTACTCAGTGTGAACACCAGGCTTCAACACCAGGAAATCTAAAGACTCACATTGCTATTAAACATGAAGGAGTGAGGTTTCCATGTGATCAATGTAATTATGTTGCAACAGCGGCTAGTGTTCTAAAGGGGCATATTCAGTTTAGACACGAAGGAATCACATATCCTTGTACTAAATGTGAATATGTAGCTGCAGCAGTAGGTAATCTCAACAGGCATATTAAGATTAAACACGAAGGAGTTAGATATCCCTGCAACCAATGTGAACATGTTGCTACATCAGCAGCTAATATTAAAAGACACACTGAAAGCATTCATGAAGGGATAAGATATCCTTGTGAACAATGTGAATACATTGCAACATCAACAATTTATTTGAAGAGTCATGTTGAAAGTAAACATGACGGGGTGAGGTATCCATGTCATTTATGTAAATACACTTTCGCATCAGTAAGTAGTTTAAACAAGCACGTCAAGAGTATACACGATGGTGTGAGATATCCCTGCAATCAATGTAAACACACTGCAACAACAATAGACCAACTAAAGATTCACATTGCTAATAAGCATTTAGGAATGAGGTTTCCCTGTAATCAATGTGATTATAGCGCTGGTACAGCTGGAGATCTGAGAATGCATATTAAGAGCAAACATGATGGAGTAACATTTCCATGTGATCATTGCGACTATACTGCGACAAAATCATTTAATCTTAAGTTGCATATAGAGAGAAAACATTCAGGAGCAAGATACCCTTGTACGCAGTGTAAATACAGGGGAGCAACAGAAAGTAATTTGATGAAACACATTAAAAATAAACATTCTCTGTAACAAATTTGCTTGTAATGTGACTTTTAAATAGTCTGATCATTAAATTTTAAATGCCTTTATAACACTATATGTACTTTACTACTCAGCTCGTTAAAGAGAAAATTTCTGTACAGAACCTTTATAGCATTGTGAACCTAAACTTTTATGTTATAAATAGTCATTATCATATATATAGATTTTATTAATTAGAATATATAAGGTCAAGTAAAGGTATTCCTTCCTAGAAGGTTTTATTATTAGAAATGTACTAGGTCAAGTAAAGGTTTTCATTCCTAGAAGGTTTTATTAATAGGAATATATATGTCAAGTAAAGGGATTCGTTCCTTGAAGGTTTTATTAATAGAAATATACTAGGTCAAGTAAAGGTATTCCTTCCTTCAAGATTTTATTAATAGGAATATATAAGGTCAAGTAAAGGTATTCCTTCCTTCAAGATTTTATTTATAGGAATATATAAGGTCAAGTAAAGTTATTTCTTCCTTCAAGATTTTACTAATAAGAATATATAAGGTCAAGTAAAGGTATTTCTTCCTTCAAGATTTTATTAATAAGAATATATAAAGTCAAGTAAAGGTATTTCTTCCTTAGAAAATGTTATAAATAGGAATATTTAAAGTCAAGTAAAGGTATTTCTTCCAACAAGGAATATATAAGGTCAAGTAAAGTATTCCTTCCCAGAAGGTTTTATAAGAATAATAAGTTTAACAAAAGTATTCCTTCCTAGAAGATTTTATTAATAAGAATATATAAAGTCAAGTAAAGGTATTTCTTCCTTAGAAAATGTTATAAATAGGAATATTTAAAGTCAATTAAAGGTATTTTTTCCAACAAGGAATAAATAAGGTCAAGTAAAGTATTCCTTCTAAGAAGGTTTTATAAGAATATTCCTTCCCAGAAGGTGAACACTTAATGTAATGATAACGATAAAGCAGCAAAGCTTTTAAAGCAGTCACTTAAATTGGAACATATCATGTTCAAGTCTGATTTTAATAACCCAGAGACGATTATAATTTGCTCAAACTTAACGGACTTTCATATCTACATACATGGATAACCAGAAAACTTGTAATATGAAGACGACTTTTAGAGTCAAGTTTTGACTTTAAATAGTTCATTGAGCATGAGACATTGCAGCTATGGTGCATTGTAAACAGGCCTATTTCACTTAATTAGTGATTTGATAAGTTCTTATAAAACTATTTGCTTTGCAACAACCTCAAATACACTTAAGTATTGGTATAAAGTCGTCTTTCTATTCCAGAGTTTTCTGATTATCACTAGTTAAATAGTTAAAAATGAAATGCTAACATGTGATTTGGTTTTCTAGCTTTCTAGTAAATAAAATTTGATATTATTTTATAAGTAGATAATAATGACAATTCACCGTGCACTTAGAAAAAAACTGAATTTACACTAAGTAAATTTGTTGTATCAAATTTACATGTGATTTTTGTTTAATGTTTATTAGTAGTTTAAATATAAAATTTTAAATGTAATTTATTTCTTTATACGATCTGTTCTAGAACTGTTGATTATATGATGAAAGCATTAAAATATGTTTTCTACGCTGCACTTAAAAAAATACCTTTTTATTTCAATCTGTATTGACTGATAAAGTTGAATTAGAGAGAATGGCGGAGTTTTCTAAAGTTTAATCAGAGAAAATGGCGGAGATTTATACAGTTGAACTTGGAAGAATGGCGGAGACTAACAAGATGAATTAGAGAGAATGGCGGAGACTAATAAAGTTGAACCAGAGAGAATTGCGGAGTCTAAAGAAGTTGAACCAGAGAGAATGGCGGAGATTAACGAAGTTGAACCAGAGATAATGGCGGAGACTAACGAAGGTGAACCAGAGACAATGGCGGAGACAAATAAAGTTGAACCAGAGAGAATGGCGGGGACTAATAAAGTTGAACCAGAGATAATGGCGGAGACTAATAAAGTTGAACCAGAGATAATGGCGGAGTCTAAAGAAGTTCATATAGATTTTAACGAGTTTGAAACCGAAAAAGAGAAAATCCATCCTTTAGAGAACACATGTACTGTATATGTACAAGAGGAAGATGTACAAATTGACATCATAGAACTTGAAGGTAACTATGGACCCAAATTGCGAGAATTAGTTAAACTACTTAGACCTTTGTGTAGTGCAAAATCTTCCTTCTTAATTGCTCAATATATTACTTTTTACAAATTCTGAAAAATCTGATGATCAATGCAGTATATTTATAAGAAAACTTGTGAACGAATTACAAATGTATTTCACATATTGTAGGATTTATATTTTATATTAAAACAAAGGACAGAAAGCATTCAAATATTATAAATAATTTTAGGAGAAATTGTTTATGAGGAGGATCCCCTGCAATCTGTTCTAAAGAGACGCAAGGGTATTAAACACGAAGGTGTGAGATATCCTTGCAATCAATGTGTATACACTGCAACAAAAGTAGGGACTCTAATGAGACACATGGAGCGCAAGCATTCTGGAGTTAGATTCCCCTGTAACCAATGTGAATACACCGCAACTGCAGCTAGCAGTCTCAGGGTGCACATCGACAGAAAACATAATGAAGTAAAATATCCATGTAATCAATGTGAATACCTGGCTACCGCACCTGATCTTCTTAGGAATCATATCAGTGTCAAACATGACATGGTGAGATATCCTTGTAATCAATGCGAATTCGCTGCAACAACAGCAGGAACTCTGAAGACACATGTGCGGAGGGTACATGAGGGAGTACGGTTTCTTTGTAATCAGTGTGAACACTCTGCAACCACCATAGGTAGTCTGAAGATGCACGTACAGAGTATGCATGAGGGAGTAAGGTATTTATGTGATCAATGTGTATACTCTGCTACAACACCAAACCTTCTCAAAAACCATATCAGTGTTAAACATGACAAAGTTAGATATTCATGTGATCGATGTGCGTTCACTGCATCAACAGCAAAATATCTCAGGGGCCATATTCAGAGTAAACATGAGGGGATCAAGTTTCCATGTAATCAATGCGACTACTCTGCTGCACGATCTACTGATCTTAAGAAGCACATACAGACTGTACACGAGGGAACAAAATATTCATGTAATCAGTGTGAATACTCTGCAACAGTCGCAAGAAGTCTAAAGGTACATGTACAGAGGTTACATGATAGAGTAAGGTTTCCATGTATTCAATGTGAATACTCTGCTACCACTAAAGACGTTCTCAGGAAACACATCAACGTTAAACATGACAAAGAAAGATATCCTTGTAATCAATGTGATTACGCTGCAACAACAACAAGAAATCTGAAGGTTCATGTACAGAGTGTCCACGAGGAAGTGAGGTTTCCGTGTAATCAATGTGAATACTCGGCAACAACCACAGGAAATGTGAAGGAACATATACAGAGGGTTGATGAGGAATTTATGTTTCTATGTAATCTATGTGGATACCCTGCAGCACGAGCTTTTGATCTAGAGAAGCACATTAAGAGAGAACATGAAGGGGTAAGGTTTTCGTGTCAGCAATGTGAATTTACTACAGCTAGAAACAGCGATCTTAACCAGCACATGAGGAGTAAGCATGAAGGAGTTCGGTATCCATGTATTTTGTGTGAGTACGCCGCAACAAGAAAATATCATCTGAAGAGGCACATAAAACGTAAGCATTATAAAGCCTGAAACTTCAGATTGACATCGGATAAAAATTTAAATTATCTCCAAGTGCATCAGATGATCTCCCAACTATAAGATATGTCTCAACTAAACTCCTCAAAATGCCATATTTTAAATATAGTCATGATGTAAACCCTTTGTTCCAAAAACTATATGCCTCTTGTGCTTTTACGAGATTTTCAATCCATAACTAAATCTCAGATGTGAATGTTATATATAAGAATTGTTTTAAAATCAAATTGTGTTACTCATGTTTATTTAGGTCTCTTTAAAATTGGAAGTCACTGTAATATTATCGTTTTCTCAAAGTTTAGTGCAAAAGTATATTATCAGTATTGTTATGTCTTTTATTATATTTTATTATATCATTGTTATATTATTGATATCCACGATGGTTTTAACTTCATTTATTTGAATTTGTGTTATCTCCAAATTGTAAGTTATTATTGTAAACACTTTTATTTACATATTTAACTTTAACAATTCCCAGTCATCAAATGATTTTCTCAGAGTAATACTATTAATGCGTTATTTCGATATTTTACTAAATTACTATTTTTCTTTTTCACTTACTTATTTAATTTGAGCTGAACAGTGAAAACCACCATATTATCAAATATTTGTTGTGTTAACGCCATTCCAAAAAATGAAATTTTCTGAGGTTCATAGAAAAATAAGGCGAAGAGTCACAATATTGATTAAACCTTTTTGAAGTTTGAGAGAAATTTTTAGTAAATATATAATTTGATAAATGAACTTAGATTTTATAATACAGAATACATTCTAAATCATAATGTGATAAACATGAACAAAATTCGCTTTACATAAATTGTAAGTCAGTAGATCATACCAACTTTTGTATTTTTTATTGGATATTTTCAATGAAACTATTTTGTTATTGAAGATCAATTTGTTTTTGTTCACAAAATATTATTTTTCAGGGAGAAAAATGGTATTCATTTTGGAATATTAGACACTACATGCATGATTTTACCTCAAAAAATATTCACAGGAATCTCTGAAACTGATTCACCTGTGGCCGAATTTAAAGAATTTGAGCGGCGGTTTAAATTTAAGCCGTGGTTTAAATATGGTTAGTTCCACTTAAAATTGTATCAAATGTTTCAAGATTTAAGCCGGCGCTTAATTCAAACCGGGTTTTGGCGGATTTAACCCGCGGCTCAAATTCTTTAAATTCCATCTCTGGACTCGTAGTTTCAGGTCCTCTAGAGGACAGGTCGTCTTCCGTAGCCTTCAGAGACAACTCCAAAAATGATAATGGTCTCTGAAGCTAATCCTCCACCTGGACTCCCATTTCCAGGCCCTCAGGAGAACAGTTCGTCCTCTGTAGTCTCCAGAGACAACTTCAATGATATTATGGTCTCTGTGGCTGATTCCTATGAAAATCCTGTTTTTTCGTTGAAAAAAGAAATTCATGCAAATCTTTAATAAAATTAAAACCAATTGTTATGACCCAACTAAATAAAATGTCAATTTATAGTTGTAGATCTTAAAAGTCCCAGCGCACTTTGACCTTAAAGTTGCAGTAGGAGTAAAATAAGAATAAGAAAATATAATTTCCGGACGAATTATAGGTGTAGTCCGGACGAAAAATAGGTGTGGTAAACACATTTTCCTTTCTTTGGTAAATTGGGCTTAAATATCTTTTAGTTTTTTTTTAACAAAATGCATTTAAGACAATTAAACCATATTGAATAACATTACGTTGCCTAAATTTGAAAAAAAAGGTGTTAAAAGGCACACAATAATACATTTAAAAGCACAAAAGCATCGCTCAGACGAAAAAAAGGTGTGGTTGGAAGAAATAATGGTGAGTTGTTACGTCATTTGTGGTGCGGGCGTAAAAATGGTGCGGTGTGCCTTCCCCCCCTCGTTTATGCTATGTCTGAACAATTGTTTACAATGGCTGTTACCTCGGACCAAATTAAACCTTTGAAAAATATTTGTTCAGAGGATTTTCTGATCGAACTGGTTTCTTGTTCTTTCACATATGAAGATATACAGGGTGTCCCACGAAACATGACATTAGCAAGACGAATTGAAAGTCGTCTTTCAACTTTGAAGTTGTTGGTGACATTCAGTCTTCAGCCTTCTTTTACATGTATGATTCCTCAAACAATAACCACAAAATTCGCATAGTCCTGCCGTTTCCAAAATGTGGTCTGCATTTTTTGTGCATTCAATATTACCGGAGATATTAAGAATTTCGTTCAGATTTAATTTTTATGAAATAAAACCAAAATTGTTCAAATCTGAAGGAAATTCATCATATCTCCGGAAATATTAAAAGCACAAAAAAGGCAGACCACAATTTGGAAATGCCAAGACAAGTGGTATTTTGTGATTATTAATTCTAGAATTTTCCTCCTAAAAAAAGTTTACGAAAAAATGCCGCAAATTATTTCAAAGTTCTAAGACGACCTTCAAAATCGTCTAGCTATTGTCATGTTTCGTGGGACACCCTGTACATACTTAAAATGTAGTAAATATGTTCCCATGTTTTACTTGTTTTACTTGATGTAGAAGATGCAGAAGACCTTCTGGGTCTATGGGGTAGACATCAGTTTAGTTTCCTCTGGAAACAGTGCTCTACCATGCAGGAGACAGGTTAGGGAGCTTCAAAAAAACACTGGTCCTGGCACAAGGTTTAGATGTTTAGTTTCTCCAAACCAGCTTGAAAGATGTTCAGTGTATGTGAATCTATTAGATCCTGTGGTATGGAGTTCCAGAGTGTGACAATTCTGTTTGAGAAAAAATGCTTTCATAAACCTGTCCTGAATCTTGATGCCATGAGGTAATTTCTGTTCTCTGTGTTACGGGTCATTCTTAAATTTTGGTCTCCAACTGTGGTGACCATTTGTTGACTTTAAAAGTCAATATGATAAAATAAAAGAGATCTAATGGTATTTCTAACATTTATTTAATAAAACAAAAGTTTTGAAATATTTGCATTTAAGGCGGAGTTAAAATTGGTTGATTTAGAAATTAACAAAGGAATTAATAATGGATATTTGATGGCACTTCATGGGAGTGTTGTAGAGCTTCATGTTGGTGGAGCAGATCTGGAAACTGGGACAACAGGGCTTATCAATGGAACTAAGGCAATGCAACTCGAGATAGCGGAAACTTCGGTCAGAGCCGTGCACAAGTTTCCTAAGTAAGCTTCTCAAGAAGTTAATAGGGAGATCAGAGGTATAAGCACGCCTGCTGTTAGCTCAGTATCTGCATCATCAGCATGAAGGAGTCACGGGGGGTGATGTAGAGCTTCATGTTGGTGGAGCAGATCAACAGGTGCGTTGCGCTGAGTATCTGCATCATCATCATAAAGGAGTCAAGAGGCTCCCTGTGTCGGAGCTGTTACCGGCTCAACTCTCTAAACCTGACTGCTGGGGTGAGGCCAGAGGCGGGAGCTGGGATGAGCGGGGATTTGACATGTGGCCACTAAATGGAGGAAATGGATAAACTTGTCTTGTGAAAAGGCTACAGCATTTGAGTCTGTAAAATCATCTTCCTTATATTTCGAATTTATGTTAACACCATTATGGTTGATTCTACTTTATCAATACCCTTAATTGTTTTAAAAGTTTGGACTAGAGCAAGGTGCTTTCTTCTGTCTTTAATGTTCTCATTCACAGTTCCACACGTTTTTATTCATAGGTCCTACCTCTCAGTCCATCCACAAGGTTTATAGCTCTGCGCTGTACTTTTTCAAGAGTTTCTATGTCTCCTTGCAGCAAGGGTGACCAAGCTGATACCGCAAACTCAAAGTGGCAATGCACAAATTGTTTGTACTTTCTTTTTGCTGATCTTATTGAACGTTTAAGATCAATTCTCAGTTTGTAAATTGGTAATAGTTTTCATCAGTCATAGTGTTCATATAAAGATTATAGTTTCTCTGATTTTGTCTTACCAATTTTTTGACACTTCTGGTCATTGATTATTTCCTCTCCGCCACAGAATTTTAGTAATAAAAATGTCAATACCTGAGTTAACTATATCCTTTATTAATTTCCAGGATTCCTCAGTATCTTTCTCTCTCAAATCCTTAAGCCAGTTCACAGATCCAATGTGGTTTCTAAGTTCGTTTTTGATCTCCATTATTCCAATCAATAATTAGTTCAGATGAACTGTTAAATTTGGATCTAAAATCCACATCAACACAAATAATAGAATGATCATTTGTGGAGAAGTTCCCAAGACTTTCAACATTTATTATTTTGTCAGGTCTATTTGCAAGTACTATAACAAGGGTGTTTCCACGGACTTAGTTGGGAAATCTATTAACTGTTCAAAGTTATTTTCATTTACACATTGTAGAAAAGATTCCCCAATTCTATCAGATTCATATGTCGACAAATTTATTGCAGGAAAATTAAAATCTCCGATGAAAATGCTATTTTAACTGCTGCTTTGTTAACAAGTTTAAACAGCACTAGAGTGTTTTGTATTCTTGCACATATAGGCCTGTATACAATTGTGATAAACAGTTTATTATCATCTTTTTTTGTAGAATTTATAACTTCGAACTGAACAAACATGTTAAAGTCATTCTTGACTGATACAGGTTTAATTACTAGGTCGTTTCTGACATAAACCAAAAACTAAACCTTTCATTTTAATCCAATAACACTTCTTTGTGAGATCAGTCATTTTGTGCCTCCTTGCTGTCTTTTAGAAAAATAGACAGATTTTTTAAGAGCAGCTCGGCATATGAAAGACCTCTTGTAGAAGCGAAACAAGGAATATTACTTTATTCATAAAATTCAATTATTTAAATATTGCAGAAACGGATTGCAGCTCATCAGTTTCAATATTTTGTCCAGACAGTTCAAAATAAGTGAATGTGAGTAGTAATATCCTGTTCTCCAATATTGTAAAATTTGAACTAAGAACTAAACTACCAAAACTTTCCTTGTGCCATTCAAAACATCAAATTCATGGAAAACTCAATTTTTTACTAAAACATAAAGTTCAAGCCTAAATTACTAGTGTTGTTGACAAATTAGAAAATGTCCTACATAACATAAAATTCAAGGTAAAATTACTCGATTTTATGCAAAAATTCTGAAAATTTTCAATGCAAGGGTGCTCCGCCCTCCTGCTTCCCGCCTTGTTCACTACGTTTCACTCGGTGCTCCTGGGTCATTACTACAACACCCTTCTTTGCACCACCCCTTGGGAAAAACCTTTTTCTGGCTATAGGGCCTAAGGGAAATAAAGTAATTATACTTAATCTTAATAATGACTTTTCCTAAGACTTTAATGGATGAAATCAAACCATGAAAGGAACTAAAAACTTTGGATTAAAAGTCATGACTTTAATTCCTACAAAAAAAATTTTTCGATAAGTGGATTTTTATCATCTTAGATTCAAACAATTCAGTAAAAAAAAATTAAAATATAAATGTACTTTAACTCTATCCCTGCTGGGGTACTTGAAAACCAGGATATGCTGGGGGGGGGGGCCAATTTGACCCCCCACCTCTAAATCCCATGTTTGATGTCCAAATATGATAAATAATACATCATTGGAAAGCTCTTGTGCTCTACTTTTAGAATCTGCAAAAAAATTTGCAAATTTGCAAAAATTGAATTTTTTATCGCAAAATCCAGTTATATAGTAAAAATGTTTGCAAAAAAAATTTGTTCAAAAAATGAAAAATTATACATTTTTGAAAAGCCCTTACCCATGCCATTTCAAATATGCAAAAAAATTTGCAAAATTTTAAATAACCTGATTTTTAATCAATAAAAACTAAAAATGTGCAAATTTCCTTTAACAGGTTGTTTGCAAAAAATTTGCAATTTTTTTTCTCGCAAAACTTGTGCAATCCGTTTCCTTATGTCATAGGCTTTCCAAAAAGCTAAATTTTATCAAAATCTGACGAGTGAAAGTGGGTCAAAACAAAGATTTAATTTGTTACAGGAAAAAGCAGTCATTCAGGCAGTACGCCTGAGGACTCTAGCAGTTAGTATTAAAGCCCGGTTTTAGGCCTAAAGGGAGGGCTTTGGGTATGTAGAAAAAGTCAGAAAATTTCAACAGCCTCAGACTAATACTTTTTGAGTTATGTAAAAAAACTACAGGGGGGGTCAAATTGACCCCCCCCCCAGCAGGAATAGGGTTAAATGGTGAGTTCAAAGTGCTCCAGAGTACGAAGAATACAAGTGTTCTGTTTCTTAATGTTGAGTACTTACCCATGGAAAACCCGGTTTTTGAAATTTCAGTGTACAATTGTACTCAAATTCTTCCAAACAGAACTTGTTAATTTTTATCGGCATACGAGATCTGCTATGGCGTCACATCCTGTTATATAAGTGTGTCTATAAAAATATAACCAAACTGTCATTATTCAAGAAACCATCATCAGGATTAGATCTGAGTATGAGTTTATACTTTTTCATTTTAAACACTAGGGGGTATATATATATATATATATATGAATATGTTTGGAATTTGAGAAGGTAATAGTCGTTTTAGTATAAAGTGTGCTCGACATAGGAGTCGACTTTATTTGTTGTTTAGGTTTGGGTGTTCAAATGATACGAGATATTAGGTACTCGTAGAATTTTGATATATTCCATATATATATATATACCTACCCAATAAACGTAAACTATATATTTTTCTAACCAATAGATAACTGGATTTGTACAAATAAGCAAGAGCTCGATAGAGATAAAAAATGAAATTTTTTCCGAACGCCGACCAAATACCAAAAAGTAAGGAATAAATGCGGGGAACTCGTGAATAATAGCGAAAATGCAACGGTTTGAATTAACTAAACTTGTTACTAAAGGGACTCTCAACACAATCCCAAGTGATCAATGAGATGCATGTCTGATTCACAGGGGGTACCCTTTACAGCTTAACCTGAGCAAATTTAAGTCAGATATCATCATTTTACTATCTTAATGTGAGCCAATTTCAATCTTCCTGTCTCAGAAATCCGCCAATTACTTTTACCGAGAAATGTACCACATTCTTCGTCACTATTGCTCGGACGAATGTTTAAGGGCTAATTCAAGGCAATAAGAATAAAGGGAAGGGACATACCGCTGGTCTGGCATGAGAAAGCCAGTCACAGTGCTTTGCAGACGAGTTCGTTATTACACACGCAAACTCTTTTGGTACAGACACACAACATGACTACAGTCAAGGAAATTGCAGAACAAAGTCGTCAATTATAATTAAGTTGAATAACGTGTTGTTTATTGTAAACTTAATTCAAATTATATTCTTTGCATGAAAATTTGGCTTATAGTTTTGACTTGTAAATAACATATTACATGCATATTAAACCTATTATTACGTAAACAATTTACAATAAACAAATGTTCTCTCCTAGACTGTACAAATACCGAGATTCTTATGTATTATATATACCTACACTAACACACCTTCGGTTCGTTATCACATACACACACTCTTTTGTCTCGTATGAATGTTCATTATAGGGCCAGATCATTATAATGATTTATAAATCTGTAATCATTCATACAGTCACACATACATGACGTTTCCGCCCCCTGGCTAATTCCCCTCTTTGAATGACGAGTCACTTCAAAATCAACAACAGTCTCTCTAAAGTCTAATCCTTTCTTGTAACCTTGTTCGATAACTTCTGGATTTGGTCTTATTACAGATTAAAATGCAAAGTGCTGTACCCAAAGATACTGTTTCGGACAGAGACATGATTGACCTACAGTGCGTGATCTTGAAAGCGAAGGTTCAGAGGGTTCTAGGGATTGTTGAGAATGTGAATCCTAAAACCTTACAGGATTGTTTAGCTGGGGTTATTGTGCCTGTAGAAGTGGATTTTAATGGGACTCAAGGCAAGGGTATACATCATACAATCTTCTGATAAGTTTTCAACATAAGTGTTTCCATGTCAGGTTTTATTCGCCCAATTGTTTTTTTTTTCATGGGAAAATGACTTATAGTTTTGGGTATAGATTGTTTAAAAGGATGAGTATAATGCCCCCCTCCCTCTAAGGGGTGTAAGTTTTAAAATTACATACCCCTGGTAACTCCAAACTTTATTCACACTCTCTAAAAAGTATCGGATTTATAGAAAAGTTTGTGTTAATGCATACCCTTGTAATGTATACCCTTGATAGAAGAAACTTCCAATGGAGTTGACATCTCTGCAACAAGGATTGGCAATGGATCTATAAAAGGGGATCATGGCTCTGTAAAGAATGATCATGTTTCCGCAAATGGAGATCAAAATATGATGACGATGAAGAAAGCTGACAAACCCGGAAAACAAGGGACCAGTGACGAGATTGCCAAACTGAAAACTGTGATTAGAAACCTCCGTGGAGATATTGATGCCCTGGAGGACGAAAAGGAAGAACTGGAGGCGGAGAATGGGATCCTCAAGGAGAATCTGCGGAGAACGAAAGCCCTTAGTGTGATTGACGAGACCTTGATCAAAGAGATGCGAGAATTCTACTACGGAGACAAGGAGGTTGCTCCGGAGGAAGAAGCGGAGATGGCCAGGCTCAAGGCGATCAACGTGCGCCTCATCAAGAAGCTGTTTGAAGTTGAAGAAAATCAAATTAAACTTCAGGAAGAGGTGTACGATCTGAAGATGGTAAATCAGAAGATGGTGGCGGAGAGACTAGGATTCTCAGGGCTTCCAAGATTCTGAACAAGAAATTAGAACATTCTCAAGATTAGATCATTGTTGGGGCTGATTCGGAACAGTTTAATTTTGTATGCCAAAATTTACTTCGGTTTGTTTCTTTGTTTTTTTCAACACAAGCTTATTTTAGTTAGTTCTCCCATTTAAATTCTAAAATTCTGGAAACACGAATGTCCTTATTTTGCTTAATTAATACCAGTGCAAGAATTAACTGTTTCCATTTACTTTTTTTTTAAGCAATTCAGCATTTTTGCAAACTCTTACTGTTAGGAATTTGGACTTTATACTCGATTGTTAATTTTTGTTATCATTTTTTATTTGATAATGATTCATTCTTCTGATAAAACTAAATAAAAAAAATAGTTCATTTCAAAGACGACCCAGGGAGGGCTTTCTCAGTTTTATTAGTTCCCAGCTCTGTGCCTTGTTTTAACAAACTGTTTTTGCTCCAGAGAATTATTTCTGATTCTGACTCATTTTCCTCAATTGTAAAAAGTGTCCGACTTATTTGTTCATTTTTTAATAATTTCAGATGAATATTGTCCAGGTTGGGTTCAGTTTCTTGATCCGCAGCGGGGTTTTAGCTCCGCGAGTTTCTCTGTCCTGGAACACGGTTCAGATTCATAAACCTAGACAGATACAAACCTCGCCCCCGGAGAATCAGACCAACCTAGCCCCTGGTCAGGTTGTTATCACGGAGAATGATGGAAAGAAAACACTCCTGTCAGATATAAATAAGCAGATAAGAGAGGATGGGACTGGACGGTTGTTTTCTGTTATTTATCTCCGAGGGAAACAGCATAAAGTTACACCAGGGATGAAACACAAACAGTTTTGATATAGGTTCGTTTTGCTCTGAAAGAGTAGTTTGTTACAAAACATTCCACCAGGCCCATTTTTTCCTTTTCGAAATCTTAAATAAAGTAAAATTCTTTTGGAAACGTCGAGTAATACATTTTTGATTGTTATAATGTCTTAACTTTTTGTTCAATTTATTATATAATATGTTTTTATCCTTATCAAATTCCTGATTTTTTTTATGCTTTTCAAACTCATTCAGATTCTTGCTTTTTTGTGTAAATGAAATAACTTGAAAAACATTTTGTCAAATTAAATTAAGATGGGAATCAAAAACGTTAAATGCGTAAAAATCCCTTGAAAATTAATGAAACAATAAGGAGTTAACCGGCTTTTTAGAAAGATATGTGTCGGTTATTTCCTAGAGAACGGTTCAAAGGCGCTACTTTTGATACCCATATCAACATGTTTGGAAAAATTGAAAAATCGACCTGCACTGAAGATCGCAGTTGTCAATTAACAGTTTGTGTTTGGTCCAGGAGATATTGTAAAAGTATTGACAGATATTGGAGCTCCTCTGGGAGAAAAAATAATCCTTGACAAGGTGATGTGTGTCGGAGGCCGGGATTTCACGCTCCTAGGTCGGCCTCTCCTCCCTCACGGCATGGTCTCCGTCGAAGCAACTGTGGTGGAGAAAACTTTGTCAAGAACTAAAATCAGTCAAATTTTTAAAAAACGAGAGAATTATAAGAAAACTTATTTTACGCGCGAAAAATGGAGTTTGTTGCGAATTACTGATGTTAAAATAAACAGGGAGGTGGATTAGAAATATTTTATCCTGTTTCAGATGTAAGAATGGTTTACTAGGGATCCGGGGGTACGGTATGACCTCGAAGGTTCGGTATTCATCGATACCTAGAGATCATGATCGAAACTTCTTTTCACGATTAGGTGAGAATTAAACTTATTTCATCCATTTTCTATGATGTGACCTTTTCTCTATTTCTATCACAGTATAAACCCTGGAGTTATGGCCAATGGATAAAAAATAATGAAAAAACGCAAACTTTGGATTCACCCACCAAGGATGGAAATTCCTCAAATAATTGGACTAAGATGGAAGTGTTTAGAACCCGCGACCAGCAGTCTCCGATCTCAGTCGACAAATTATAAGGAGAACTGTCGAACTCTGCCGTCCCGAGGACATCAGCAGGATCAAGAGAAAGGGAACGGGAGGGTAGGCAGGTTAGTACAGGGTCCAACTAGACACAGGGGGGATGGGTGCATTGCCCCCCTGGAATTTTAATCTCCTCCTTTTAACCCATTAGGGACGAGAAGGTCAATTTGGACACGGGTGAGTTTTTTTAGTGCCTTTTATCTTAAACTAAATGGCCTGTCTTTTCCTGCGCTTCCTTAGGATTCCCTGTTTTCAAAACATATTTTATATTTGACGTAACTTCAAAATTGGTTTTTTTTAAATTTTCAATTTTCAAAAAACTCAAAAAAAACAAGATTTTGATTTCAGAAGAAAACCAAAAGAACACCCTGTAATTTTGAATTTATTAAATTGTCAATTTTTTGCTAGAAAAAAATTAAAGACATTTTTGGAATAATTTATTCCAAAGATCTAAATAACTAAAACATGAAAAGTAAAGTTTTGAAGATAATTAGTTAATTGTTAATTTCCAGTTTTTTAGATTTTCATGTTTTACAGGTCACCCTGTAAAAAAAGAAATTTAAATTTAATTGAATATTGTTTTTTTCATTAGTACAATCTAGTTTTGTTATGACAAAATCCTGCTAAAACAACTTCACTAATAGTTAATTGTCTCGTCACTAATGGGACGTTAACATCAAATTTATCAAGTTTGCCTCTCTTCCTGTATACGCCCTTGTCTAGATACATTTCATTATGTTATATTTGTCGCGCGAATCTTCAGCTTGGAACTTTTAATTGAAAGGAGAAATATTAATTGGTTATGGAAATGGGAACTTTTAAATGAACGGTTTAAGTTCAACTCGTTCCTTTCTCCCGGAGATTTTATTTTAAATTCTTAACTTATAACTTCTTTGTTTAAATTCGTAAATTTCAATTATGAAGGATCATACATCTTCAAAATCGGCTAATTATGTATTAGAATTAGCTGATACATCCAATTGATATGAAATTTAACTTCTGAATACAAACGCTTCAGCTCATAAGTTCCGTTCGAGTTAAGCTAGGTAGCTTAATTCTTTCTCAATCAACAGTCCCTAACTCAGTTCTACTGTTTTACCGAAAATTTGATTTCTACTTTGCTCTTATTTCATCAAAAACTCTTATTATTTTAATCATATTTCTTTTGAAAGGTTAATCATTACAACATATGGAGTTTTTGGGATATATATAATTCAAATCCAAACTCGACAGGAACTCTTTCATTATTACTCGTAACATTGTAGGAGTACTGTGGTACGAAGACCGTCAATGAGTACAAAACCCGGATTCCAGCAGTACTCCGGAACCATGTCCGGAGGAGGGTGTAAGAGCTCCAGTCTCCCGGTTCATTGCGTGGACGGGTCTCCGCTCATCTCAACAGGTTTGTTCTTCTTCATTAAGGAGTTATTCAAAAATTTCAATCATATCCTGCTTTGCCATCCTAGGTTGGAACTTTTGTATTGTTAAATACTTCAGAAAGGACTTGTCCATTTCCTTATGAATATCTCTGGTGGTACGATTGTTTATGATTTTCCATGGTTTAATTTCTATTTAAAGCTTTTTACGGTCGTCTTCTTTCATTTTATTTGATCATTAACTATAAATTAACACAAGCTATTAAAAAAATTCCAATCTCCCGGTCCTTGATGCTCATAAAGTACAGAGTAAATTAAAGTAAATCCTGCAAAGACTTTAATGTGATAATAAAAGATTTAGCGCACCGTGCTGCCTAACATTACGCTTAGCTCTGATGCGGTCGTAGATCTCAAATATGGGGGGGGGGGGGGTTTTGATTTTTTCTCCTATTGTTTTACCACATTTGAAAGAGGCCTATTGTGTTAATTACTTCTTTGTCTGAAATGAATCCTGGGTTTGTACTGTTGTGTTTATCTAACCGTCTCCAAGATAAAGAATATTTAACTGTTTAAATTTCCAAGTTCAATTCTTTCTTTATCACATGCACGTGGAATGAAAACAGAAAGAAATTTTTTTAGCCTTGGATATCCTTGGGTTCCCTAAAAACATTCAGCCTATTCGGTCCAGCCATTTGGCCGGCTATTAGGGATTATCTTCTCTTCTTGCATTACAAGAAGAACACGACATTTTTCTAATAAACGGGCTTGATAAGGCAAAATAAGAGTTAAGAGAGCTAAGTTAAAGGAACTGGTATAAAGTATACGAAGAGGGTTATTATAGTTTACTGTTTCAAGGCTGGTTTTTCAAATAGAAATCCTCAAAATAGTTTTGCGAAAAGGGACTGCAGACGTCGTTTCAAGTGATCCTCCTCTATTTTTAGAGTAGCACGTTCGATTCGCAATGGTACCTGTGATAAAGCTTTTTTCTAAGATATATATGATTCACTAGCTGAAAGGCCCGGCGTTGCCCATGGAAAAAAAATTGAGGGAAAAAATCCATGAGTGTCCACAAAAAATTTCAGCCCAATCGGTCCAGCCGTTTGGCCGGCTATAGGCAAAATATATATTTATACGAATGTCTTGTTTTATGATATAGATAGATAGATACATCACTTGCGGATTTTATGCTACAGAATTCTATGCATTGTGAAGCTAGAAAACGGCTATTCTCAGAGGCGTATTCAGGGGGGGGCTATGGTGGCTAAGCCCCCCCCCCTGGACCAATGAAATCTATTGATTTCAGGGGGTTTTCAGGTCCCAACGGGTGCTGAGCCCCCCCCCCCCCTGGAAAGAGAAAAAAAATTTAAGCCCCCCCCCCCTGGACAAATTCCTGAATACGCCCCTGGCTATTCTTCACATTATTGATCAGATAAAGGTTTTTAAGGGTACTGTGTGAATCGGGCATTGCTTTCTTTGCATGGAAGGTCACTTGATCTTGCACTTACAGTCCATTTAAAACTTAAAGATTTCCCTGAGGGCCCAAACAGTCATTATTTTGTTCAAAACTAATACTTGAAATCCACTTTTTCTCCTTTCGAGAGAGGTTTTTAACACATAAAAACCGCGACGAAAGAATCTGGATCTTTAGTAAATTTTTAAATCTGTGAACAATCCCTTTAATCTTGTAGATGTATCTGCTGAGGATCTGGCTAGCCAGCTGACCCTCCTGGATCTGCCCGTCTTTAAGTCCATCACCTCCGAAGAGTTACTCTCCTGCTCCTGGAATAAGAAGAATAAGATGGATATTGCTCCGAATATTGTTGCTTTCACTCGAAGGTTTAATCATGTTTCCTTCTGGGTTGTTGAGGTAAATATATATATACACCCCTGTAATCAGGGGTATTTTTAAGAATTCCTCCCCCCAGGGGGGGGGAAGATTTATCATCAAAAGCTAAGTTTTTATAATCCCGTTTAATACTTTTTCCCAAAAAAAAAATCATACGTTTCCCCCTTAATTTTTTTTTAATTCTGCAAAGGAACCCCTGAAAAAGTTCACTCCGCGCAACTATTCCTAACTTTTTTTTTGTGGGGGGGGGTGTGATTTTTAAGACAGTATTCACCCCTGGCTGTAATTATAGCTAATTCTTGATTTCTCTTTCAATAGTCTCAAATTTTACTAAATGAAAAGAATTATTTAGATTGTTTTCTTTTTTTAAAATCTGATTATCCGTCTTTTTGTTCCTAAACAACAATTTGTTCGGTAAATTCTCAGTTTGTTCCCGACTGCCCCCCATAAAAGCATTCAATAGCATACGCTGTAGATATTCATTAGCCATCTGAAGATGTGCTTTACAACAAAATATATTATGGCGAAAATGACAGTTGTTTAAAACCTTGGATTGGAGAGAGTATAATCATGAAATCATTGAGACTGTAGAGTGTAGACTGTAGAGTATAGAGTGAAGGCCTCTAGATTATTTCTTTGGCACAGAAATCGTTTTAGCTTAAGCCAAGGTGTGTTAAATTTTCAAGGGGGGGGGGATGTCCCTAGTTTTGTGCCAGGATTGAGCCTTCTTTTTTTAGGAGATCTTGAAGCACGAGGATCCCCGGTCTCGGGCCGACACCATGACCCACTTTGTCAAGGTCGGGAAGCGTCTGCACGAGCTCAACAACCTCCACAGTCAGTTCGCGGTTCTTAGTGCGCTCCAGTGCGCTTCAATTTATAGGCTGAGTAAAACCTGGAGCCTGCTCAGCCGCAGCACAAAACAAACCTTTGAGAAACTGACTGATTTGTTCAGTGATCGGGACAATTGGTGTCGGCTCCGGGATCATATGAATAATACGGCTCTGAAACATAATCCTTGTATACCATACCTAGGTAAATAAAAGACAAATTCAATCCGTTTTAGTAGGGAGGAGGTGTTTAAAGAGTATGATAATCTTATGAGGAAAAAAATGTAATAATGGAAATTCTTAAACGAGATGAAATAATCTTGATGTATTCTTTAACGAAGGCCGCAGGCCTGAGTTAAAGAATGCATCAAGATTATTTCATCGAGTTTAAGAATTCCATTATTACATTTTTATCCTCATAAGATTATTATTATATCATATTTGTGAGGTTCCATGGGCACATACCCAAGAAATTATANATTCAATCCTTTATTAGTAGGGAGGAGGTGTTTAAAGAGTAATTAATCTGCAACGTCTCCCAATTCAATCCTTTATTAGTAGGGAGGAGGTGTTTAAAGAGTAATTAATCTGCAACGTCTCCCAATTCAATCCTTTATTAGTAGGGAGGAGGTGTTTAAAGAGTAATTAATCTGCAACGTCTCCCAATTCAATCCTTTATTAGTAGGGAGGAGGTGTTTAAAGAGTAATTAATCTGCAACGTCTCCCAATTCAATCCTTTATTAGTAGGGAGGAGGTGTTTAAAGAGTAATTAATCTGTAACGTCTCCCCATTATTATCCCTTTACATAATTACAAAATTGGGTAAAAAGTAATAACATTTTCCTCTCTCTAATAAAAAATGGAATTATCGTTCTTCTTTCCCAACAATTACAGCGCTTAAAGAACATTTTATAAATCAGCAAAAAAAAATAGCAAGTAAGTCGTAATGAGTTTTAATGATTGGACGGGGGTCGGGAGTTATTTTGAAAGATGTATATATATTTAAAACCCTAATTTTAAGCCTCTGAATTTGTTAAACTATTTGTTTTCAGGACTGTATCTGACTGATTTAATGATGGTTGACATAGCCCATCCTTCCACTGGAGGTTTAGAACCTCACCAAAGACAATTAAAGATGAACAATATTCTTAGAATAGTTTCAGAGTTACAACAGTCCAGCTACTCCAACCTTCCCATACTCCCTGTAGTCCAACATTTTCTCTCCTCAGTCCGTTATATTGACGAATTACAAAAATTTATTGAAGACGATCAGTTTAAGTTGTCTCTTAGACTCGAACCCAACACTGTGAGTCCTCCTGTATCCTCCTGCAGTAGTAAGGAGTCGGTTCGACACCCGGCTCCACTCGAGAAGGATCTTCACGTAGAACTAAGTCCTATTTGTCTATCTCCGTCCCGTCGGAGCGGATGCATCCCAAGATCTGGGAAAAGTTTTGTTCCCGGACACCGGAAGTCCCGGAGTGAGGGAGGAAACATCCTGTTTGGATGTGGAGGGGGAGGGCTGGCCAGCCCGGAGCTTCCCCTCGCGGCCTCCATGGGTCGGCGAGGAATGAAAGTGAGTAGTATGGACAGCTTGGACAACGAGAAAACTCGATCATTGTTGGATGGAAGTTTTTTAGAGGTGATTATATTTAATGATTTCTATAGATTCCTTTCAATACTGTTTTTTCATTTAATATTTTGCCTAGGGGGAAATATTTTTGTGTAAAATAATTTCCCCACTCCCCTCTTGGTAAAATCAATTTTTCCCCCTATGTTTAAGTGGTTTTAAGATTTAATTGAAAAGCAGATGGCTCAAGTGGGGGGGGGGGGGAAGTTTGGGGTAAAAAGTATCAAATAGAAATCTTGACAGAAGAATTTGTTTTTTTTTTCCCAGTTTTGTCAACGCTGTCTGTAGATTAGGTGGTGGTGGTGAAAAAAGTTTTTATAGCATTATTGCATATTTTCTCTATTTACCAATTGACTTTTTGTTCAGGAACCAACTCCAGGAATATGCCCGCAATCCCCACTCTACTCTCCGGACTGTGAGCGGGACGCATTGACTCCGGATCCTCTTTCTCTTTCTATAGTCCAACCTGGATCCATGCGAACCTTTCAGGTGGAAGAAACGGGATTTGAAAAAACTAAACAATTCTCTATTTAATAGATTATATAGGTTATATAACCCAAATTAAAACATTGCCTTTATACTCAAACTTAGTTTACAAACATATTATTTTAGCTTTGAAAGAATAGTTTTTAGAAATATTTAAATTGTTAATATACTAATTGTAGATCGGACAAGTTAAAAATTTGTATCTGCTATCGTCTGTAAACTATAATGTTAAGGGATACATCCAGAGAAAAACTCTAATCAAGGACGGACGACGACCTCTTGTCTCCTCCTGGCAGAGGTATTGGGTGGAACTCTGGGATACCTCACTAGTTTACTATCTTCCCAAAACTCTCAGGTTAGTTATTAGTTCTTAAAATTAAATAACAAACGGTTAATTTAGAAAAACAAAAACGTTCTTAACTCTAGCAGACAAATGTGATAAAGGAGGGAAAGGCACTTTAAATAATCTTTTTTTTAAACTAAAAACAATGTTATCTAATTCATACTTGATCAGAAAAAAAAGCTTTTAAGGGTGTCGTTGTGAATCCGTATTTGCCATCTTTGCATGCAGGGTCACTTGAAATTACGCTTAAAAAGTACTTTTAAACGTTATTTTTAAATTTTATTTTCACCTCTTCAGATCTTAGAAAATTAAAATTTGTCTCTGATAGATAATCCTTTCTAGTAAATGTCGAGAGAGACGAGACTACCGATCCGAGCCGTGTAAACTTCGAACTGTTGTTGGATGGATTGTGATGGTTCCTCAGCAGACACATCAGCTCCAGCATGTAGATCAGGAATCCTTCCAACTTGCTGACCCTGTCATGAGAAATGTTTACAGGTCGAGATTTTTTTAATTTCCGGTATATAAAAAGTAAAAAAAATTTTTTTTTTTAAACTTGTAAATGCAATCGTTTTAAGTTGAGGTCCATTGTTTTACATTGCTGCTCTTTACAAAGCAGAATAATTAATTAATTGATTTATTAATTGATTTATTAATTGATTTATTAATTGATTTATTAATTGATTTATTAATTGATTTATTAATTAATTTATTAGTTGAATTATTAATTGATTTATTAATTGATTTATTAGTTGGGTTATTAGTTGATTTATTAATTGATTTATTAATTTATATGTTAATTAAAATGTTAATTAATTTGTGAATTGATTTATTAATTGATTTTTTAATTGACCTTTGAAATACTTTGAGGCACTCATTTAGCAACCTAATTCTAGAAATATTTGTCATCAAACAATTTCCAATATGGGGTCTGTCATTTCCTTCTTTCAAAATTTCCAGAGATATTAAGAATTTTGTTTAGATTTTAATTCATTTATAAAACAATCAATGTAATTGTTTAATTCTGAACGAAATCGTTAATATCCCAGGAATCTTATAAATTTCTTAAAGATACGAAACAAAACCTTAGACATACAATTTATTACTTATGAGCCTAACCTTTGACATACCATGCATTACTTGTGAGCCTAACCGTAGACATACCATTCATTACTTGTGAGCCTTACTTTATTCTTGGTTTCGTGGCTCAAACTTGGTCGTGTTGCTGGGATCATTTCGCCAAATTTAAACAATTGATTCATTAAAGGTTAAACATTAAACAAATCCGGGCTGAAAACCCACCTCTCAGTCAGGACTTGAAACTCCAAGCTGTAGAGTGGAGCCTAAAGCTTTCCCTAACACTCATGATTTGATTTGATTTGGGTGGTGAATTAGGCGGCCTATAAGACCTTACAAGTCTGATTTCAATTGATCAAACTTGAGTTGGTTAAAAACACACGAATACCTGTGCGCATACGCTACCATCTGCACAGCATGGGGACTGGCTTTCTCGAGTCAGACCAGTACAATTCCCATTCCCTCTATTCTTATTCCCTGATAAAAAAATCTCCTGAACTGAATTTTATTTTATTTCTGTTTTTCAGATTTCGAGGAGAAGAGAAGGATCGAAATCTCTGGGTGTATCATCTAACCAGGGCTAGTAAAGGAATCAGTGCCCAGTGCCTACCAACCAATCTAATATCCTTCGAATAGATTTAAATATATGAAAATCAGTACATAGTACATGTTAAATGTATGTAAACTGTAATAGTTCAACATTCATGTGGTCGTTAACGTATTTTTAAGTATCCTGTTATTTTAAAAATCATCTTCTGGATTTCTACAGAAGAGATGGGGGAGGTGAATGGCCGCAATTTCTACCATTTTAGATAGAAAATATTTTCTCTAATAACGTTACCATTGTCAATTGTTTCGACTTTTTCTTTTCTAGAAAAATGGGTCAAATACGCTGACATACCCTTTAAGCTGGGATATTAATATCCGCAGAACTAGTCTAGTTTTCTCAAATCAAAACTTCAAATCAAAAAATTTTATTTTCTGTTTCTTAGCTTTTAGATTGTTCAATGTTCATGTATGTTTAATCCTGAACTAGGCGTTTAATTCTGTTTCTACGGCGTTAATATCCCAGCAGCACTTAAATGTAAAATGCTCTAGTCGAAACTTAAAATAAGACTTATTTTTAAAATGACATTTTTGCTTCTAAGCTCTGGAAATATTGATAAACAGAAAAGGTCATGAAAAGTTTTTTTTGTAAATTGATTTTATGGTCGTTTTTTTAATAGATAAAATATTGGCAATGATGACAACCCGTTCACAATGATGACATGACAATATGAAACCAAAGGCTGCGCCAAAGTTTAAAAAATAATTATTTCTAATTTATGCAATAGATTAGCATTAAACTACAAATAAGATATTGCAATTATGGTGAGAAGAAAAAAAAAGACAAATGTGTAACATATATATATATATATATATATATAAATTTAAGCACAGATTGAATAGATAGAACAGCATAACCTACACGTGATACTTAAAAAGTATTTAAGAACGCTTTCTTGTGTGTCCTATCTATTAAAACTGATTTTAAGTAAAAAAATTCACTGTTATAAATTTAATCATTATTGTAGATTTCATAGAGTTATTATAAGGCGTTGTAACCCTCTTTATACTAACTCCATGTTTAGAACACGACTAGAGTCTAGGTTCTCTTTATGTATATATTGAACCAGATCTTGTAGAATTTTATCTTAAATAATTTAACATGAATTTTTATTTGTTAAATACCTAAGAAACTGTATTTTGTTGCCTAAATCATGAAATTTTATCAAATTTTTAAATTATGAATAATTATCTGCATTATATATTTGAACGAACGCACTGTTTAATTCTCTTAGTAATATGGTGCCTTAAATGAAAATTGGTGTAAAGGGAGTGTTCGTGAAAAATTATTTGGGGTATAGGATTAATTTAAATCAAATTCGACATCGATTGTATTTTTCATTTTTTTTTCTCGGGTTTCTTAAAATCGAAATTGACATACCTTTCTTCGCTCGTTTTAAAGTCAATAAAATCCGGGAAAATGAGCAGATGTTTCTGTATGAAACCCTAAATAAAACCTATTTCTATCATTATTGTAAGGTGTTCACTGCTTAAAACTTAATTCGTTGATTTTGTTAAAATTACCTTTCAAATTTTGAAGTCTGTTTTGTTTCATTAATTTCTTTTAACAGATGCATCTAATAGATATAAATTATACCGATTTGAATTTATTTCAAACCTCTTTTCTTTATCACGAACACTCCCATTAAGGACGGAAAAAATCTTAAAATTTGTAATTACTGGCATTACGCCATCTGAAGCCTAATTAATAAGAAAAAGAATGAAAGGCCTCATTCCGACATTAATGCTTAGATCCTATACGTTTACCAGAGCACTTCTAGTTACTAGTCAACTTTTGTCAGGGATATATATTTTCTGAAAGGGAACATTTAAAAAAATTACAGAAAAAATCTTCCGATTTCACGATTCTTTTATTTTATTCTCTTTTAATAGTTATTTATTTGAAATATATACCCCTGATATTTTCAAAAATTATATCCGGGTCATTTCTTTTATTGATACTCAAACCTTCTCCGTGCCATAACCAAACCTTGGCTCTGTGCTCCTTGAACCTGTAGGATATATTCAGAAGAATGGATGGGGTGACACGAGGAGAGGTTCTGGGTCTGGTTGTCAGACTGGCAGCGGTCACCACGCTCAGCTACTTTACCATGAAGGTCAGACTCCGTTCAGGGTTTAAAATCGGAAATTAAATATTAAATAAGACCTTCTTAAATCATCATCGAGGGTCCCATGTCCCTTTTAAAATATGTCCTGTATTTCTTTTTTTTCCAAAATTGTACATTAGCCTGTATGGATCCAGGCCGTACGTTGAATGTTTATGCGCTGCGTCCAGAAGCCAGTTTGGGGGTTCCATGTCGTGTTCCCTTTAAAGATCTATCTATTATTATTTTGCTGCAATTTTTTGTTCAATGGCAATTTGAAGTCTTAGGGAGAAAAAACTGTTTTAAAAAGTCTCAAAAAGTTAAATACTGATGAATTTATTTAAGAAAAACTGTTTTCCTGAACTATATGCTTCCGAGATGTTTTTTTTCTAATGATAAACTTTTATTTCAAATTTAAATGTTAAATTTATTCAATTGGTTGTCAATATTTTGTTCTAAAACGAACTTAATTTTTTAGATTCTAGTAGATGCCTTGGATCCAACAAAGAAGCAGAAAATTGCGGCCCAGAAACGAGCCCAACAAATCCTCTCTAGTCTCGGCATTCCCAGCGATATCAATCTAACAGAATACGAGTTGTTAATCGCGAGTCAGCTCGTCGATCCGTCGACGATAACTGTCGGTTTCGAAGATATCGCCGGTTTAGAGCAGATCGTTACCGAGCTCCGACAAACTGTGATTCTACCGATCCAGAAACGGGATCTGTTCTGTAGTTCTGCTCTGATGTCTGCTCCCAAAGGTGTACTGCTCCATGGTCCGCCAGGATGTGGGAAAACAATGATTGCAAAAGCAACGGCACGGTAAATCTTTTAGTTTACAGGGAATCAGGATTATCATGATTAAATTTTCATGAAATTTCTAACGCTTCAAATGTATTTGTAATCAAAATATTTGTATTAAAAAAAATTTGCCTCTACGGACCCAAAAGGGTTATGCTTGCATTTTAATTTTTTAATTTCTCAAAACTAGAGAATTATTTTATATCCGATAACTTTTACACTAAGTGATTAAAGTTTGGAAGTTCAGGCAATTTGGGAAATAAAATATTTGCTGGGATGGAGAAGGATTGGGGGGGGGGGGTGGTAAGAAAGGAAATAAAATAAATGTCTTCGCGATGTTAAGGGGGAGGGATTCGAAAATGAATAACCATTGAATATTTTGCTTACGGCGAGGACCAGAAAACTGTGTTGAAGGAAGATGACTTAAATATTCAACTGAAGAGTTCTGATAGTCCAAAGAGACACTGCAATTGCTTTAATGTAGTCTTCATATTCCACTGTTATATGGTTCTCACTGTATTTTAAAGAGAGGGGGAAGATAATGTCTTGCTAAAATCTCCTTGAACTTGTTCATTGTTTTAGTGAGGCTGGTGCCAGATTTCTGAACCTGGATATATCCTCTCTCACGGATAAATGGTACGGAGAATCACAAAAACTGGCCGGAGCTGTATTCACCTTGGCAACCAAAATCCAACCTTGTATAATATTTATTGACGAAATCGACAGTTTACTCCGGGTTCGGGACCAGCATGATCATGAAGCAACAGCTATGATTAAAGCACAGTTTATGCAGCTGTGGGACGGATTAACAACAGACAACAGCTGTACAGTTCTCGTGATGGGAGCAACCAACCGACCTAATGATGTCGATAAAGCAATTTTAAGGTAAATTATTTTTTAATCCTGCGGGGTCAATATATTTTTTGAATAGGAGGGTGGGGGTTCATGGAACTTCATCAATATTATGAATTGACTTTTGATCAAGGGCGTTCTCTTGAATTTTCTTCTTTCTAGGGAGGCTTATCGCCCATAGGGGCCCAAAAGTTGGAAACCTTAGATTTCGCTGTTTCAGGGGTGGGGGGTGAGCTACATATCCCCCCCCCCTCTCCCCCTGAATACGCCTCTGAATATAGGGAGTTGTGCTTAAGTTTATCCCCCGGAAATTTTTAACATCCTAAAATAAGAGATTAAAAGCAATGATAAATCACTTGCTCATGACATTAATGTATTTTTATCTCAAAAACACAAGTTGAAAAGTATCAATGTCGCGAATAAATAATCATAGTTTGATGGTAATGTTACATCTTCTATACGCAACATCCCCTGTACTGAACTTCCGACCTGCTGCAATATCGGACCTACGCCAGCTGTTTATTTTTGTATTATTTGAGGGTTAGGTTAGGTTAAGACAATTTCTGGGCCGAGCGCTGCGGCTAGGGGGCCGAGCGCCGCGGCTAGGAGAGGCTGGGGCCGGGTGCTGCGGCCACAAGTCAATATCGCAGCTGTAAAACCACGTGCTAGTAGGTCGGATGTGTAGTATAGCGGACTTGGCGTAGGTCAGAAACTCAGAAGTGGAGTATAGCGGAAATGCGTAGGTCGAAAAATACACGACCTAATTTGATAGATAAAAGAAAGACGACATATAATAGTTAATATCTGTGTTTGCATTTTTAAAAGTATAAAACTTTAGAGGGGATAAACAGAAGCACGACCAGTACAGTTGGCAAAAGAAGTGTAATAACATTTTATTTGATTTTGTAAATTGAGAGTTTTTATTTAAGTTCATATATAAAATGGATTGATTGTAAGTTCAGTTGACCGTTTATGCAAAGATGGCAATTTCCGATTGAAAACTGTACCCTTCAAATCTTTGCCTGATTAAGTATGAATTAGATATCAATGATTTTGAAAATTGATTATTTTCAATTGTGTTTTCTCTACAAAAGGGACCAGGGACATTTCTACTGGAGGGAAGTATATAAGAATTATCAGAGTTCTACACTATTAAACCCGGATAAACCACAATATCTTCCAATTATTGAGCAGATAGAGGTTTTCCAGGGTATCGTTGTGAATCAGGCATTGCCATCTTTGCATGAAATTGGAGGGTCACTTGAAATTACGCGTACAGTCCCTTTAATTGTTTCTTGTTTTAGACGTATGCCTGCAACTTTCCGAGTAGGATTACCATCTGCCGAGCAGAGAAGATCGATCCTAACCACAGTTCTCAGGATGGAAGTTATATCAGACTGTGTAGACACCTGGAGACTAGCAAAACTAACTGAAGGTTTCTCCGGGTCTGATCTAAGAGAGCTGTGTCGGTCAGCAGCTGTGTGTCGGGTATATCAGCTGAAAGAGGATCAAGAAAAACTGGATCCAATTAATATGGAGGATTTGCTTACTGCACTTGCGAAAATGCGCGAATCCAAAATAGAATGTGGCGGCAGTATACCTAGACCCCCAGATCTAGATTGAAATTAAAATAAATATCGTAATTTGTGATAATTGTTATTTTTTTGCATAGAATGTTATATATATACTGTTTCAGTTTAACTACGTGAAATTTTATTGAGTTTTTAGATTTTTTTCGCTATGCAATAAATTTACATGCTAAATTATTCGTTGACTGTGATTTTATTATTATGTGATTTCTTTATTTCTTTATTTCTTTATGATGTTTTCATTATTTAAAATGGGTACTTTTTGTCTTATCATTGTGTTTTGATTTTAGTATCTGAAATATTTATGTTTGATTATCTTCCTGAGTTGAGAAAAGTTATTACCTAAATAATAATAATTTAAGAAGCCATGCTGACGAAAAAGAAAAAAGATATTCTAGGGTTTAATCGATTTTCATTCTGAAATTCGATTAAAGCGACGTAGGCGTAGTATTAAGTTACTTCTACCTAAAAGAGTTATATGTATGATTCACAACGGTACCCATAAAAACTTTGGGTAATTAAGAATGAATGAGATATCCATGATGTCTCCTTAAACAAGTTTATCCAGTTTGTTTCTTTTATAATATCGAGTTGCGGATTTCTGGCCACTTAAACAATGGAGGAAATTATTAAAATTTAACATTATACAATCCATTTAAACGACGAGATCCCGGCCACCATGAACCTCTGATTTATTATCCGAGCTCCTGGTCGCTCCTGCCGGTCCACTAAATCGTATTTGAAACCTTTCTTACGTAGGAAGGAAAATGTTTTGAAAATTAAGTTCTGACGTGAATTCAGTTTGTTCCGTTGTAATCTTGGCTTTAAGCGATACTTTTTTGTAAATTCTTTTAATTCAGAAAATTCTTGAAGTTTAGAATTCATGAATATAATCATATATAATTATAATAATACATGTGACATTAAAAAGGCGCGTGAAATTAAGACTGAATATTATCTGAACATGATACCCTGAAGTGTCTTTCTACATTAAGTCGACTTGTATAAAGAGGACGTATAAAAATTTCATGTATATTTGATGTTATAAAACAAATAGTTTTACTAGTAGCTTGAAAATCAACCTATGAATTGGGATGGGCCTGGGTGCACTGCATTTGCCCTGTCTCTTGTCCATTGGACCATTTCAAATCATAACCTTTATAAAATAGAGAATATAAACTGGTTTTCTTTCTATTCCGCAGTTAGCCAAGGAAAGAATATAAGTTAACAACCCTTTAATATTTATGTCAAAAGTTTCAGATTATAGAAAACAACCTACGACCACTTGGGTCCTACAAAGGGTTAGGATGGAAGACAAGAAGCAACCGGAGTCCGAACTTTCTAGCCATTGCACAGTTTTTAAACGGATCGATAACGTCAGTTATGTTGGACGGAAGATACGGATCAAGAACGGAAATATTATCCAGGTTGACCGAATTCAAGGACCAGAAAGTGAAGAAAACGTAAATACAGCTCTTTCCAAGGATGTCCAGACGATGTTTACACCATCTGTAAACGTTACTAGAAGCCAATCAAAGATTATGATTAGTAAGATGTCCCAGGCTGATCCCGGAAAGGTTTCTAAGATGTCCTCCAAGACTGCTGGTCTAATGCGGGATGAAATGAAGATTGTAAGTGTTCCCCACTGTATAGAAGAACTAGGCAAATATTATATTCATTTAATAATTAATTAAATACATGATTAAATATAATAAAGTGTACGGTTCCCGGTACAACATGTGGTCTGCTTTCAAAATTACCAGAGATACAGGGTGACCTACAAAGGATGAGACTTCAATGAGAACTTGCAACTTTTCAAATATTGTGATCTGAAGTTTCTGTGTTAAATATGGCCTTGTGATTGCATATTATATGATTCATATGATTTGGCAAAGAAACTGAAAAGATTACAGCTGTATGGAACCTTGAATGTAAGAACTAAAACTTAATCAATTCCATAGTCTTCTTGGAGGTCGCATTCACCCAGTAAAAAATATAATAGATATAAATTTATAAATCTCAAAATTAAATGTAATATCGTTGTAATAATTTTCAAGATACCATAAAGGAAGAACTTATTATGAAAACTGGAAAACTTTTAATCTTGTTGGTAGATACTTGATCATCAGATAGCTCACTGTCAAAGTTCAAAATTAATGCTTGAGTTATTTCTCAATTGTCATGTTTATTGGGAACCCTGTACAAATAAAACAGAAAAAAAAGAATTTCACGAATAAATATTTCTTCGTTTTGAAGTTTACAACAGCTTGGATGCCGGAGCCAAGGCAATTGAAGTCAGAGTAGATCTTAACCAGGACGAGATCAGGATACAGGTAAACCTTCTCCTAGATCAGAATACAGGTAAGCCTTCTCCTAGATCAGGATACAGGTAAACCTTCTCCTAGATTAGGATAGAGGTAAACCTCATTAATCAGAATATAGGTAAACCTTCTCCTAGATCAGGATACAGGTAAACCTTCTCCTAGATCAGGATACAGGTAAACCTTCTTCTAGATCAAAATACAGGTAAACCTTCTCTTAGATCAGGGTACAGGTAAACCTTCTCCTATATCAGGATTCAGGTAAACCTTCTCCTAGATCAGGATTCAGGTAAACCTTCTCCTAGATCAGGATACAGGTAAACCTTCTCCTATATCAGGATACAGCTAAACCTTTTCCTAGATCAGGAACAGATGCGGAGAAATATTTTAACACCCATTAATTTCTTGTTTTCTAAGATTCTGTACGCTGCAGGTGATAGATGACGGAGACGGGATTAGCTTTGAGAACTTGGCTGAGGTAGGGGAGAGGAGCTGGACTACTGCTGATACCAAGAGCAAGTATGGTTTAGCAGGGGAATCTCTAGCATGCATCAGGGAGAACTAATCATTCTAAAAAAATCTTGATTGGGGTTCAAGGGTCACTTGACTTTCTATTTAAAGATACTGTAGACTGTCGATTTTATATTGTGAAAATTAAAAGTTCTTTTAACAGAAAAGATTTACACATCAAATAATAGATTTACGTTTCTCTTTGATTGAAGGGTTAGAAAGCGTTGGAAATTCATTTCAATTTTTGTTGTACATTTTTGATGTTGATATGATATGTTGAGTAGAGGAGTGACTCGCCAGCTAAGTATAGTTAGTAGAGCAGAGGGTAGTGCAACCTTCGTTCTTCAGTTTAATTCAGGAGTAAGAGGAAAAGTTAAACATGTCCCAACCAACCGTCCTGCTCCGGGTACCACGGTAACCCTAACAGGAGTTTTCTACAGAAAACCGGTAAAGCTTCGCCTGGTTCAGCCGGTTTCAGCCCTGCACAAGATAAGACAGTTTCTTGTCTGTTTATCCCTTCAGTTTCCACAAATAAACTTCAGTTTGAGAAACGATACAGCTGGAACCCGTGATTTTATCCTTAAAACTGAAAAACAAAAAACTTCGTTCGATCGGTTCAGATCCTTGTTCGGATGGAGAACTGATGTTCTGATGGAGAAAGTTGAAACCTTAAACTATAGCTCTAAGTACGTTGATATAACAGGGTTCATTTCAACCATCACTAGCTTAGGGTCGGATATTCAGCTCTTGACTGTCAATCACAAGGTTGCCAATGACCCATCCCTGAATGATGTTCTCAAGACCAAACTGAAGTCTATAGATGATAAGTTTAGAGAGAAGGACTTGAAGCATCTGATCTACTTCATCTCTATTAATCTGAAGAAGGAAGGAACTTACTGGTTTCAGTATAATGGAAACCTTCCCAGGGTTTATTTCAAATCCAAGACCTCAGTTCTCAGGCACCTGGAGAAGGCAGTACAAGGTAGGCAACAACAAAAACATATTAATGGAACCCGTTGCCTCATCAGGAAATTTTAGAGATGACAGTGTTTTAATTAATAAAAAGATTTCTAGATAATGAGCAATTTGAATATCGTCTTTTTTAGTCTAGAAAATCATAATTTCTAGTTCTTTTTCATGAGTTTTAAACTATGAAAGTATAAGGAAATCCGAAAAGAAATTTGTTGTCAGAACTGCCATAAAAAAACTGTGTGTGTGTGTAAGGCAAAGCAACAAGGTTGGGATCACCTAGGTTGGCTGCATAAAACCGCAACTGAATGCGATCAATTTTTATAAAGCAAAACAATAATATCTCCATCATTTTTTCTCAAACAAAGGTTTAAATTCTACCGTTGGAAAGTAGGGCTGGCAATGGAGGGATAGTAGAAATTACGTTGAACCCAGGGAGTAAGGAATAGTATGGAGATATAACACAGTTCGACCTACCATGATTATACATGCTTTACATACGGTACTACATTTGAATAAGCAATATTTGTCTGATGTACAATTACCTGCGTATACAATAACCTATACTGAATACTTCTTATACAAATGGAGTACCCATCTGCAAAGCATGTATAATCATATGGTAGGGCTAACCGCTTCAGTTATCCCTTCTATTCCTTACTTCCTTGTCGACACTAGTCCCTGTAAAGATGTTAACTGAGAGTCTGGTTTCTAGATGTGCTGGAGAAGGCAGGACTCCTAAAGTTAGGATGTGCTGAACCTAGTTTCTCCAATCTTCTGATGACAGGAGTAAAACTTCTACCCCGGGTACCTTCACTAGACGAAGGTAGGATTTGGAACTATGAAATAGGAAGACGACTATAATCAACAAGGATTTTAAACAGTATTCAATATGAAATAAAGCAATCGTGCAGTGCTCACAGACCCATTTTAATTAATAAGTTGATTTGTATGCTATATATATGCTTTTATCTATATACTGCAAGGTTGCTTAAATGTCGTCTTCCCCTTTACAGTGTTATTCTGTTTAGTATCGGAGACAGGTTCACTTGGATCTAGCCTGAGAGTAATGAGATCAGGCGTCATTCTACCCAAACCAAAGGAGTTTAACTATTCTCCGGATGTACATGGAGCTAGGACCAGTTTGCCATGTTATAAACCACGCCAGAGCTCGGGTTCCTCTGCTACCTCCGTTATTATTAGGAAACAAGGTGCTGACAAGACCTGTCAGAGGATTGCAATTCCTGTTTTTAATCGAGTCAGGAGTAAGGAGATTTCTCTTGAACCAGTTCCAACCAGAGCAACCAAGGAGTTTCTGAACCAAGCCATTATTGCTACTCCGACCTCAACAGAAGACGACCTTGTCGACTCGTCGATCAGTAGCTCTGTTAAGCGGAAACTGTTTGAAGAAAATTGCTCCGGCAGTAGGAAGAAGATTGAGATGGACCCGGAGACGGTTCAACCTGAATCCATGTTGAGTGTGAGGATAAGTAAATCTATCCATCTATGGGAAGCATGCAAGAGGGCTTCCAGGTTGAATTTTGACGGGTTTGATCTTGAAGAGTTCCTGGAGGGTGAAAATTATATCGATAGTTCTCAGGTAAAATTAATCTTTTTGTCCTTCAGTGTTATACCCACAAGGGATGAGGCTTAAAAGACGATTCTACAATGATACTTGTAATAACTTTGTCAATTTTATTTTCAATAGTGGTTGCTCTACAAAGTTACTTGCGCATTTCTAATGCAGGAAACATATAGGAATTATGAGATTTAAACACTTCTAAATCCATGAAAATGACCAAATCTACAACATTATTAATCAGATATCAGTTTCAAGGCCGTACTGTTTTGTATCGGGCATTGTCATCTTTGCATTGATGGTCGCTTACGCAATTACGCTTACAGTGTCTTGTCTTTAAGTCTTTTAAATAACATTCCTGGTTTCTTACAGCTTCTTCAAAGATCCTCATTAAAGTTTTTTCTCTGTACCAAGATCAATTTGTCCAGAACTCCCATATTCTTATTTTAAAAAAATGTTTCTTAAAGGGCTTCAAACAACTGAGCTGTACTGAATTTTGTTTATATTTCTACCGGAAACTGCAGTACACTTTATCCAGGTTGAAAAGAGTACTGATCCTATAGTCGAGAAGCCTGGAGTTGATGAGACGGTTGATCTGAATTGGTTTCGTACTGAAGGATGGAACCTTGGCCATGAAACCCAAAATAATTGGGTCTCAACTAAGCCAAAGGGAGACGACATTGTTGACCAAGGAACCCTGATGAAGACGACCTCTAGAATGTTTGTCTTTGACCAAGAAGCACCCAAGAACAACTTGAGTCGCCAGAAAATGAACCTGAGCAAGAACGGATTTATTTCTAACCAAGAACCTAGACTGCGCCCTAGCTCACAAGTCCAGCACTCTTTTACCTACCTGAGTCCTACAACAATGATGCGTCCCAATTCCACCCTGAGAACCACTCTTAGCCGTCCCAAGGTTCCGGGTTCAGTCGAATCCTGCCACCGTGCTCCAATCCCATCAGCTGGTCGACCAGTGCTCTCGGCTCCAGCTCCATATATCCCCACCAATAAACCAGCATTGAAACATTTTAAAGAGACCATCCCTTCTACTCCGTATCTTCAATATTTTGATCAGATTAAGCCGTGTTCACGTGTTTACTCGAATCAAAATTCTGCAAAAATATCCAACAACCAAGAATATGGTAGGATCGTACAACCACAAGAATTATCTCCTGTTACCCTTTCCGGCACGTATATAGAAACTAGAAACCAACCCTTAGTCTCAGGGTACCCAAATGACCCCCTGGAGCAGGGTTTAAGTCCTACACAGTACCCGGAGATTATAAATGTCCCTCAGCATGATGAAACAGGCGGATCTGGAGCTAAACCTTCAAATAGCTACACTTCTATTTGCAATGAGCCCGGGTTTCTAAGAATTGCTCCTGCAAAATCAGATTGTACAAATAAAAACCCCATCCTGAAACAATACAAGACCCTGATTAAATCTTTAAACACTGGTTCACAGAAGGAAACCCTCAAACATTCCAGGGATAATGCGAGATCTATGATTGATAATTTTTTGTTGAATTCCTCCAGATCCTACGGATACTTATCCGCTCTAGGAAACCTGGATTCAGAAAATCAACCCGTGGAAACATTCGTCATAGAATTGGAACCACGATGTTTTGAGAGCAGCGATGAATTCATTTTCCCGATCGTGTCAGGAAAAGATGGTTATCCGGAGATTCATCATCCTCTCCCAGAACCAGGCAGGTCGGAAGTAAAAGTTGAGGGTTCTGAATCTGGAGTAGAACCTGTCTCTAGCCTACTCAACTTGCCATGCTTTCAAGGGTATACGGAGAACAGTAGCCAAGCAGCGGAAAGAGATGAAAACCATATTATGAGGACGGAGAATTATCATAACTCATCTTTAAATAAAACTGGGCGGTAATTTTTTTCAGAGTTTTTGTTAACATAAAAAAGAGCATTTCAACAACCACAAAAAAATAGAAAAAAATTACCTGGATTCTAAGACTCCTTATTTAAAATTTAATTATTTTTCTATATATATATATTTAGTATATATATTAAAAATAAACTAAAATTAAATACAAATATGATCTTCTCCACTGTAAACTCCGTTTTATTTAAATACCGGGTTGACCTTTGACTGCAGAGCAAGCTGTACAGTACAATTACAGACTATGTAAGGCAAACCGGGGCGGTACGCCAAATGAATGATCCACCTTTTAGTGTAATTTATGTAATCCAGGTCCCGCTACTTTTCTCCTCAGCCCGGTCAACCTAGTTCAGCAACAACCAGAAGCCGGGTTGGACAGCAAGGACAAGGGAAAATCTAAATAATTATTATTCAGAACGAAGTAAAAAATATTCTTTTTTATTTAAATTGAATTTCAGTAAAAACTAGTATAAAGGGAAATGAAAGTTTTCTTTGTTTAGTCATTTATTTAATGCATTTAAAACTGACCTTGAGAAAACTGACCTAAGGGTATCCAAACCAACTAATTAGTAGTTTCAAAGAAAATATTGAGTAGATTTAACTCCCCGCGCGGTTGTACGGATTTAATTCGACTCCCAATTTATAGCTATGTCTGAGCCCCATCCAACTTCACTTACCCAGATTAACCTAACCTAACCTATCTTACGAAATAATAAAATTTGAGGTCTCGGAAAATCCATAGGTCAGTCCCTGTAGGTCGGATATTATTAAACTGCGACTGTCATCCACTTTTTACTTGCTATGCTTGGATTATATTTTATTCGTTTTTTATTATTTTAGATTTTTGTTAGTTAGACTCGGTTACTAAAACAGGATAAGATACCTTTTCATTTTGTTTATCCGATGTCAAGTTTAAATTTTCATTCTCTTTGTCTGATCTGGGTTGAAATAATAACTTAAATTCTCTTGGTTTGTTTTCCCTGAAATTTCTGTGACGACTCTCTTCAATCTGTACATTTGTTCTTTCGGCCGAACGCCACCGAGGTTATATGCATTTACAATATTAACTGGGGGAAACGTATTTAGTCTTTTGATTCTAACAATTCATGGGGGGTTTAGGTCGTCTTTTAAATCTCATTCTTTGTGAAATTTCATGTTATCTTAATATTAGACACTCGGTGCAGGTTTGAGATTTTATCTCCCTGTGTCTCGGAAACTCTATTTGATCAAGATTATACAAATGCTGAAGAAATTGACAAACCCCTTGCTAAAACTAGGAAAATGTCAGAATTCATTAATTTATAATTTTTAAAATTTTAAAACTGGACACTTGCCTCAAAAACTTGAATTTTCTGATCGTTTTATCTTTGCAACCTGATGTCGTAGGCCTGTGAGAAATCCAAGTTTTACACCATCAGGTTGCAAAGGTATAGTGATGCGGAATGTAAAGTTTGTGGCAAATGTTTCAATAAGAAAGGCATTACACAAATTGCGTACAAAGAAACTGCAACAAAATCTAACTTTCAATTCCTTATGTCTTTAGAACCTGATGGTGTAAATACTCTAAACTTAGACTAACAGAATCATGGATAGAATTATCAAAGGGTATCAATGGTATCACATCAGACAATAAAGGGTATCAAGGGTATCACATCAGACAACAAAGGTATCAAGGGTATCACATCAGACAACAAATTGTATCAAGGGTATCACATCAGACAACAAATTGTATCAAGGGTATCACATCAGGCAACAAATTGTATCAAGGGTATCACATCAGACAACAAAGACAATTGTGGCGAGTGATTAGTTCCTTTTCATATACAGTTAAACCCTAAATAAGCCATACATTGAAAGAATTTATCAAATGTCGTCTTGACAATTTTTCAATGGGTTTTACGTATTTTACGTAAATCTCAGTATTTGCGAAAATAAATAGCCATGAATATGCGGGAAAAGTTTTAAAGAGTTCCATATATTCATTTAATTAAAAAACTAAATATCTGCATCATTCCATTATCAGAAAGTGAAGAATACGACATTTGATGAATTCTTTTGGTGTATGGTTTATTTAGAGTTTAACCATAGTAACTGCTGTGTTTTTATAGACTACATGGTATAGTCAAACATAATCGATACAATGAATTTTCTGGATGTTTGAAATATCAACGGTTTACACCATCAGATTTCAAAGATATAGGGATTAGAAAATTTGAGTTTGTGGCAAAGGCTTCATAATTCCTTTATTATAATTTCTGCTTACTCTGCTAGAAGTGTGATTCTACCCTACAAAATTGAAAAAACACATAGGATCAAGAAACCTCTCTTTATTAAACCCACGGAGAAATTCCCTCCGCAACCCAGAACTCAAAATATAAATATTATCCCGTTCTTAAACTTCTCCACCGACAAGAACTGCTTGAGTCTGTGTAACCCCAAGGACCAGGAGCTTGAACAGGTTCCAATCAGGTTGGAGAAAAGTTTGCTTCTCAAGAACGAGTTCATCGGTCAGATTGAGAATAAATTCCTGGTTTCCGTAGCTCAGGGTATCATTCTCCTCTGGGACCAACACGCTCTACATGAACGGATTCGTCTGGAACAGTTACAAATCAAGTTTCTATCTGCTCCCGGAGAAACATGTTCTGTTAAATCATGCCCAACCCCGGAGAAACTGTCCCTGAACCTGTCTAGGATTCAACTAGAAATTCTAAAGGGATCTGAGTCTAAATTAAAACAATATGGTCTGGTACTCGCAGGTACGAGGCAATAATTCTTTAATTTAAAAAACTTTAACATTTTTTTCTCACAAATATTTGTTATAGCATTCAGTTTAGATAAATATAGTATATAATTTGGAATTGCGGATATACAAAGTGTCCCATAAAATATGAGACATTATTGACAATCTTTAACTCATTAAACTAGATTTGATTTTCTTGCGGTAAAAAAAGTCTTTTTATGATAAATAATTTGACAAAAAGAAGTGTTTACTTCTGCAGGGATCTTTGAAGGTAAGAACCATAGATAAATAAATATCTGTTAGGTTGAGAAATGTCGTCTTATGCTCAAAATCTATCTTTATCTATGGCAAGAACTGTCTCATCTTTTGTAACCCTGTCTGTTAAGCAATTAAATAATTTTTGAAATTGATTCTTGACTGATATTAAATTTCAAAGCAATTTTATCATTATCAGGTTTTTTCTTTGCTTTTAAATTGATTGCTTCAAATTATTGTCTTCATATATTTGTTAAATATTAAACTCGGGCTTCAGAATTTGTTTAGAAAGTCGTCTTGAATTTCTATCAACTGCTCATGAAAAATATAAACCTGTGTTCTGATAGAGCAAGAGCAATTGTAAAAATCTTGTCCGACATGGTCGACCTGTTTTAAGTGACTGATCTATTTAACGAAGAAATGTCGTCTTACCCAAAAAACAAAACAAATCCTACGCAATGTATTTAATCATTTCACAAGGTTTCCCTAAGAAAAAATGATGAAGTCAGTGATGAAGTTTTTTCTCTAACTGAAAATGGATCGTTTTTAATTGTACAGTTTCTCTCTAAAAGGAAATTCACGTTAATTATCTGCTTTCAATTCTAATGTTATGGCTATATATGAAAAATGAGGGTGCCGTTGTGAATTGGGCAAATAATTTTTTAAGTGAAGAATCAATTAAATTAAGTCAGTTTCTGTTAGGAATAGTTTTCGAATAAAGGACAATTCGTTGTAATTTAAGATGACCTTCCCATCCATTAAAGAGGAATATGTCAGGTTCACAATGATACCATAATTACATTAACATTGTTGAAGATATCTTCGTTATTCTAACTTGAAAAGTATCTAACTTTGATAAATTCCTTATCCGCAAGTAACTTTAGAGAGAAACTAGAAGTGCAAATAATCAATTTTCAAAAATAATAACATGGATATCTCATTCACTTCTAACCCTAAACGTGTTGAAGGGTACCTTCGGGAATCAGGCATGCCATTTTAAATAAAAGAGTCAATTGAAATTACGAGTCACTTTAAGCTCCGATTCTGCTTGGTATAGATCTGTATAGTTGTATATCTAGGAGATACTTGGTATAGATCTGTATAGTTATGTCTAGGAGATGCTTGGTATAGATCTGTATAGTTTTATATCTAGGAGATGCTTGGTGTAGATCTGTTTATAGTTGTATATCTAGGAGATGCTTGGTATAGATCTGTATAGTTGTATATCTAGAAGATACTTGGTATAGATCTGTATAGTTGTATATCTAGGAGATGCTTGGTATAGATCTGTATAGTTGTATATCTAGGAGATACTTGGTTTAGATTTGTATAGTTGTATATCTAGGAGATGCTTGGTATAGATCTGTATAGTTGTATATCTAGGAGATGCTTGGTATATCTGTATAGTTGTATATCTAGGAGATACTCTTGGAATAGATCTGTAAAGTTGTATATCTAGGAGATGACGTGGTTCAACTTCCTCTCTGCTTTCAAGATCTTGCTCCTACCCGGAGAATAGATCTTACTCGCAAACTAGGAAACCATCCAACAAAGTTATAACACAACCTCCTCAGTCAGAGCCACATTCTTCTTATCTTTGCGTCTAAGCTACCTCCAAGTTCATTTTCCCAATTTTGTCGGATTCTTATATATATTATAAACCTTTTTTCAAAAATTTGATTGTTTTTTTGATTCAAAATATTTTTTTTTTACAAATTGGGAATTTCTATTTCATGTTTTTAAAAATTACATAAATTAAGCAACTTATTAGTTGATACGTTTATTCAATGTTATTCTTTTTTGGCCACCCGGTGTCCTGCCTGGAGCGGACTTGGCCCCTAAAGTTTTAAGAATTTTAACATAATGTTAGACATAAAAAGCAATGTTAAGACATTAAAAACTATTAGTTGACATATACTAAATACGCATTTAGTTCTCAAGTGTATTTTAGATTGGATAAAGACACAAAGGTTATTTCCTCTTGAATGTCGTCTTCCTTTCACATCATCATAGTATTAACTCGAGATATAGATAATTTTTAATGTGTATTTTCCATCAAAATACATTAAAAAATATCGGAAAATTTCATAACAGTGTGTTGAAATGGTTAAAATAGTCCGCTCCATGCATGACACGTCATGTTCTTACTTTATTTAGCTGAGTACCATGAGTTACATCAGCTCCCAACTGACTTCTGATTATGGAATATCCTGTCAAGCTTATTAAGATGAAATTAAAATGTCTTATGTCTGATAGTATAACTTCTCTCTCTTAAACCTGCCGTCCCAAATAAAATACAAATTTTTTAATTTTTAAAGTTGGGTGGATATCTTTTTCTGGTATTAATAATTGATTACTGTACGATACGGTGAGAACCAAAATAAAGTGGAATTCTCATCTTCTCTTTTTAATTATAAAATGTCTCTAAAGATTTAGTAATTTGCAACTTATCTGTTTCTGAAAAAAAAATAAAAGACGACATTCAAATTCACAATCTCAACCTGAAATGTCTAATAGTATTTTTCGAAAGATTATAATGGAGTCAGTGCAGTAAGCTATACAAAAATGTAATTAATGAATTATGATACAGGTTTACAATTTTCATTTTAGACTTTAGAGTCATTTGAGTCTCTCCTAAATTTACTCCTTTTTATTCGAACCCTGCGTTGAATTGTGGTTAGTTACCGAGATTATCCATCTACTAGAGCAGGGTGGAGCTCTCCCTCGTGTTCCTGCAACCATCCACCACCTTCTCTGCAGCCTGGCCTGCAGGGGTGCGATCATGTTCGGTCAGGAGATCCCTAGAGCCGTCGCCATCAACCTCCTCTCCCTTATCAGGCAGTGCTCAGCACCCTTCCAGGAAACTTCTCATTCATACATAAAAAATCGGAGATTTGTTTTTATTTTTGTGGATTTTATGAGTTTTACAGCTGAAGTGAATGACAAGTTTTTTAGTGTGCCCATGGAAGACCATCGCTAGCTCCAGTTTTAGACATTAATTGCATTTAAATTCAAATTGGTTTCAAGGAAATTTTTTTTTACTCAAAATTCTTATTTGTTCCGTAATTTACCAATCTTAATATTTACTCGTAATAGAATATTAATTTCAAAAGACAAAGATTTTTTGTTAACACCCTTGACCCTTATTTAAAATTTCAAAAATTGTGTTCTTTTTTGTAAATTAAAATGTCTGTCATTGCACACATATTTAAACATTAGATAAAAAGCCTTATATAGATGACCATTTCAGAATTCTTTTACTACAAAAGGTATTACATCTGCAAATAAACTTCGTGTGACCACTTTAGTTCAAATATTCTTTTTTAAATTCTAAAAGTTATTATAAAAAAGATAAATTGTTAAAATAAATTTGTGTGTGTCTAATGTTTATTCTTTTTTTAACGATTGGATTTTTTCTGAAATAAAATTCTACTAGAGGGAATCTCTCTCTCTCTACAAGATGAATTAAACAAATTTTTATAGATTTATTAAACATTTTGTACAAATTTCTGAGGTAAATTTTCATCTAAGAATTGCTTCATGCCTCACAGAAAAGCAGACGCGAAATACTTTTATAAGGTATTTCAGCTTTTTTGTTCGGCTTACGGACCGTGAAACACTTTTTAGATAAACAAACTTTGTTCATTCATTCATTCTTTCTAACACTCTTTCCAGTACAAATATTGTTTATGAAAACTCAATACTTGTTATTTTGTTAACTCGGTTGTGCAGTTTCATTTTGTTTTATTTTGATGCAGATTTCGCGCGTTTTTTGTTTGTAAGAATTTCTCCGGTGGTATACAATCCAACTGTTTGAAGATACACCACGATACTTGAAGAGCAATCACTGAGCCCTTGACATCTGATGGAATTGTTGTCTGAACTGCTCTTCAGGCATCGTCCTGTTCCCTCGTACAGATCTCTGTATCCATTCGGAGTAGTAGGGACTTCTTCAATACTTAACTGAGATCATTGTAACCCTGTAGGATCAGGTCCTTGATGTACAGACCCGTCCTGATTAATGCCAAGCTAGTGTTTGTGCACCTAGGTTTCCTGTTTTTGTGCAATATTTAGTTCCAAATTTTAAGAAAGCTGTCCCAACTCCCAGTACAGACTGCCATCCCATCCTCTGTTATTCCCAGGCAGGATACACGGTTGTCGTGACCAGCCAGTACTCCTAAATATTAAGATTGTACATTATGTACATAATAAGATTAAAGGAACGTTGTCACAAACATAATTGTCCAAATCCCATATCTTTGCAAACCAATGCCATAGACTTCAGATATTTTAAATTATGAGTTCTGTTAGAACATGCAATCTAAGTTCAAAATATCGCCATCAGGGTGCAATGATATATGGATTTGAAAACTTGAGCTTGTGGCAAAGAATCAACTCCCATTTCTAAAAATTAGACGTGGGCCAAAAAATTATCTTTTTTAAGCGTATATATCTTTAAATCCAAGCCGATATATCTTTAAATCCAAGCCGAGTAAAACAAAACTACACCTAAGAAATGGCTAAAACTATTTATTGAAACAAAAATGTCAACTTTAAACTAATAATGAGGTGTAAAGAATTAGTTTTTGATGATTCTTGTTTTCATTTTCGAACATATCCCTATTTAGAAACAATTACCGCTTTTTAGCGCGTTTTTTAAACAAATCCTGGTTTTGAGACAATTACTTGAATTCATGTGAATGTTGATTTTACGCACTTATGTCACAAAACAAGATTTTTTGATAAGTTAGAATATAAACAAAATGGAAAGTAAAAAAATATTGTTCTTTTGTAATTATATAAACATTACGGCTTTTAGAAATAAAAATATTATTTTGTTCTTGCAATGTAGAAATGCGGGAAATTGATTGTTTAAAATGTAGGAAACTATTCTCTTAGTTAACAAATAAAATGTGAAAACTTGGATTCTAAATATAATTCAACAGTTAATTTAGTCTTATTAAGATAATTTTACTTTCAGTGATTTATTTTGTAAGTTATGAAAATGAGTTTTGGTTTGAATTGTCGATTATACTTTAAAATGGAAAGTGGGTTTTGTCTCGAAAACGCGACAATGATTCAAATTCAGGATATGTTCGAAAATGGAAAACCTGACTTTGTCTTGAAAACGGTGTTTTAATGTAAAAAGAACTCCTTTTATAATTTTTATTTTAGAAAATAGTATAAAATTTCGCATTGTTACTTCATGAAATGTTGGTTATAGTTTTTATTATCGACTTTTACTCTCAATATGGGCCGGGATCCTAAAACACCAGTCTTTCAATTTTTGCCAATTTCTAACACTCAGTGTTAGAGATGGACCAAGTGTTTTGGAACTAATGTCCCCTGATCTATTATTTATATTCTATACCTGCTCTTTCCGCTCGTAGAGCATCCCAGACATTACAGTTAAAGTCGTCGTATCCCGCGAGGAGAAGACGACCTGACTTACTGAATGCCACGCTAGTAATGCCGCAGATAATGTTATCATGGCTGTACACGCTTAATTCTTGGTCTGAGCGAATGTCAAACATTCGACAGGTTGCGTCGTCACTTCCCGTCGCGAAAGCGTAACCATTAGGAAAGAACTGAAAAGAAAAACAATAATATTTTGTATTGTTACATTAAGGTTACTAGTTTAGTATTACTTACCACAATGGAGTTTATATCACTTTCATGTCCAGTAAAGGTCTGGATACAATGAGATCCACGGATGTCCCACAACTGAAAAATGTTAATTTTTAAAAGTTGTCAAAAAAAATTATAAACTAGCTTTGGAACCCAGCGATGCCCAGGTTACTCATAGTTATTTCCGCCGTTAACTCGTGCTTATAGTCTTAAATTATGATTTTAGCTATTTTTCCCTATAAACCTCAACTTAGAATCTCAAAACTAAACTAAGAACATTCCTGTGGTTCACCCAAGTTCACCAATCAAAATATGAGGCAAATCGGTCCAGGGTTTCATGAGTTATTTTCGGACATAAAAACAAACTAACTAAGATTACTACTTTATATATAAAGATACCTTGGCTGATGCGTCGCATGCTCCCGAAACGAAAGTTTTCTGATCCGGCGACAAGGAGAGGGACATGACGTCCCCGGTATGACCTCCAAATGATGTCACCTGCTGTCCCGTCTCTATGTCCCACAAGACACTAGAATAAAGAATAATTAGGAATGTCTCATATGACACTAAAAATAAAAATATTAAGTGTATGTTCCAAAAAAAAGTTAAGTAGGTCCAACAACAATGATTTGTTATGTAATATAAGATAGAGAAAAATAAAAATTTCATTAACAAAAACTTTACCTCGGTCAGAGGTAATTCTATAGATGTATTAATATTTAAACCACTGTATCAGGCAAAGCAGAAATAATAAGTTGACCAATTTTTTATCCACAGATTAGAAAAAGAAAGGCAGATAAAGATTGGCTACTTAAATATCTTTATCATAAAGCGTACTCAATTGAGTTTTTGCCACACACTCAAGTCTTCTAATGCCCACATCTCGATGCAACCTAATGATGGAAACCTATGATATTTCTAACTTAGACTATTTGATCTGACAGAATACGCAGTTTCAAATACGGAAGGCCCACACCATCGAGTTGCAAAGATATAGGTTATAGAAAATCAGATTTTGTGTCAAAAATTCGATCCCTTTGGTGGATTTTTGCAATTTAAATTTTGTGGATTTTTGTGTCAGCTTACCAAGTCATGTCCCCACTGCTTGTAAGGATCTGATTGTCGTCAAGGAACCTACAACAGCTGAGATATCCAGTATGTCCTGGTAGCTCACGGGATACACGGACAGCGCCATCTCTATTCTTCAAACTAAACAAACAAGTTATTTATTTGTTTCCAACCTGAGTTAAAAATGTGTTGTTCAGTCCTAGAATATGATTCCTCGACCCCCTTCATGCTATTTGTTTGCACTTTTGGCAAGATAAAGGGTACTATACTAATATTTGTTTGATGAAGGTAGTTTTGGGCCGAGCGCTGAAGCCACCTAGATGACTTTTTTCATAATATAAACACCAGTGAGAACTTTAGTTCAGAAAAAAGCCGACAAATTGTATTCTGGGAAATCGTAATAAATGATTTAAATGTAAACAAAATTACTTGTAGATAGAGCAGATATTATCCAGACCCCCACACGCAACGAAGTTGCCGGAAGGAGCGTAAGCGCAGGTCATAACCCAGGATGACCGGAGTGGGATAGCGTGAACCTAAACAATTAGAAACAATTAGTTCCTCGGTTTTTCTCAAACAGAATCTTGATAAGAATGTTGTGAAGGATAATAACCTTGTTAGTGGAGTAGCTGTCCCATACAATCAGTTTTCCGTCCTGAGATGCAGATACTAGGTTTCTTGAGTCTGCTCCCCAGTGCATCGCATATACCTAGATACAGTTTGATAATATATATCGTATATGCCTAGAGATACAGGTTACTATTATATCACATATACCACGCAAATCTGCCCCTTTAGTAAAAGTAAATTTAGCCTATATGAAGCATAAAGTCTGACCACGTCAACCTTGTTGCACCGGCTAGTCCTGTCCATAGAGCTAGGTACAGTACAAACTGGAACCGGAACGGTTGACCCGGCTCAAAAATTGTACTACGGCTACCCGTAATACCTAGATACAGTTTACGATTTTATCGCATATACCTAGATACAGTCTACGACAATATCACATAAACCTAGATACAGTTTATGTTCATATTGCATATACCTAGATACAGTTTGCGATTATATCACATATACCTAGATACAGTCTGCGATTATACTGCAGAAATCTAAATACAGTAAACGCCAAATTTTAGAGACATTGCTGAAAAATGAAACGATTATATTGCAGAATTAAACCATTGATTTTTAAAAAATCTTCATTTTGATAATTTTAACAACAGTTGAATAATTGAGATAAAGTAAATGGAAATGTTCTATATATATATATATATAACTATAGGTGAAGAGTTCTGAAGGATCAGGTTTAAAACACAAAGAATACAACAAATAAATTTGTAGTTTTTGCTTTGTAACATATATTAAATAATTTGGATAGGGAAATAGAAAGATAGATAGAGAAATATATGGACATGAAGATAGATAGAGATTATGGATGAGAAGATATATGAGAGAAAATATGGACACGAAGTTAGATAGAGAAATATATGGATATGAAGATAGATAGAGATTATGGATGAGAAGATATATGAGAGAAAATATGGACAGAAAGTTAGATAGAGAAATATATGGATGAGAAGATAGATAGAGATTATGGATGAAAAGATATATGAGAGAAAATATGGACAGAAAGTTAGAAATATTAGTAAAGGGATGAGACAGAGTTCTTGCAACAAAATCTGATTTTCTAATCCCTATATTTTTGCAACTCAATGGTATTTATATTATATTTATATAAACTAAGAATTCTGTTAAAATATCAAAGGTTTAAACCATCAGGTTTCAAAGATATAGGGATCAAAAACTTTGAGTTTGTGGCAAAACTTACGAAACCTTAACATTTTCATAATATCAAAGGAATTGAGTCATTGCCTCAAACTCTGATTTTCTAATCCCTATATCTTTGAAACCCAACGTCGGAGATTTTAAATATATCAAACTATGAATTTTGTTATATCCAATAATCAAAGTTTGAAATATCAAAGGTTGACACCATCAGGTTGCAGAGATAAAGAGATTTTAAAATTTGAGTTTATGACAAAGACTCAATTCCTTTGGCCGAAATCACTATCATTCTGCTCATAATTTGGCAAGGGTTCGGATTTTTATTTAACAGTTGAGAATGAAAAATCTACCTTGGACAGGTGACCTCGGAGAGTTCTCCTAGTCCTCATCTGGATCCGTCCGATCGGATCCATAGATCCTGTGTTCTGTGCCAGCGTCGTGTCGCAGGCGGCCTTCCTACCCTCTCGGATCGCATTTTTCAGCGTCTCCGCTTCCTGACGCAGCTGATCAAGTTCGTTCATCGTTTGTCTGGATCCTTAGCTGAGTTGAGAAAACACTCTCCCCATCTCAGCTCTGGATTTGAAGATTATTTACTATTAGGTTCTACACCACCAGCCTCTTCATGTCTTTCTTCAAATCCTCATCTAAACATAGAACAAAAATAAATATTTATTTTTATCTAAAAGACGTGAAAATAACATGCATAGAACGAATAGAACTAACTTGTTGATTTTAGTACGTATGATATTTTGCATGTTTTTAAACACAACTGATTTTTCAGCAGAACTATTCATTAAAAGCTTAAAAATGATTGAAATCAACAGATTAAGTTTTCTTTTTCATTCTTACGCGTGGAAAAACGAAAACTAGAGGATTTGCAAGGTCGCAAAGTCGGAGCAGTTATTCCGCAGAAATAAACTTCTTATCTAGGATTTTAGTGTTTTATAAAATGCGCCGAATTTCTAATGTATTTATTATGCTCTAAATTTGGAATGTTCTTTTTTCTTATTTAAAGTAAAACTTTTTAAAATTATGATTATGATATAAATTATAATATAATTTTAATAAATGTAGGGAAAATATATGTATTTTTAAATAAAACTGATATAGTGCTTCTCGAGTTGTTAACCGTATCCAGGGTGGGATGAGAACTGGGAGGTAGAGTGAGAGAAGGAGAGAGGAGGGAGGAGAAGCTGAATGTGTTGGTTTAGGATCCAGGATACTAGGAGGGTATCCAGGACAACCAGAGAGCACAACAAATCATTCTCTCTCTATGTCTCTGTACACGACTTAATATTTGCTCCGACATCAATTAGAACTCGAGATTTCATCCAAGATTTAGATCCCCCCGCTTTGGATATCATTTAATTTCTAATCCCTTGTGTACAATATTTTACACAAACTAAAACTAAGGAATTGTAAGAGATATAATTAAGAACATTACTCTCTTCGTACTTTGTTCTCACTTCATACTTTACACGATCAACCAACTAAACCAATTTATNACCTTCGAGCTTAAGAAAATATCATAATGTAATTTTTAAAGTTTAAGAGAAAATGTAAAAGAAAATCATGAGTTATAGCGACTAGCTGAAGTGCCCGACGTTGCCAACCAACTAAACCAATTTATATTTTAAATCCTCTCTTTCTACCTTAATCGTTTTAAGAAACATTTGTAACGAAATAATATGCATGGTAATAAGAAGATTATGAGGAGTAGGTTTGGGTAAAGTAGGAGTGGTAATAAGAGTAGGCATGGTAATAGAAATAGTAGTAGGAGTAGGTGTGGCAGTGGGTAGAGTAGGAGGAGTAGGTATGGTAATAGGTTAAAATTATATGGAACAGCTATATTTAAGGGGTGGGAGAACTGAAATTCTATTGTTTGCAGTGAAATTATTGCAGTTTTATGTGTTCTTTCATTTTATATTCTATTCTGATTAGTGTCCTCTACTCTAAAAAAATCGGGTTGGCAATGTGTCATAATTGACACAAATGACGTCATACATATTTAATTTCAAAATCTTATAGCCGCCTATTTTATATTTATTGATATATTTAAGTTACATCTTGATAAAAATGACGTGTGAGTTTACTGTGTCTTTATCAATATTTTTATTTTTAGCCGAACTATCTTGATGGGAATTATATGGTTTTATTATTTTATGATTTACCTATGGCACAGGAATATTTGTTTTGTTTATAACCAAGCAATAATGTTTAGGAAACAAAGCCTATTTTTTAGAGGATATCCTGACAGATAACCCCTCCCCCTAAGTTTTTTATGAGGGTATCCTGAGATCCCCCCCCCCTAGTTTTTTAGGGAGTATCCTGAGAGATCGCCTAATTTTTTAGAGGGATATCCTGAGAGATCCCCCACCTAGTATTTTTTTAAATATACAGTTTCAGGAGTTTCAGGGACGCCATGCATGCCATGCATTTGTGCACTAAGTGGACGATTACAGTGATTCACACTTTTTTAGGTTTAAGGAAAAATTGACACGAAATTCACATTCATGTAGATAATAAGTTCAAACTTATGCAAAATTACTGGTACGACATTTTGACCTTAAAGCTCCTCTAATTTTGATTTTTCGCCCAAACAATGAAAATAAAAAAAAATTTGATTACAGATTAAAAAAGTTTTGTTCTTCTCAATAGTTCCTCAGACAGTGCAGCTATGGCTAAAAGCAATGTAAGATTTTGATATAACATGAAATTTACTTTAATTTTACGTGAATTGACTGTGACCATAAGATTGGATCGTTTAGAAGTTCTTAAACTTTGATTCTTGCCTGAAGATCGAAGACTAGGTATATTTTTAGGTTCTTGTTTCGAGCAAGGGTTTCAAATTGGTCGATCAGTGTCCGAATTTAATGAATTTAAGCCGCGGCTTAAATCTGCCAAAAACTGGTTTCAATTGAGCATCGGCTTATATCTTGAAAAATTGAATACAATTTGAAGTGGATCAAACCATATTTGAGCCGCGGCTTAAATTTAAGCCACGGCTCAAATTCTTTAAATTTGGCCTCAGGGCATTCTTTCATAGAAACCTTGATTTCAAAACAAGTTTGATAATTGAATCTGACCCTTTGTTTGGTTGTTTAATTTTAATTAATCTAATAATGAATTTTTTGATAACGAATTGATATATCTAAAAATTTATTAGTAATGATGACTTATCGATTTTTCTGATTATTTTGTTTTGCAACTTTATTTATATTAAACTGCATATATACTTTATTTATATTAAACTGCATATATACTTTATTTATATTAAACTGCATATATACTTTATTTATATTAAACTGCATATATGCTTTATTTATATTAAACTGCATATATGCTTTTTGATGTTGATGTTATGAAATAAGATTTTAGAGTTTTAAGAGAAACTGTTAACAAATTCATGAGTAAAAACGATTTCATGAACCTTTTTTTGTATTTTGAGTTTGATATTATAAGTTAGATTCAAAAAAGGCAACCAAACCTTCTTGCTTAAGAAAATATCATAATGTAATTTTTAAAGTTTAAGAGAAAATGTAAAAGAAAATCATGAGTTATAGCGACTAGCTGAAGTGCCCGACGTTGCCCGTGGAATTAAAAAAAAAATTAATTTTTTAGCCTATGTTACCCCCGGGATACCCCTGGGTTCCTTAAAAATTCAGCCCATTCGGTCCAGCCGTTTGGCCGGCTATATTAAACATATATACGAATGTCTTGTTTTATTATTAGATTGTACGTATACGTTGATGATATTAGATTCGGAAAGGCGTTTTGAATTTTAAAAATTGTACATGCATTTTGACGTAGGTTGATGTTATGACATTAGATTGAAAAAGGCGTCTTGACATTCTTTAATTAAAAAAAATATGTTTTTGGCTAAGATTGTTAACAGAGAAACGGTTGAGAAATTCATGAGTAATAATTATATGATAATTCTGATTATTTAGATTTTTTTAAGTTATCATGTTTAGTGCATCCCACTTTACAGTGAGAAACAGAAAATGCATATTTGATGTTGTTACAAAGCACATAGTTTTACTATAGCAGCTTTAAAATGATCACAATTGCTGTTTCTTAGTTTTATTGGAAAAATTTTATTCCTAACGAAAGTCTTCTTATTTCACAGATTTCTGGTTCTCACTGGAGCGAGAGAACCGGATTCATGAGTAATAATGATTTATCGATTTTTCTACTTGTTTATATTTAGATAAATCTCTGTTTTTACATTCATTTAAGAGAAGAGGAGGGGGGGGGGGATTAGACCAGTTGATCTTTATCGATCTAAACCTACAAAACTGGTGCAGAGGTTTAAACAATATTTTTCATTGAAAATATACATATACAGGGTTACTCACAAATAATAAGACTGTACTGACGATCTGGAACTCTAAAAATATCATGATTTGAAGGTTAAAACTGATCTTTTCTATAAACATAATCTTTAAAAGAGAGAATTTAATTTAAAAGAATATCATCGAAAATCATGAATTTTAGAAAGGAATTGAGTCTTTGTAACAAACTATGATGTTCTAAGATCTATATCTTTGTAACCCAATGCCGTAGACCTTAAATATTTCAAGCTATGAATTCTGTTAGATGAAAAAATCTAAGTTTGAAATATCAAAGGTTTACACTATCAGGTGGAAAAAATATAGGTATTAGAAAATCAGAGTTTGTTACAAAGACTCAAATCCTTTGTAATTTGAAGGTTCGTCTCTTAGAGTCTCATATTTTGTGGTTAAAACTGTATCTTCTAAAAATCTAAAAATATTCCACAGAACTTCAAGTTTGCATTGTTATCCAGTTTTTATCATTCTGCTCTCTTGGAATTGAGTCCTCGCCACAAACTCAAATTTTCTAATCCCAATATCTTTTCAACCTGATGGTGTAAACCTTTGATCTTTCAAACTTTATTTGATCTAACCGAATTAATAGTTTGAAATATCAAAGGTCTACGACATCGGGTTGCTAAGATGTTGGGATTAGACAATTTAAGTTTGTGACAAAGACTTAATTTATTTGTGTATCCCAATATGGACTCATATTACGTAGCTTTTCCCGTTTATTAGAGAAATATAGCGGAAAGGATAAACTTTTAGATTAAAAACTTCTTAGCGAAATATTCGGCGTTTATTGGGGAAAGAATTGGACCAATAAGGGTGTTGAGGGGGGGGGGGTCTGCGTTAGATTTGATAGAGCATATTCATTAATTTTTAACAAGTGTTTCCCTTCTTTTCTTATGGCTGCCATATATAAACATACCAGATAGTTTTGTAAGTTTAGTTTGGCCATTGGGTGAACAGTAAAATTATTGAAGAATTGAAACAAACAGAAACATAACATTTTAGTTCTCTCCTCTTTCTTGTTTATTTCAACTCTAGAGATTTGTCCAGGAGGAAAAATATAAATACATTTTCTCTCAACCGGAGGGAGGTGAAACCCATTGCCTGAGATGCACTATATCCTTAAATCTGGCCTTTTTCAAGTGTTACAGCTGAACCAAATCCTACCTGAAAGGACCATGAGGAGATTGACCGTGCTGGCTCGCCAGCAGTGGGCGGGCTAGCTCATACTGTAGCTAGAAGGGCGGGACACAAGTACCAGCTAAACTATCCTCTATTGATTATCCACTGGACTGAGGAGGAAGAGAGATAGCTAGAAAGAAAGACTAGAATCCGGGTGGCGGGGTGAACCTTGCTCTCTACTCACACACCACACACTATCCTGTCATAGGAAACTAGGACCAGGATACACGGGGAACAATCAACCCGTCCTTATCATAATCAGTTATCAAGCCTGATTTGATTGAGCTTATCAAACTTGAAACATTATTGTAATAAAATGCAGAATATGAAAAATCAATAATCTGGTGTTGCTGGCCTATTATCTGTTTATTTATCAATCTCAGCTTTCCTAGTCTCGGGAAATGGAGATATATGAGATACTAGCGCCCCCTTTACTTTCCAGAGGTAGGATTACTTTCTCCCGCCCTCAGCCTTTCTCATTCAGTCATATACCTTTCCATTTAGACTTTCTTTCTTTCCTCCGGAGAGACCTGCAGACCTAGTGGAGATTATAACATGAACCAAACCAGAGATATAATTGGCGATCTTCTTGTTAGAAACCTTGTTTCTATTGTTGAAGAGATTCTAAACCTGACGGATGCAAGAACCCTACTCAACTGTTGTCTGGTGTGTCAGCTCTGGGAGGAGGAGTTTACAAAGCATCAACTCTGGAGACGGCTAGTTGAGATGAGGTGTCGGAGAAATAAAAAGGTTCGTCTTGCACTAAGGTTGAACGGCTGGTGCAATGATATCCCCGGGTTAGGAGGAGTAGAAAAGGGTGCAAAATCCTTTATTAACATGTTCTTTAAGCTTTCGTCCTTACCAGAGATAATATCAGAGAGAAGGTTGGGATCTAAGAAACTGTTCACGGGTTCAATGTTCTCCTGTCTCCATCTACAGAGGGAGAATCTGTTTGCAGGAATGTTGGACGGATTGATTAAGATGTGGGTTGTTAAGGTTCCAATAAAACACGAGCGCCCCATCCGTATGTTTGAAGGACATGAACAGCGAGTAACAGCTTTAGATTCTCATCAAAACCATCTGATTTCGTCCTCCATTGATCATTCTGTCAGGGTCTGGAATATTGAGACGGGGAGACAGGTTCGGGTTCTCCGGGGACCATGTTCTCCTCTACTCTACGTCAAACTAACCACAGACAGAATTGTCTCCATTGCTAAATCAGGACATTTCAATTTCTGGTATTGGAACAGTCCTAAACATCTCGAGTATCTCTACTCTACCTCTATAAACCATGACCTCAATTTCCTAGATGTGTCCGTCGGTGAAACCTATATTATCCTGGTTCTCTTCCAACCAGTGATGTTCCTAGAGAATGAAATCCAAGTATACAGCAGCAAGACTGGAAGACGACTCACCGAGAAACGAATAACATGTCCGGCGAATATTTCAAGTATAGCAGTATTCAACTGTATACTGTGCATAGGAACAGAATCGTGTATTGAGGTGTGGAATATAGAAGACTGTGAAATCATAACTATTCTCCGGGTCGATTTACTCCCGGTCATAGGTTCTTTTATTTCCAACCCAACACCCAGTATTAAAGATATTTCATTGAACGAATTCCTATTAGTCGTAATGTTCTCTCCGGGTACTATTTTCATCTGGTCAATTTTCGATATTGTGCAAGACTTAACCGAACCTAGATTATGTATAGAGAACAATGAACCAAGTTGGAAACCCATGGCGCTCTCCGATACCAAGATTGTGTTCGGGTTAGAGATGAAGTTCGGAGATATAAAAATCTATTCCTTCTCCGATAATCATCCGAGATTAGAGAGTGATCAAATCAAGGACGAAGAGCTCCAAGATGGTTTTGATGTTTCGTCCCCAGAGTTAATGCTAGATGATGTACCTGACCTAAAGTAAACCTATGTATGATACCGTGTTTTATACTTATTTATGTATTTATTTATGTATTGCCACAAACTCAAATTTTCTAATTTTTTCTAATTCAAACTTAGATCATTTGATCTCATCGAATTCATAGATTGAAATTGGTTTGCAAAGATACAGGGATAAGAAAATCAGAGTTTGTGGCAAAGACTCGATTACTTTTCTATAGAAATATATAGATATTTTATATTTGAAGATTATATTTGAGATAACTTTGCTTTAATAATTATTAATATTTATTAATTAATAATTATTTGCTTTAATAATTATTAATATTTATTAATTTTTATAATTATTTGCTTTAATAATTATTTAATCATAATTAGTTTATACTTTATTTCTTTTTACAAGCCGCTTCTTAAAATATTTACATTGTTTCAAATAAAATATAGAAAATTAAAGGGACAGACCGGCTATGTAAGGTAGTTAAATTGAGTATGCAGTGTTGTGGACAAATTCTGTAGGATTCATTTGAGACATATAAAACTTTTTAAAGATCTGTACATCCTGAGTTTGAGCGCAAAGTCGACGCTCAAAATCGTACTTTTGGGTGGATACGTTTCAGAATTGTTGTTTTTTAATTATTAGATAATTATTAAATAACGACGACAAAAAATGTAAACAAAATTCTACAGTAAACTAATAAGTTGTTTAAGAACAGGTTGAGAGAATAAAAATTAACTCTTATCATCAAAAAGAAATAATCTTATTCAATTAATAGTTTCTATAATCTCTCTTTAATCACAAAGATTTTCTGGAATTTTTATTAAAAAGACGACATTTGAAGAATTTGAAAAAATCTGCGAACAAATTTATAGAAAATAAGAAATTCAATAAAATGATGAAAAAGGAAATAATTAATTCTAACTTCGATTTATTGACAAATTTCCTTTGAGAAATATGTTCCTGAACATTTAATTAGTTTATACTATAGAATTTTTACTATATTTTCATCGTCGTCGTCGTCGTTATTTAATAATAAAAAAAACGATTCTGAAAACGTACCCAACCAAATTCATGATTTTAAACGTCGACTTTGCGCTCAAACTGAGTAATTATACATCGTGGAAACGTTTTATATGTCTGAAATGAATCCTGAAGAATTTGTCCACAACACGTTGCATACTCAGTTTAACTACCTTACATAGCCGGTCTATCCCTTTAGGAACAAATCAAGTATTAAAAAAGTATGGACAAATGTGTATATTTGATATTAAACAACTAAATTTTAAGCTAATATTGATTCAGAAGTATGTATTTAAAGCTCAGTGCAGTTTCGGTCACTCAATCCTAGTGTAAAGTTCTCTTGTTGGTCCCTTTCTCCGAGTAACTAAAGGATTTCTCGCCAACCAGAACAAAACAAGGATATCAGTTATAAGCATGACTAGAGCCCAAATCTGTAAGATCGGAGTAGATCCAGCGAAGTTCAACCAATCCACCAGAGGTCCTCCGACTGTTGGCCCCAAGAAGTTTCCTAGAGCAAAGGCCGAAGTCCAGAGACTGGAAATAACGGAGGATCCGTCCTCGTCCAGGTCAGGTAGCCGGCGCACTGCGTGCTTTTGGGTTAGCGCGAAGGTTGCTGTTAGAGTTGCGGCAGTTCCGATCCCAAGCAGAGCGAGTCCTCCTTCGGTGAGGGCGTAGCTGGGTGGGATGCTCAGATACTGAATAGGACCGATCAGTAGCAAAGAGGTTGCGATCAGAATGTTTCCTATCGGAGAAATGTACTCCGGCTGAACCCAGGAGTCCACGAGATATCCCCAAATAGGAGTACTTATCATGTAGGGAACACTCATCGCTGAAAAAACTTAATTAGAAAATTATTTTTCCCAAGAACGTTCTCATGCTGAAAAAAAGATTAAATGTGAAATTTTTTTCTCCCGAGAACCACAATAAAGGAGCTGATGAGACTCGAACTCTAATTTTCTCATCCTTATAACTTTGCAACCTGAAGGTAAAACTGTAAGCTTTGATATTTCAAACTGTAACTTAATTGATCTAGTACTTAATTGAAATATTAAAGGTCTTTCACATCAGGTTCCAAAGATATAAGGATTAGAAAATTAGAATATGAGGAGAGTAATCAGTTCGTCTCTCTCACCAATCAAAATCAGAAGATTATTTTTCCTAAGAAGGTTCTCATTGCTAAAAAACCGACTAAATCAGAAAATTATTCTTCCCAAGAACGTTCTCATAGCTGAAAAAAAAGATTAAATCTGAAATAATTTTTTTTTTCCAAGAACGTTAGTAAAGAAAATGATTATGAGACTCGAACTCTAATTTTCTCATCCTCATCTCATATTTAAGATCAGGTTCCAAAGATATAAGTATAGAAAATTAGAGTAGAAGGAGGGATAATGAGGGATAGTGAGGGATAATGAGGGATAATGAGGGATAATGAGTTCCTCCCTCACCAAGAAATGAAACTCCGATCTGTGAGACGGAGAGACCGAAGATTGCCAGGTATTCTTCCAGGAAGGTTTCGATGAAACCCTGACAAACTGCTCCGAACATTGTTCCAACCAGAGCCAACAAGACACCAGGATCCTTCAACAGTCTAGAAAGTACAGATTACAGGGGTCGTTAAAATAAAAAGAACTAAAAACTAATCCAATTGTATTTTCACTATAACTTATTATCAATAATGAATAATATAAGACTTCCAAGATGTCATGTACAGTGTACACGCACCTCTGCCCCTTTAGTAAAAGTAAATTCAACCTATATAAACCATAAAGTCTGACCGCGTCAATCTTGTTGCACCGGCTAGTCATGTCAATAGAGCTAGGTGCAGTACAAACTGGGACCGGAAAGGTTGACCCGGCTCGGAAATTCAAATGTACTACGGCTGCCCGTGTGTATAGTTTTAACTCCCTTTTCTTTCTTCAAGTCTCAGTATTTGTGGGTAACTATCAAGGAGTATGGAATAGAAGGGAGATACAACTGACGCGGCCCGCCCTATCATATGATTATACATGCTTTGTAGACGGTACTCCATTTGTATAAGAAATATTTGTCTGATGTACAAGTACCGCGTATTCAATTACCTATTCTGAATATTTCATACAGTGGCGAACACAGGGGGGGGGGCAGTAGTCCTCTTTCCCCCCCCCCTGGAAGTTCCAGGGGGGGCCCTGCCCCCCCCTGGAAAATACAAAATTAAAAGGAAATAAATTTAAAAGTAACACCTGACAATGACAAAGACTAAGGAATTGTCTAAATTCACTGTTAACACAAAATTTTAGGATACTTTAAACTAAAACTTTTGCAAAACGAGAACTCGACATATTAGATGCTTATAACATGATGGAAGATGTAATATAGGTATTCTATTTTCTATTTTTCTATTTTTTCTTACAGTCAATTAATAAAGGAATTGAGTCTTTGGCACAAACTCAAATATTCAAACCTTTGGAACCTGATGTTGTAAACCTTTGATATTTCAAATTCATTTGGTTCCAAAGATATAGTGATTAGAAAATCAGAGTTTGTGGCAAAGACTCAATTCCTTTATTTCCATAAAGAGATAATAAGCGTAATTTCAAGTTCCACTTTATGCAATGATGACAATAACATCGAATGAAGGAAAGAGAAGTTTTAGCCTTCTAAAGAGAATACTTCATTACACAATTGATGTACTATGACGGAGAGTAGACTTAACGATCTTGCACTACTGAGAAAATCATTGAGATGTTTGTGCAAGCAAATCACATAAAATTGAAGCTTAAGAGTTGGTGAATATGTAGATGGAGTAAATTCTATCTAAAAACTTCAGAAGAAATTTCGTTTATAAGTGAAAATATTATTTTTTAATGATGCTGTGATTCTTGATTTAGTTAGCTGTGATGGAGTTAAGTTATAAAATTTATAAATTTATAAAGTTAAAAGGTTAAAGTTAGTTTTTCGAGCAAAGGAACAATTTTTAGACTCTATAAAGTTAGTAACACCCAAAAATGTAATCTTTTTGATGTATTTTTATGGTGTTAATTGACTTTTTGAACAAAAAAATTCCAGGGGGAGGCAAAAAAAAATTTTCGCGCTACGCGCGAAATCTTGCCCCCCATGGCTAAAATCCTGTGTACGCGCCTGTTCATATACGAATGGAGTACCCGTCTGCAAAACATGTATAATCATATGGTAGGGCGGGCCGCGTCAGTGGTATCTCCCTTCTATTCCATACTCCTTGGTAACTATCTATAGGGGTTACAAAATTGACAATTTTTCATTGCAGGTTTTCTGTAAAAGTTACGTGAGGAAGAAAATTAAAAAACAAACATTTGCTTCTAGATAAAAAAGAAACTATGGAAAATATATTTCTCATTTTTACTTAAAAAAAAGGAAACAAACAAAAAAATTAAAAATAGTTTCAAACTTACATGATAAACACCTCGGATGGATTCTGCTTGGTTTCATGTGAATCCAGGCTAGTTTCAACCAACTTGGGTAATCTGTGTACCAGGAGAAATCTTATCAAAACAAACCCAAACGAAGGAATAAAGATTGATAAAGATTAGGATAGAGAAAGATAACAATTGTTTATGCATGCCAGAGACCGTTTTTAATTAATTGGAGAGATCGCTTAACTACATACCACCAGTTCAAATCATGAATCATCGATTCACTCTCTAAATACTTAGCTAAATCCTTATGAATTTTAACTTTGAATCAGTGATTCAGGATTTAAACTAGTTGTGGTAGTTCAATGACTTTTCGCAACTCATTAAATCCGGTTCCTAAGTCAAGGGTTGTGGTGGAATGTTTTTATAAATTGAGATGGAATTTTTACAAATGATCTTTTTCAGGTCAATTATGTTTTTGTCCCGAGATAAGTACTGCCAGGACATAAACTGGTTTGCCGGGACGATAAAGTGGTTTGCCGGGACATAATGTGGTTTGCCGGGAGGATAAAGTGGTTTGCCGGGAGGATAAAGTGGTTTGCCGGGACGATAAAGTGGTTTGCCGGGAGGATAAAGTGGTTTGCCGGGACGATAAAGTGGTTTGCCGGGACGATAAAGTAGGGTTTGACCATATTTAAAAAGATTGAATATTTGTATGGAAAGGAAATAATGTGGAATATAAACTAGAATTTAAGGGAACAATCAACAGGGAGGAAAAGTTGAAAGGTTTATCTCCCTAGGGAGGAAAAGTTGAAAGGTTTATCTCCCTAGGGAGGAAGAGTTGAAAGGTTTATCTCCCTAGGGAGGAAAAGTTGAAAGGTTTATCTCCCTAGGGAGGAAAAGTTGAAAGGCTTATCTCCCTAGGGAGGAAGAGTTGAAAGGTTTATCTCCCTAGGGAGGAAGAGTTGAAAGGTTTATCTCCCTAGGGAGGAAAAGTTGAAAGGTTTATCTCCCTAGGGAGGAAAAGTTGAAAGGTTTATCTCCCTAGGGAGGAAAAGTTGAAAGGTTTATCTCCCTAGGGAGGAAGAGTTGAAAGGTTTATCTCCCTAGGGAGGAAGAGTTGAAAGGTTTATCTCCCTAGGGAGGAAAAGTTGAAAGGTTTATCTCCCTGATTATCGTGATGGTTCCAATAATTAAACAAAGAATTCCACTAAACTCGAAGGGAAGAGCGAACCCTCCTTTCTTAAAAAAAGTTTGCTTAAATAGATTTAAATTTGTACTTCTTAAACAGTTGGACACATAAAACTGTGACATAGGAAGACGATTTAATCATGTTATGTTTTTAAATATGAAACACATCAATCCCAGGAAACATTTTAACCGACTATGTGCCGACGGCGAAGATGTCGGGTAAATAATTCTAGACTTTATATGTTCGACATCGGTTTGTCGGAGACTAAATTTTTGCAGGGATAGAAACAAAAATTAATTTTATAGCAACTGGTAACTGTTTTCTTTATATCAATTCAATATCAAATACACAGGAGTTGAGTGTCGTCTTCCTATTCCACGTTTTTAAAGGTTACACTGTAAAAATTGTATCTTTTTTTTAAATTACCTCAAACATTATTCCTCCTGCAGTTGCAAATTTCAATATTATTAAGAAATCAAACGCTTTTAGAAAGTCTAAATAAAAAATGTTTTTTTACGAATTAAAAAAATATATTGAAGTTTCCTATAGACGGTCCCAGGATCTCAGCGAACCCAAATGATGCTTGCGTGAGTGAATATGCGTAGGTGACATGTTCCTGCGTATTGTGTAATGTCAAACCCTCATTGCAGTGAGCTAAAATCAAATGAAAATGAAGACGACATTTGAAAACAACTTAAGAAATAATTTTTAATGATGGTTTCCACATTTCCTTGTATTCAGCAGATAGAATTGTAAGGACAGATGCCCAGGCACCAGCTTCAGCTACTCCCTCAATACCAGGACAAATTAGGACCAGAACAAATTGATTCCAGGACAAATTACTAAAAGGACAAAAGACTACCAGGACAAATTACTATAGCAGGAAAAATTAATGCCAGGACAAATTAATACCCGGAAAAATTAATACCTGAAGGACATATTAATACCAGGACAAATTAATACCAGGACAAATTAATACCAAATTAATACCGGGACAAATTAATACCAGGACAAATTAATACCAGGACAAATTACTACCGGGACAAATTAATACCGGGACAAATTAATACCAGGACAAATTAATACCAGGACAAATTACTACCGGGACAAAGTAATACCAGGATAAATTAGTACCTGGACAAACTAATACCAGGACAAATTAGTTCCTGCAGGACAAATTAATACCAGAACAAAAATCTCAGGAAAAATAGATACCAAGAAAAATCAATACTAGGACAAACCAATACATGACATATTAATACCAGGACAAAATCAAAAGAAAAATCAATACTAGGACAAACCAATACATGACATATTAATACCAGGACAAATTAATACTAGAACAAAATTACAGGAAAAATCAATACTTTTTTGTTACAAGACATTTGAGTAATTGAGGCAATTTTCAAATCTAAAATCAAGATAAGATTTTGTTTAAAAAGAAATAAATTTGTTTTTAATTTGCCAAGATTCCTCCAGGATCCTGAAAAAACTTGATTATTTTTAAATTCTCATTTGTTTCATCACAGTTTGCCGATATGTCCTCTCTTACAGGATTTTCTTTTAATCAAAGATTGATTAGAATAACAGATAAGACACTAGATGTCGTCTTTTCAAGATTTAGGGGTTTTTTCGTTCACAATAACCCTGAGGCAGAAATCCAAAGGAGTTAAATACGCGAATGCTCTCTCTCTTTCATTCAACGCGGCTGCGCGTAACTCCGCTGGGCTTCTAACCTGAACGACAAACCCCTAAATCTTAAAAAGACGACATCTAGTGTTCTATCTGTATTGTTATTAATCTATGATTCAGGCCTAGGGGACATCTGTAGGCGGTTAGAAACGTTAAGCTATGTTCTTGTTTAAAAGTAGGTTGATTTATAATATCTTAACAATGAAAAATCCCTTAAATTGGTTAGGTTACAATATAGGGATCCAATACAGGGTTACAATACAGGGATCCAATACAGGGTTACAATACAGGGATCCAATACAGGGTTACAATACAGGGATCCAATACAGGGTTACAATACAGGGATCCCCACAAAGCATGATAAGTTAATGACGACCTAAATCTCATTTTATAAAAACAATATAGGAGTTTAATTTGAGGGTAAAACAATATAGGAGTTTAATTTAGTAAATTTTTTTGTATATTGTAAAAATATATTTGTAAAAGAAGACACTTGCATAAAACTGCAGGAAACCATATATTTAAGAAAACTTTAAAATGAACGTCTCTGAAGTCTCATCTTTTGTTGGTAACCCTGTACGTTTATAACAAAATATGTGAGCAGTCTCACGTACAGTACCTGAGAGCATATGAAACCCCTAGAAATGACCATGTAGTTGGAAGGAAGGTAAGAAGACCGAATAAACATCCACACAGCGCTGTACAGATAACTCCGAATATAAAAACCCTGTATACGCCCAGGTGTCCCATGTACTTCCCGAACAAGGGCCCGGAGAGGAACATTGACAGATGAATGATTCCAAACACAATTCCATATTCAGCGGCATTCGCGCCCTTTTTCTCAGCTTCTATTGGATAGAACGGAGCCTAAAACAATTTTTTCAATAAAGCCAATTATATAAGATAATAATGTTAGACCCTATTTCAATCTGTACCTGTACCTGTACCTGTACCTGTACCTGTACCTGTACCTGTATGCTATCTGTAAGACCCCAAGTTATGTAAACTAAACAAATCCAAACAATCAGTTCCCATTGGGCGTAGGTCAGGTTCATTCTTGGCAATTTAGCTTCAAAGTCTATCAATTGCAAAGTCTATCAGCTTCAAAGTCTATCAATTGCAAAGTCTATCTGATGCAAAGTTTATCTGATGCAAAGTTTATCAGCTGCAAAACTATATCAGCAACAAAGTGTATAAGTAAAAAATGTATCGGCTTCGAACTGTTTCTTTTCTGAAGCTTATTAATATCATTCAGGTGATGCTAAATAGCTGCTTATTTGATTCAAGCACCATAGCTTTATTGAGTGCAGGTGGGATTTTTTTGTGGATCAGAAGCTCCTTTTTTCTTTTCTTTGGGTTTAACAAATACTCATCAGATTTGTATAGTAGTTACTTATTTCACTAGAATTGTTCAGTAGTTTTACTTATTTCACTAGAATTGTTCAGTAGTTTAAACCTATTTTACTAGAATTGTTCAGCAGTTTAACCTATTTCACTAGAATTGTTCTGCAGCTTAACTTATTTCACTAGAATTGTTCAGTAGTTTAACTTATTTTACTAAAATCGTTCAGCAGTTAAACCTATTTTTCTAGAATTGTGTCCAGTCTATTTCACATGAGCTGTAAACCTCAACTGTTTTATCCAGTGTGAGGTCAAGGTGTGAAATCTTATCTTTTATCAGGATCCATGGTCTTGACAATCCTTATCTTAAGACAAACCCAGAGAAAACTTTCCATGTAGACATGGTATCTCTCACCAATGGTCTAATAAAAAAATATACAAATAAAACAGGGTTTACTATTCGTTTTGACAATTTTTTATTGGCTCTATTTTTGTTATTTTTTTGACATTTTATAATGCGCCAAACTTTAATGCCAAGAATGCAAAAATCAAAACATTTTATTTAAGTTTTTCCATTTTATACTAAAGATGGAGCTAATTAAAAATAAATGTTAATATAAAATTTTTTAAAAAGTTTAATCTTGTATTTTATTATTAATGTTAAACTTAACCATTCCAACTTACAAAAATTTTAACATACTGGAAAAAAAAACTACGGAGCGTAGTATGTATTGATTAACCTCATATTGTATGTATGACGATACGATTTAATTAATTAATTTCATCATTAAAGGAACTGTTTATGTCATTTTAAGTTACGCTGCATTTTCAGGTCCGATTTATAATCCCTTTAAATTTGCGCTACAGAGACACTGAAGGAAATTGTGCGAATTTAACCATTTTTAGATTGAAAAACAGCGATATCTTCCTCATTGTTACTCATATAGAGGTTTACCGTTGTGATTCGGTCAATCAGAGGGTTCCTTCAAATTACGTTTACAGTCCCTTAAATGGTGTAAATTTGTAGCTAAAGTAACCACAACATTCGCTGATATCAAAAGATTATGACATTTTCTATATCACAGATTTGAAACCACAAATTCATTGCGTAAAGATAAAAACTGCAGTATGACATTTAAGTATATTTCAGTACAATTCAGTACATTTCATTGCAATTTAGTACATTTCAGGGCAATTCAGTACATTTCAGTACATTTCAGTGCAATTCAGTACATTTCAGTGCAATTCAGTACATTTCAGTACATCGCAGTACAGTTCAGTACAGTTCAGTGTACAGTTCAGTTCATTTCAATACATCTAATTATATTTCAGTTAATTTTGTTTTATTTCAGCATACATCGGTATAATTCAGTAAATTTCATTTGCTTGTCTGTCTGTCTGTTTGTTGGTCTGCTTGAGTTTTTTAACAAACGCAAAAAAAAAGATTTTTTTTCAAGAATCTATTTTTTTACAAAAATTTAGAATTTTTAAAAATGTTTCTAAAATTCCACGGGCAACACCGGGCACTTTAACTAGTATCCAATACCGTCAAAACGGCTGAACCGATTGGGCCAAAATTTTGTGCAGGACCTTACATGACCTCAGAGAAGGTTAATGGAACATCAAAATTGGAGAAAAATTTTTTTTCAGAGCAACAGTTAAAAGATAACATTATTTACAGGAAAGGGGACTCGAAGCGCCCCGAAATCCTAGTTTCATTATATTTCAGTACATTGTACTATATTTCAATACATTTTAATACATTTTAGTTCATTTTAGTCCATTTAGGTCAATTTTAGTACAATTCAGTTTTTTGTAGTACATTGCAGTGCATTTCAGCACATTTCAGTACATTGCAGTACATTTCAGGACATTGAGTTCATTGCTGTACATTTCAGTATATTTAAGTACGTTTCAGTAGATTTCAGCAATTTCAGTTCATTTTAGTACATTTAGTACATTTCAGTATATTTAAGTACGGTTTAGTACATTTCAGGACATTTCATTAAATTTCAGTTCATTTTAGTACATTTCAGTACATTTCAGTACATTTTAGTATATATACGTACGGTTTAGTACATTTCACCACATTTCAGTTCATGTTAGTAAATTTCAGTACATTTCAGTATATATAAGTACGGGTTAGTACATTTCAGTATACTTAAGAAAATTACAGCATATCTAAGTACGCTTTAGTACATTTCAGTACATTTCAGTACATTTCAGTTCATTTAAGTACATTTCAGTACATTTCAGTATATTTTTAAGTACCGTTTAGTACATTTCAGGACATTTCAGTTCAATTTAGTACATTTCAGTACATTTCAGAAAAATTCAGTATATGTAAGTACAGTATTGTACATTTCAGTACATTTCACTTCAATTTAGTACATTTCAGTTCAATTTAGTACATTTCAGAAAATTTATGAATTTTAATCTTTTCAATTAACGTTCTTAACCCGTCTAGAGATGAGATATGTATCATATATCCTGTATCAGGTCTAGAGATATGTATCTTATATCCTGTATCAGGTCTAGAGATATTTATCTTATATCCTGTATCAGGTCTAGAGATATGTGTCATATATCCTGTATCAGGTCTAGAGATATGTATCTTATATCTTGTATCAGGTCTAGAGATATGTACCATATATCCTGTATAAGGTCTATAGATATGTATCTTATATCCTGTATCAGGTCTAGAGTATGTATCATATATCCTATATCAGGTCTAGAGATATGTATCTTATATCCTGTATCAGGTCTAGAGATATGTATCTTATATCATGTATCAGGTCTAGAGATATGTATCTTATATCCTGTATCAGGTCTACAGATATGTATCTTATATCCTGTATCAGGTCTACAGATATGTATCTTATATCCTGTATCAGGTCTACAGATATGCATCTTATATCCTGTATCAGGTCTAGAGATATGTATCTTATATCCTGTATCAGGTCTAGAGACATGTATCTTATATCATGTATCAGGTTTAGAGATATGTATCTTATATCCTGTATCAGGTCTAGAGATATGCATCTTATATCCTGTATCAGGTCTAGAGATATGTATCTTATATCCTGTATCAGGTCTAGAGATATGCATCTTATATCCTGTATCAGGTCTAGAGATATGTATCTTTATCCTTTATCATGTCTAGAGATATGTATCTTTATCCTTTATCAGGTCTTAGAATAAAGCCTCTGCCATTCTGTCTCCGCGCCCCGCAGTTTGATCTCCGCTTGCTGTATCTATTTTTCATTAACCTTTAAAGTATTTCAGAAAAACTAGTGTGTTTTGTGAATTGGTGGTATAGACTGGTTAGATTCGTACATGATACACATGTAAAATAATATACTATCTATCTTTAGTTGTTTAAAAGTAAAGGAATTGGTGAAATTTAGAAAATAGAAATAGATTTCTTAATCTCAATTGAAGTAGACTTTTCAATAAGAATTGTTAATGGATCATTAAAAAATAATTAATCATGTTGTGTTTGTTAGGTGGATGCAAAAACCAAACATCTTTTTAGCAGGCCCACACTGCAAGACATGGAGACAGAATGTCGGAGGCTTGGAGACGTAGCGAGAGGCTTCGCGGGGCTTAGAGGTCATACTGGGTATCAGAAGGCTCCGGAGGTCATTTTGCGTTGCTCATGGCGGTTCTGCACCCCTCCCTCGGTCAGGTGAGAGTACAGTTCATTAGGGTTTCCACCGAAATTCCGGGTTACGGTTAACGTACGGAAATGATCCGGAAATTTTTTCCATTTCCATTATGGAAAAGGTTCCGGAAAACCGGAATTCCGGAACGATTTCCGGAACGATTTTTTTTCGTAAAACGGAAATTTCCGGAACGTTGTTCCGAAATTACGGATCGTTACGGAATTCCAGAACGTTCTGGAAATTTCCGGAACGTTCCGAAATATCGTTCCGAAAATTTTCCGGAAAAACGTTCCGGAAATTTCCGGTTTCCGGAACAATTGGTACCAGAATTACATTAAAGTCTTACATTGTAAATACAACACCAGTTAGTAACACTAACAATATATGGATGGATGCCGGACGGTAGAAAAAGTTATACTCAATAATCAATATTCAAAGTTACTATAGTGTGAAATGTAACTGATAAACCGAGGGGGGGGACTCTACCACTAGCAGGGCAGTAGCTAGCGGGGGGGGGGGGGCAATGATCCTCGATTTTTTTTTCAAATTTTCAAACTTTGTAAATATGAATTTAATTAAAATAAGAAAAATTCTTTAAGTTCCGGTTTACGGAATGGAAATTTTCCGGTTTACGTTACGTAAACCGTAAGAATTTCCGGTTTACGGAATGGAAACCGGAAATTTTTCCGGTTTACGAAATGGAAACTGGAAATTTTACGATTTCCATTCCGGAAAACGGAAATTTTTCCGGTTTACGTCACGTAAACCGGAAAATTTCCGGTTTCCATTTGTACCGGAATTATCCCGGAATTCCGGTTTACGCAACAAATTTCCGGATCATTCCATTTCCAAAATGGAAATTTTTTTCGGGAAAAATGGAAACCCTACAGTTCATATATGTATATATACATTTGCATTATTTCAGTCTACTCCACTGTTATTTAAACTTCTGAAAAACAATTTTAAAAAATCTGCAAATTGTAATCTCACAGAGTCACAAAAGGCTTTATACAGAGCAATAAAGCATGTTGAATTTTAAAGTTTTAAACTGAACTAAATTATATTAAACAAATACCGTACTGCATTTTCTGGCTATTCTCGTCCCCCCCCGAAAACTTTTTTTTGTTAAAGTAAAAATGATTTAATTATTTTCAAGTTGCGGTTTTAATTCTCTAAACTTGACTCAAGAGTGAAAGGGTACTTAACATGTTTTTGAAAGGAAACCCATCTCAAGTTAAACAAGATATGGTTTGAATATGTAATAAAATAGCATAAAACGAAAAAATTCCAAAGGACAAGAAAAGAATAATTTTGGTTAGTTACATCTTAAGCCATTTTTGATTAAGTGATGCATTGAAAGAGTGGTTTCGAAGGAGGGGGGAGGGGGGGTGCTGAGAGGTTGTAAGATTTAAAAGACGTGGGACTGACGGTTGGTCGCATGTCTCACACAGGGGGGGGGGGTCACACCTTCTCAAATTCCTTTTATAACCTTAACCCTCATCCCACAACCGTTCTCCATGAAAACTACTCCCAAAATCTTCTCATCCAAACTCCAGTTGAACCATTTACTCCCTCTTCCTCATTCTTAACCACTCCCTCCATTAGTCTTTTTAGCAACTCCCTCCACTAGTCTTCTTAGCATCTCACTCCACTAGTCTTCTTGGCAACTGCTTGTTAGTCAACATTCTGGTCAAATAAGTCTCTACCCAAGCTAATCTCCAGTCTCTATCCAAACTAATCTCCAGTCTCTATCCAAGTCTAGTCTCTATCCAAACTAATCTCCAGTCTCTACCCAAAATAATCTCCAGTCTCTACCCAAGCTAATCTCCAGTCTCTATCCAAACTAATCTCCAGTCTCTATCCAAACTAATCTCCAGTCTCTATCCAAACTAATCTCCAGTCTCTACCCAAACTAATCTCCAGTCTCTATCCAAACTGATCTCCAGTCTCTAACCAAACTAATCTCCAGTCTCTATCCAAACTAATCTCCAGTCTCCAACCAAACTTATCTCCAGTCTCTATCCAAACTAATCTCCAGTCTCTACCCAAACCAATCTCCAGTCTCTAACCAAACTGATCTCCAGTCTCTATCCAAACTAATCTCCAGTCTTTACCCAAACTAATCTCCGGTCTCTAACCAAACTAATCTCCGGTCTCTAACCAAACTAATCTCCGGTCTCTAACCAATACAGCTCTAGTTTAATCATTTCAAAGCCAACTTCAGTCTTGATCTAATCTACATATTCCAGCTCAAGTCTCCGAGCTAATTCTTTTTAGATTAGAAAAGAATATATATGCATGCTAGGTAAAGCTATAAAGAATATATATGCATGCTAGGTAAAGCTATAAAGCTGGGTTTGCCAACATTTTTGTTAATTTAGCATAGTGTTACCAATTAATTTTGAACTTGGCAGAAGGAGGAGGAGGTCAAATTCATGCCAAAATACTGTGACGACTTTGTGACCTTGTAGCTCCTCTAGTTTTGATGTTATGCACAAGCATGTAAAAACAAATTTATTCGGTTACATATTGGAAATTCAAACCAGCTGTTTAATAACAAGAGTTATGACCATAACAGGAGTTATAATCATAACAAGAGTTATTATCATAAAAAGAGTTATGATCATAACAAGAGTTATGATCATAACAAGAGTTATGAGCATATCAAGAGTTATGATCGAAACATAGAATATTTTAATCTTACGTGGAATCTACTTCAGTTCGACGTGAATCAAGTTATTTTAACGAATGTGATTAAAAGCTTGATTCAAGACTGTCCTCTTTAAGTCTGACTAATGATTTTTGTCCTATGTTGTATGCCTGTGCATAGTAGTTTCAGAATGCGCGCGCTCTCATGTTGCTCCTTCCGTGCACGGTTTTGCCGCCATAACAGGTGTAACCGCCTGCCAGTTCAGATTCTACCAGGAGCAGATCTACACAGAACCATGGCTTCAGATAGTGGGATAGATAGTCAATCCTCTCCGGAGGCAGATAAATCTACCATGTCCCGAACCCATCAGTACAGGAAGGTGATGAAACCTATGCTAGAACGAAAGAGAAGAGCACGGATTAACAAGTGTTTGGACGAACTCAAGGATCTCATGGTGTCCGCACTACAGACGGAGGGGGAGAGTATCACCAAGCTGGAGAAGGCCGACGTGTTGGAGTTGACCGTCAGGCATCTTCGTAAGTTAAAGGCTCAGGGAGGATTATCCCTGACAAACTCAGGGTCAGAGAGATTCCGCTCCGGGTTCAGGCTTTGTGTCGGAGAAATAACAAGGTTTGTGACAAGTGGAACTTCCGGGATTGATTTAACTCTTTCAGCCCGACTTCTCCAGCATATGTCAATCTGCCTACAGAGTATGGAAGCCTCTACAATGCAACCAGTTCCGTCTCAAAACTTTAATCACGCAACCTCCCACCAACAAGACTTAATCAGTCCTCTCAGAACTCTATCAGAATTCATTTCTGCTGGTCGAGTGGAGAATATTAGATATTCTACGTCTTACTCCGGGTTCCAAGAACCTATGGACACGATGAATTCTCCGTCTCCACGTCCTAGCTCCGCCCCCGCCACGGTTGTAAAGACGGAGATATCTGATGAGAAAACCTGGAGACCATGGTAGTGAATCAAGATATTGTCATCGTACAATCAAATCCTTATACTTTCCATCTGTGATAACTTTATATCAATATATTTTACATAACTTCATAATAAAATATGAAAAAAGACTCAAATTCTTCATTTTCGCATTAATCTCGAATTATTTTATTAAAATCTGAAAAAAGTCCCGTGATTAAACTTTTCCAGGATAGCTTAGGTTAGGTAGATAGATAGTCACGGAAGGTTGCTTTATTCCCAAAGGGAGGCGGGTCCCAAGGCATATTTATTAAGAAATAACCATTTGCATAACAATTTACGTAGAAGAGTAAATTTAAAATTTACATAGAATGATTTAATATTCTATTCGAGGGCTAAAGAAAGGCCCAGAAAGATTGTATTTTGTTTCCAAAAATCTTGTTTTTGCAGGTTTAAAAATTGATGGTGAAATTATGTAGACAATTATTATTTTAAGGAATAAATAGAAATTAGGACAAATTTCTCAACTTCTCCGTCAATTTTGGTGCAGTATAATAATTGGCAGACCAAATTTTAGAAATCCCAAGACTAAGAGTTTTCGACCATTTATAATTAGAGAAGAAGACGATCTGAAAACTGTCACTAAAATCCCATATTTATTTGAGCTCGCTGTACAATGAGAACCAGAAAAAAATGGAATAGGAAGACGACATTGTGGCAATACTTAAGTGTATTTGATGTTGTTCCAAAGTAATTAGTCTTGCTAGATACTGTTTATCACTGAATTAGTAAATTTGAATTTTTTCACTGCGCAATTGCTTTGTTTCATGTTTATTGGCCTATTTAAAGCAATGCATTGAGTCCAAAAGTTATCTCCCTGTATTCAAAGAATATTCTAAAATGACCAGCGTGTGACGGAATGGACAACCTGAAAGATCGCTGAAGATTAAATATTTCTGTAACATTCTTATGTTAAGTATTGAACCATCTTCATAGATACGCTACATTGTGTTCAAACTTAAATCGAATAATCCAGAATCATTAAAGGGATTGATTTCAATTTTTGAACGGAGACATCGGTTCAAGAATTTGGGAAGAGATAAGTACTATTCTTTTTTATCTCAGGTTTACTTATTGGATATTTGAGAAAAACTGGGTTTGAGGTTTCGGTAGGGTTTTAATGATTTTTTGGACTCCCCGTTGCTTTATAAATAAAGTAGTAATCTCTATTGGTCCAGTCGATCATAACTCTTGAACCCGTCGACCGTTTTACCTCACATTTTGATTGGATAACTCGGTAGAACTGTAGGAATGTTCATACCTTGGGTTAGAGACTTTATAAGGAAGTTTAGATTCAAACTAGTTCAAAAGTAAATAATCTATGACACCCCCCCTTATCAACAGTAAACATTTTTTACTCCCCCCTCCCTCTCCCGATCTTCAACAGACAACTGTGCCCAAGCGTTGGCAACCATCAATAAATACATTTACTTCCAAGAATTTTGAATATTTTTACAATCTGAGAATTGTTGTATGTCCATGTATACACAATGCATATTTAGTATTTGACCTATGCCAGTCCAAATGGTAAACATTGAGAAAGAATTCTTATTTTACAATGTTTAAAAAATGGATGGAAATTCCTTCAGAAAGTGGATCTGAGACTAAAGAGACGTTCAAAATCGTACTTTTGGGTGAATACGTTTTCATAATTGTTTTTTTTAAATGTAAACAAAAATCTAAAGTAAACTAATTAGATATGTTTAGGAACAGGTTGAGAAAATAAAAATTAACTCTTATCATCGAAAATAAGTAATTTATTCAATTATTAAAACATCTAACATCTAAAAGTAGTCCTTACATATAAAATTAGTCCTAACTTCTGAAAGTAGTCCTAACATCTAAAAGTAGCCCTAACATCTAAAAGTACTCCTAACTTCTAAAAGTAATCCTAACCTTTAAAAGAAGTCCTAACATCTAAAAGTAGCCCTAACATCTAAAAGTAGTCCTAACATCTAAAAGTAGTCCTAACATCTAAAAGTAGTCCTAACATCTAAAAGTAGTCCGAACATCTAAAAGTAGCCCTAACAGCTAAAAGTAGTCCTAACATATAAAAGTAGCCCTAACATCTAAAAGTAGCCCTTGCATCTAAAAGTAGTCCTAACATCTAAAAATAGCCCTAAGATCTTAAAGTAGTCATTACATATAAAAGTAGCCCTAACATCTACAAGTAGTCCTAACATTTAAAAGTAGCCCTAACATCTCAAAGTAGTCCTAACATATAAAAGTAGCCCTTGCATCTAAAAGTAGCCCTAACATCTAAAAGTAGCCCTTGCATCTAAAAGTAGCCCTAACATCTAAAAGTACTCCTAACATCTGAAAGTAATCCTAACATCTAAAAGTAGTCCTAACATCTACAAGTAGTCCTAATATCTAAAATTAGTCCTAACATAAAAAAGTAGCCCTTGCATCTAAAAGTAGCCCTAACATCTAAAAGTACTCCTAACATCTGAAAGTAGCCCTAACATCTAAAAGTAGCCCTAACATCTAAAAGTAGTCCTAAGGTCTAAAAGCGTGTTATCTACCTCTGTTCAAAATGCTTTTTAATACCACAGTTAAAACTTTATTGAAGTTCAAGTTTTAGGTAAATTCCAGAGAACCATTTTATTTTTAAATTAAAAAGTCTCCCCTTCCCTTTTTCTTCTCAACCCCCCCCCCTCTCCCCTCCTCACCACAGTCCTATAATTTCTCTGCACGTTGCTAGCTATAAATACAACCTTGAGTAACTTCTTGCTAAAGATTGGTTTGTTTCTTTGTGACAGTCTTAGGTCGGAGAGATTGTATGAACCCCGTTCCCAGACCTTACAGAGGGATAATTGGTGGGAGTGGCGGGGACGGGGGAGGGGCAGGGTGGTCCGCTTTCCCACCAATACTTGAGGGTGAGAAAGATCGCATGCCGATCTCAGGCTCTCTTGATCCCATCACTAGGATCCGTCTCAGGCACAGACCCAACCTCTAGCACAGGTTCGGAGTAGGTTTAGGTCAGGGTGCAATATCAACCCCGTCCTTATATCCTCTAAACTGGGTCTTCTCAGCTTTAAGTTTGTGTTTTCCACTCTTCTATTTATCTATTTATGCATTTTCCATATGTAGTAGTTTGTTTCTTTGTTTTTTTTTGTCAAAACGGTTGAAATAATAGGATAGGGAAGATTTATTAGATGTTCAAAATAAAAATTTTAACCTGCAAATAGTTGACTTTTACTATTTTTGACAATCCTTTAATTTAAACAGACAAATCAGCGAAAATCTTTGCTTCTTGGAGTACGATGAACAAATGTTGATTTGAAAAGCACTAGAACAGGGGCACGAAGCGCTTTAAATGCTTAGAATTCGACCTCGGTTTCATTCTTATTTATTTAAACTCAAAGTGGGCCTTGCTATCCTTTTAACCAAACCACGAATATTTACCTTGTTTACTTCTATATATTCCCCTGGTCTACTCCTATATATTTCCCTGGTCTACTCCTATATATTCCCCTGGTCTACTCCTATATATTTCCCTGGTCTACTCCTATATATTCCCCTGGTATACTCCTATATATTCCCCTGGTCTACTCCTATATATTCCCCTGGTCTACTCCTATATATTCCCCTGGTCTACTCCTATATATTCCCCTGGTCTACTCCTATATATATTCTCCTGGTATACTCCTATATATTCTCCTGGTATACTCCTATATACTCTCCTTGTCTACTCCTATATATTCCCCTGGTCTACTCCTATATATTCCCCTGGTCTACTCCTATATATTACCCTGGTATACTCCTATATATTCCCTTGGTTAACTCCTATATAATCCCCTAGTTTACTCCTTTATACTCCCCTTGATACTTCCCTGGTCTACTCCTATATGATCTCTTGATCTACTCCTATATTCCCCTGGTCTACTCCTTTATAACCCCCTTGTCTACTCCTATATACTTCCTGGTCTTCTCCTGTATACTCCCCTTGTCTACTTCTATAATCCCCTGGTCTACTCCTGTATACTCCCCTGGTCTACTCCTATATATTCCCCTAGTATACTCCTATATACTCACCTGGTCTACTCCTATATAATCCCCTGGTCTACTACTATATACAGCCTTGGCCTATTCCTGTATATTCGCCTTTTCTACTCCTATATATTCCCCTGGTCTACTCCTATATACTCCCCTTGTCTACTCCTATATATTCCCCTGGTCTACTCCTATATATTCCCCTGGTCTACTCCTATATATTCCCCTGGTCTACTCCTATATATTTCTACTCCTATATATTCCCCTGGTTTGGTTAGCTCCCACGATCCTAAACAATAGAATTCCAGACATTCTCCGGAAGGAATAAAAAGAAAAATACTTTTGTATTTAATTATTTAGTTTGAAATTACTTTCTGTTCTTAAGTCTTTAATCTTTATAAAGTAAAACCAAAGTTTTAGCATAAATTTTATTTAAACATAAATCACTAATAATTCATGGCATTTTCCGCCCCTCTTGCTAGTGCTTTTAATTTTTCTTTATGGTATTTAAAGTCTCTTCTTTTTAGTTGGATCGTAGGATTTCAAAAGATTAGAGTTTTTGAATTAAATAGGACATTTTTAACTATTTTTTTATGAAAAAAATGTAGTTAAATCTTTGAAGCTAGGTTTTCAATTTTTAAATAGTGATAAACCAGAAGACGACTTTTAGAATCAAGTCAAACTTTTAAAAATCCAATGATCATGAGACACAGAAATTGTGCAGTATAAACTTACTTATTGCTGTATTGTCGTCTTCCTATTCTACAGTTTTCTGATTATCATTTAGAAACACGCTTAATATACCACCGCACCAGGGAAATATTTAAAATTAGGATTGTTCCATGGTAAAGATATACATCTTAGATAAACGTCTTAAAAATCTAAATTTCAATAAAACATTATTTGAAGATTTTTATTGAATTTTATTGGTATTGGTTCAATTCTCATAGTAGCGCTAAGTGTGCTTCTAGCCAATATTTTGCTTGAAACCCGCGGCATCCGCGCGCATCGCCATATTTTAATATGTTTTTCATGGTTTTCTGATTAGCGTGCTCAAGCTTCATCAAACAATAATTTTTTTGCGCGGATACAAGACATAAAACTAGTTCTTTTGTCGATTTCCGCCCTAAACAACTTCTTGCATTTCATTGCCAATGTAGTTTTAAGTTACCAAGCAAATTATGAGTGTCAAATGAGGGCCATTTTATTGCTCGGATCTGTCAAAGAATTCCACGATTATTTTTCAGTGAGACGAACTTTTTGACATCATTGATACGGATAACACTTTTCATTCAAATTTAAACCATTCATTGTAACCTCTTAATCTAATTTCCTTACTTTACTCGTCTGATAACTTTCGCTCTCTACTTTCCTCCGCTCTTCTACCAACTATGATCTAAAACTTACAATTCTCTCGCGCTAAATTCGATCAGAATTTTGCCAATCACTCATTTTAAACTTAAACTAGGAACGAGTGCTTGATAGTACTTAAAAGAGCTTGTCTAGAGCTATACAATAAAGTATAAAAGAGTTGTTGGGGAGGTTAAATCAATTTTTTTCTCTCGCCTTTTCTTCTAATTTCATATCCTGCTCTCTCTGCTTTGCCTCATTTTCCCTTTATTTTTCATTAGTATTTCGTTTTTTCCCACTCCCCCTCGTCCTTACTTCTACTTTTCTTTTTAATTTAAAAAAAATTACTATCGTCTGTTCTCTTTCTGTATTTTAGTTTCTATCTATTTCCCATTTCAGGTTTTCTCCCCTTCGTAAAGTAAGTATTCTATCTAGAACGTTTGGCTATTAAGGATACGTGATCCTGATGTATTGATGTGCATATGAGGGATCCTGCACCTGCCTTTGATGGGAACCAAGCCGAGGAACCTATGCAGTGGAACCCCTCCCTCCACCTGCACCCCCTACCCTCCCCCGAACTCTCATGGGAATACACTCTTCTACATACTTTACTAAACAGCTTTTAGGCTTAGGAGGGGGAGAGAACAGGATATGTCTATCTTTCTATCTATCTGTTTATTTTATTTAATCATATTTTATACAGGGTGATAAAAAAAGTCGTAGAGAAAAAGAGAAATTAAACTTTTCAATCTTGATAGATAATATTTAGTGCATAATTAAGTTCCTTCTTTTTTCATCTTATTCTATAATCTCTAGGTTTGTTTCCAGGATATCCACATTTCACTGGATCCCGTGATAAAGAGTATTTAAATTATTGTACTCTAATGCATTCCCGGAGCAGGTTCAAAGAAGTGGTTTAAGGATGAGTTGCAGCTCCCTGTTCCCACAAAGATCCCAAACCGTGCGACTATTTTATGTTAAGGACAGGTGTAGGTTAAAGTTCTCATGCAGTGGAATGTGACTGCCTGGCTGCCTGACTGCACGGATACCCCTAGTTCCCCATTGTATCTAGCAGCGTCCCTACTCAATACGTTACACATTAGTAGCTTCAGTTCAACACAAGCGAATGTGGGAATTTTTATCCGTTTTTTTGCCGGAAATTTCTCCCGGCGCAAGTATGGCACTAGATTAACATTTTTTGTTAAAATGAGCAGTTTTTATCCTAATGTATACTTCAACCGATTTGTATTCATGTTGGGATAAATATTTTCGAAGATTTTGTTCAACATTTCCAAAATCAGATTCAAAGAATCCATCAAAGTTTTAATAAGGTTTGGTTTAGGTCAGGTTTGCATCCTGTAGTTCCCCGAACTAGTAATTAGGTTTCCGGTCAACAGTTGTATAATCTTGTAAACCCTTGGATCCGGTCCCAGGAACCATTAACTCATAATTACAGTTTATTTTAGTCCCCAGTTTCCGGTACTAATGGAGATTTAGAACAAGTAACATCTTCATCATAATCTAGTCACGGACAGGGTTGGATATGTTCATAGGTTCAGAGTTGGATATTTTCATAGGTTCAGGGTTGGATATGTTCATAGGTTCAGAGTTGGATATTTTCATAGGTTCAGGGTTGGATATTTTCATAGGTTCAGGGTTGGATATTTTCATAGGTTCAGGGTTGGATATGTTCATAGGTTCAGGGTTGGATTACATTGTCAATAGGCTTTTGGGGCGCTTCGCGACCATCTTCTCTTTTAACTTTTATTTGTGGCTTTATCTGTGAGCATCTCCTCTTTTTTACAATATAAAAAATAACAAAAAAAATTGCGGATTTAATAATATTTTTTGGCGCATTTTTAAAATTTAACAAAATCAAAAAATTTTGGATACAAATTTTTGTAATTTTGAGCATCCATAAACCTTCCTGTGAAAATGTGGGCCCGATCGGTTCAGCCGTTTTAACGTTTATTGGATACAAACGGACAGACAGACAAACAAACAGAAAGAAAGACAAGCAAAGTATATTTTAAAGTTCAGGGTTGGATATATTGTCATGTTCAGGGTTGGATATATTGGCATGTTCAGGGTTGGACTAAGCTAAGAACATTCCCCAATCAAAATTTGAGGCAAATCGGTCCAGGGGTTCCTGAGTTATGATCGGACAAACAAACAAACAGAAATTACAACTTTACATGTGTTTATAGGTATTCACAGTTTGGAGGATATTTGGGGTTTAGAGAACAAGGTCTCAAGGATATCTGAAGTTATTTCTCAGGGTTGAGAATTCAAAAGAGGGGATGGGGTTGAACTCGAAGTTCCTATTCACGTGTGATCGAAATATGTCAGGACGGAGGGAGGTTTTCTAACCTCATATCCTGTCTCAGGGTTCTTCAAGGTCCTGATCTCTCCAGATATAAATGGACATTTCCTTCTCCTCGTCCATTCTTAATTTAATTCTGATTAATCTAGGTTATTTATTTAGTTTTATCTTATTTCCGTTCGATGTGTGTTTGTCTGTCAGCTGTTTGTCTGTGAACTACCCCAAGTACAATTTGTTCTGGATTCCGAGCAGTTCAAACCTTATCCGTGGGGTTAGGGGTACATTTACTAGAAGCTATTTCCTCAATAGGAAGCATAATATTTCCAATCCTCCCCCCCCCCTCCCTCAAACTAACTTAAACTTAAGAACTCCGTAGTCCGTATCCCCTTCTTAACTTTAACCCTGACTCTCATGTTAAATTGGCGAAACGCTTCTACAGATTTCAACTTACATTCTAAGATAGCAACTATAAACAGAGCAGGAAATCTCTCTCAATTCATGATATTTCAAGTTTCTCCGTCCATGCTCTTCATTTTTGCTTTATCTTCATCCCTGTTCTCTATCCTTGCTATATCTTCATCCCATCTCCTCGTCCTTACTTTATCTCCATCCCTGCTCTTCATTCTTCCTACATCTCCTTCCCACCTCTTCATGCTTCCTACATCTCCTTCCCAGCTCTTCATGCTTCCTACATCTCCATCCCTGCTCTTCATTCTATCTACATATCCATCTCTGTTCTCCATTCTTCCTACATCTCCTTCCCAGCTAGTCATGCTTACTTTATCTCCATCTCAGCTCTCCATTTTTCTTATATCTCCGAACCAGTTCTCCATTCTTAACATCATTAATCCATTTCAGTTCTCCATTCTTGCTCTATCTCCATTCCAGTTCTCCATCCTTCCTATATCTCCATCCCAGTTCTCCACCCTTCCTATATCTCCATCCCAGTTCTCCATCCTTCCTATATCTCCATCCCAGTCAAACTTGCTAAATCTCCATCCCAGTTATTCAACCTTGCTTTATATTCAACTCCATCCTTCCTATATCTCCATCCCAGTTCTCCACCCTTCCTATATCTCCATCCCAGTTCTCCATCCTTCCTATATCTCCATCCCAGTTCTCCATACTTCCTATATTTCCATCCCAGCTCTCCAAACTTGCTAAATCTCCATCCCAGTTATTCAACCTTGCTTTATATTCAACTTCATCCTTTCTTCATCTCCATCCCAGTTCTCCATTCTTGCTTTATCTCCATCCCAGCTCTCCATCATTGCTATATCTCCATCCCAGTTCTCTATGCTTTCTATATATCCATACCAGATCTCCATTCTTGCTATATTTCCATCCCACCACTTTATCCCTTTTTTATCTCCATCCCAGTTCTCCAACCTTGCTTTATCTCCATCCCGTTTCTATATCCTTGCTATATTGCTATATCTCCATCCCACCACTATATCACTCGTATACCTCCATTCTAGTTCTCTATGCATGCTCCATCTCCATCCCACCATTTTATCCCTCCAATACCCCCATTCTAGCTTTCTATGCTTGCTACATCTACATCCCACCACTATCCCTCCTATACCTCCATTCTAGCTTTCTATGCTTGCTACATCTCCATCCCACCACTATCCCTCCTATACCTCCATTTTCAGCTCTCTTTGCTTGCTAAATCTCCATCCAACCACTTTATTCCTCCTATACCTCCATTCTAGCTCTCTATGCTTGCTACATCTCCATCCCACCACCTCATCCCTCCTATACCTCCATTCCATCCTTCTAATATATTTATCTCTTATCTCCATCCTTTCTATATCTCACTCTCAGCTCTCTGTTCTTATATTTTCACTTCATCCTTCCTTCAACTCTCTCACACATCTCCATCTCAACTCTCTGTGCCATGAGAGAACTGAACCTGTGCTGAACCTGAACCAAGCTTTACAAATTAATCACTAGATCAGAACAATTTCCCATAGATAATTAATAAATTAAAAACTCTTTCAGGTATACAGGATAAAAGAGTAAAATTCATCCTTTCATTCCCCTTTCATCCCACCCCGAGGCAGCTTTATTCCCAAGCCAAGCTTCTCATGAAACCCTACCAGTCATCTCTATAATATTTATAATATAAACACACAGGCAGAATATTTAATGCTTTCACAGCTATTATACGGACGCCTGGGTTCGTGAAGCTATGTGTGCGTGTGTATGTGTATATGTGTGAGGGAAAGCAGGGGGGGGGAGCAAGGTTGGGGGAGCACCAGAGAGAGGAAGAGGGGGAAGCCGGGAATAGAAACCGTGCGCGCAGCGGCACCTGTGACTGTTGGTGTTCCCACGCCTAAACCTGGTAGATCTTTCACATATGGAGAGATGGAGACAGAGACACAGTAGCAGATTAGATTTACTCGGAGCAACAGCCCTTAGATATACACGGACGGAGCAACAGTTCTTAGATATACACGGAGCAACAGCTCTTAGATATACACGGAGCAACAGCCATCCTTACCAACAATTCGAAGCAAGAGCTGTCCTTTCCAGTCCTTTGATTTACACGAAGTGGGAACTGTCCTTACTGTTCATAGGATATACACGGGGTCACAGCCTTCCTTACCAGTCCTTGGATATTCAAGAACAGTCCGTTCAAGTTGTTGGTTATACCCGGAGCAGACATCTAATTTCGAACTAGATTGTGAAAAAACATGTTTACATAAACTCATCTTGGAGTTTCCGAGTTAAACCATAAAATTAGGATTTCTCTGAATCTTGTGATATTGTATTTAAATGTGTGAACAGGCACGACAGCTTCTGTAAACCTCCTCGTCACTCCTCCTTCTTGTACTCACAGTGATATTGTGAGAAAACATGAATTGGCAAAGTTCCTTCTCAGCATTCTCCCCCCGGGTTAGTTCTACCACCCTGGATACAGCTCTGTCATCATCAGATTCATCTCCGGAGCAGAAACCAGGCAATCTTCAAGGTTTTAATTCTGTATCTCCAGGTTCAGATTCAGATGTGCCTCTCTCCAGAACCCATCAGTATAAAAAGATCACAAAACCTCTCCTAGAACGAAAACGTAGAGCTCGAATAAATAAATGCCTGGACGAATTGAAAGATATAATGACAGTTGCTCTTCAGGCAGAAGGAGAAAATGTCTCAAAACTAGAGAAAGCGGACATTTTAGAACTTACAGTGAGACATTTACATAAACTATCTCAGAGCCGACGACTCATGGTTCGGAATCCATTGGAGGATTTACAGAAATTCCAGGCCGGATATTCATCCTGTGCTCAGGAAGCTGCAACCTTTCTTCTCTCTACTCCGGGAGTAGATGTGAGACTGAGTCAGAGACTTCTCTCTCATCTGTCCTCGACTGCAGGACCAGCAATGGCAGCAAACCTCTCACCCTTGTCCTTATCCGTCCCCTTGTCACATTCTCATCGTCATCCGTCTCCTCCATCATCTCCTGGAAACTATCAACGCCCTTCTCCGGGTCTACCTCATAAACCTGCCGAACCTGAACCTTCTACAGGACCCTTCACTCTCACACAAGGAACATTCACACTCTCTATTCGTAAAAAATCCCCGGAACCTCTCGGAGAACGAACCCAGAACGAAAAGTCCGTTCCAATCCGTCCTGCAGCTATCCGCCTGAATCCAACCAAACAGGAACCAATGGAACCAGTTTGGAGACCGTACTCTAGTACATAGAGTTGGTGTACTGTACAAGAGAAGACCCAGCCCGGTTTTATAAACGTATTGTGATCTCTGATGGCATTTTCGCTTTGTATAACAAATATAAGATTTAAATGAGTTATTAATAAAATAGAATAGACTATGTTTTTCTAGTTTTTATCGGAGAATAAGTTTAAGGAGAGAAAAAAAGCCGAATTTACTGAGGTATAACAGTTATGTAGATTTTACTGGTAGGCTATTATTTAATTACAATGAAGACAATTTTTTTTCTTAAGTTTTGATTTTTAAAAAGTTTTTTTTCGATCTACAAGTTTACAAGTCAGAGAAGATTTTTAAATTGACAGCTTCTCTTGATATTATGTTTATGTTTCCATGCTGTTTAACAGCTTGATAAAAATCAGAGTTGAAATTGAAAATCATCTTCATTGTATTGATGTAATCGCCTATCACTGTATAAAATGAAAGATTTGTTAAAAATGAATAATTGCAAAAAAATAGATTAAGAATCTATCTATCTATCTTTGTTTGCAATTACATGAACAGTTTGATACGGTTTGGATAATTTTTGGTCCGATCTGTAAAACGTATTTTATTATCTTTTAATTTATCTAATATCTATACACTGTTAGAAAAAAACTTCATTGAACTTGCCGACAACATTTTGATAGAAAAATAAGAAATTGTGAAATTTGTCTAACATTTTGTTAATATTTTCGAAGAACATGCTCGTAATTTTGAGATGTTTTATTAGTTCGATATTGCGAAGGAAATGTTAGTTTTTTTCTAACAGTTGATGCTACTTTATGAGTTATGATTTCTTTTAGAACCATCTTAGGTTTAAAGTCGTTAAAATTTTAATTTTGATTAGCTATATGAGACGTGATATGATATGAAATAAAACTCAATCTTCATCTGTAAGTGCGTTAAAAATATAAAGATTATTTATAGGAATTGCAGTTTTGGAAGGGAGAGGGGGGGGGGGGGTCCCACCTTTGACTGATAAAGCTGTCTCTTAAAAACACTGTTCTTTTTTATTGAATTTCTTTTTAAATCTCTAAATTTCGTAGTGCTAATTTACGCATTTTCTTTTTTTCAAATCAAAGTAAAAGTGATATTTTTTTCAGAGCCACCCTGTCCAGTGCTTCTTGGTTAGAAATTATCTTGTCTTGGTCTTGCTTGGTGTAGATTGTAGCACATTATTCTCCGAGTGTATATTTAAGTAGTAGTTGTTTTTATCACAAATCATTTGCTAAATATCGACTAAGAATCATTGATCAATGATCCTATCCATCTCTAATCTTCTATTTAAAAAAATTTGATGTCTTAAAAACTTTAATTTTCAGCGAAAAATACAGAGATATATTAAATCAAAAATTCGGGCAAAATAGTAAGTGAGAGAATACAAGAATAAAAACTAATTATACTGATTTCACTTTAGCTGTAACAATGACACATGTTTCTATGAATGTTGAAAGAGGTTTTATTCACCAGATTTTCCAGGTTTTCTAAGTTCTTTAGGTTCTCCAGGTTCTCCATATTCCCCAGAATTTCCCGAATCTCCAGGTATTCTAGATTTTCCAAAATCTCACGAGTCTCCAAGTTCTCCAGATTCTCCAGAATATCCAGGTTCTCTTGGTTTTCCTGGTTCTTCAGATTCTCCAGGTTCTCCGGGTTCTCCGGGTTCTCCGGGTTCTCCGGGTTCTCCCGGTTCTCCAGGTGTTCCAGATTCTCCAGGTTCTCCAGATTCTCCAAATTCTTCAGGTTCTCCAGATTCTTCTGGCTTTCCAGAATTTTCTGATTCTCCAGGTTCTCTAGAATCTCCTGATTCTCCAGGTTCTCACGGGAACTATCTCCGGGATAACACGGTTGAGCACGCGCCACTTCACTCGAGTGGAGAATCAACCAGAAAAACTGAAAGATTATTAGTCTAAAGACACGGATCCTTGCTTTCCGTGGAACTTATAATTTCATTTTCTCTTCTTTAACACACACCGTTATCTTTCTGATACAGTTCTCAACATTATCTGTCATTTCTAATCAGCGAGCTGTAGAGTGTAGGGTGTACCAATATACAAAATACAAACAATTTTAGTTTTTTAGCCAAGAAACGACCTACCTTGTTTGAAAACCTGAAATTTTTTTAAGATGACGAAACAGGTTCTTGTTCTTCATAATGAATCTAGTTCTTGTTTCTCATGATAAAACTAGATTTTGTTCTTTATAATGAAAACAGTTCTTTTTCTTCATGATATAAACTATTTCTTGTTCTTCCTGATAAAACTAGTTCTTGTTTTTCATTATATAAACCAGTTCTTGTTCTTTCTGATATAAACCAGTTCTTGTTCTTCTTGAGGAAACTAGTTCTTGTTCTTCCTGATGAAACTAGTTCTTGTTTTTTATGATATAAACCAGTTCTTGTTCTTCCTGATGAAACTAGTTCTTTTTCTTCATGATATAAACCAGTTCTTCTTCTTCAAGATATAAACCAGTTTTTGTTCTTCATGATGAAACTAGTACTTGTTCTTCATGATATAAACCAGCTCTTATTCTTTATGATATAAACCAGTTATTGTTCTTCATGATAAACCATATCTTGTTCTTCATAATATAAACTAGTTCTTGTTCTTCATGATATAAACCAGTTCTTGTTGTTACATGAGGAAACTAGTTCTTATTCTTCATTATATTAACCAGATACTGTTTATGATATAAACTAGTTCTTTTTCTTCATGATATAAACCTATTTTTGTTCTTCATGATATAACCAGTTCTTGTTCTTCATGATATAAACCTGTTTTTGTTCTTCATGATATAACCAGTTCTTGTTTTTCATTATATAAACCAGTTCTTGTTGTTACATGATGAAACTGTTCTCTCGTTGTGAATGACGAACCCTGATTCTTTTTCCTTCCAGTTCTCTGAATCTCTTGTCCAGGGTTCAAATCCAAGATTGATTCTGGGACCTGATGGTTTCAATCAATGAATGGCTGACTAATCTATTTCCATGGATTCTGCTACTTCAAAACCCGCGAGGAGAGATAAAAATACGCAATATTGGATTTTTCAAATTTGGTAATTTTCACTGTATTAGATATAAGTTGTAATTACAGATAAAAAGAAACACGGAGAGTGAGGTGGTATCTGGATCTGGGAATCCACAGGTTGATTTTATCAGATAAATAATCTGGATCTGGGAACATAGGATACGTTGGTATATCAGCTTAGGATACAGTGAATAGATTAGCATAGGATACATTGGTATATCAGCTAAGGATACAATGAATAGATGCGCATAGGATACATTGGTATATCAGCTTAGGATACAATGAATATATAAGCATAGGATACAATTTAGCCTAGAAAACAGAGAGTTCTTTATCCAGCGTGAAACATTAGTTTTAAATCGTTCTCCACCTGAATGAAGGAACCCAAGATTTGGTTTGTCCTCCCGCCATAAATGATCCATGATGATCCATTCATTTCTTGTTTACTCCGGGCTTGCTTTTAGCACAGGGATATCTTGAACCAATGCTTTTCTATGGCTTTGTGTTGTATATTGAGAAGTATTATTGATGTAGGTTTACAGACAGCCCTGATAAACATGAAAGGAAAATATAAAAAGTCGTCTTTATTCGACGCGGTATTTAATGGTAAGTTGAATTTATCTAGTTATCTTCACATTTCCAAAATGTGAGCGATTTTTAATATTTAATCTTTAAATTGAACTTTAATTTTGTTTAATTAATAAATCGGAATCTTAAATATATGAATAAATAAATGAAAGAAAACAATCTCTGATTATCTTTTTTTGCATTCCTGTGTTCTTTAAAATCCTTATACAATAAATACTGGACAAATCTCAAACCAGATAAAGTAAAATGGCCTAAATAATACGGGAGGGGTCGGGGGGGGGGGGAATGCGTACAATAATGCGTCTTAATGCGAGAAAATATTGATCTGGAAGATTTCTTACATTGGACAGAAGACACAAATAAAATGCGGGAAAGATGAGAAAGAAAAAGAGGATTTAAACACTCGAGAATCCCATGAAGAACGTATGAATAATGTATATAAATAATCCCACTTTCTTCAATGCTATATAAGACTATAAAATAGTTTTCCTAGATTAATAGAGAATTTAAAATTGATATTACATATTAGGGATGGCAAAATATAGCAGAAGGCGGAGAGGAGGTTGATTTCTCTGGGTCATGATACCTACTAGGGTTTGAACCGTGCGGAATTCATGTAATCCTGATCCGATATGGTTCAAGACCTTCTCAAGGGTAGATACTAGGTCAATGGAGGGGTTTTCAGGGTTTACGGAGACTTTCTCAGGTTGATCGAGCACATATGGTTTTCTGCCATTTTCTTTGTCGAAAATTTTTGTAAAAATTTGAAATAATTCCTTCAAATTCCACGTATTGGATACGTTTAACAATAGTTTATTTAAGGATTAGGTTTAGGTTTGTTGGTTCTCAGCTCCAGGTTTGGTTCTCAGTAGGACCTGGAGAGTTGGGTCAGTTCTAGATCTAAATCCTATCAGTTGAGGGGAGAGAACAAAGGTTGAGTCGTGATGGGACCATTAGTCTTTATATTTCTTATCCCTGGATGCCTAGGGGAGCTGTTTGTCTCTCCTCCAATCTTCTCAGGGTATGTATCTCTATTGTAAAGGTTTCTCAAAGGGACTGTAAGCGTAATTTTAATTAACTCTCCATGTAAAGATGGAAATTCCCGATTTACAATGGTACCCTTTAAGAATTATTTATCCATGTTTATGATTTTTTTAAATTGCGCATTTCTACTGCAGGACAATCATGAAGAAGTAAACAGAGTTAAACACTTTTTAAGCTGGAAAACGAAGTTGTCTTTCACATTATTGATCAGATAAAGGTTTAAAGGGTATTCCGTTTTTAAATGGAAAGTCACCTGAAATCACTCCTACTGTTCCTTTAACTCTATATGCTTGAAAATACTGTTACCAGAAATATCTCAATTAATATTAATATATAAAATTTTCCTACTTCGCTTCAACATTGTTATTTAAACAATACTGAACAAATATTAGAATAGATATTAGATATGCTTCAACAAATTGAAGAGAAATCTGTGTTTAATGATGATTTATTTATCTCTTTGATGTTTGAAGGACAACAAGAGCAAGATTGAAAATATCTATCTTTGATGTGATACTTGGGTAAATCAGCTTAGGATACAATGAATATATAAGCATAGGATACATTGGTATATCAGCTTAGGATACAATGAATATATAAGCATAGGATACATTGGTATATCAGCTAAGGATACAATGAATATATGCGCATAGGATACATTGGTATATCAGCTTAGGATACAATGAATAGATAAGCATAGGATACAGTGAATAGATGAGCATAGGATACGTTGGTATATCAGCTTAGGATACAGTGAATATATCAGCATAGGATACATGAGTATATCAGCTTAGGATACAGTGAATATAAGCAAAGGATACTTGGGTATATCAGCTTAGGATACAGTGAATAAATAAGCATAGGATACAGTGAATAGATTAGCATAGGATACGTTGGTATATCAGCTTAGGATACAGTGAATAGATAAGCATAGGATACTTGGGTATATCAGTTTAGGATACAGGGAATAAATAAGCATAGGACACTTGGGTATAGCAGCTAAGGATACAGTGAATAGATATGTATAGGATACATGGGTATATCAGCTTAGGATACAGTGAATAAGTAAGCATAGGATACAGTGAATATATAAGCATAGGATACTTTGGTATATCAGCTTAGGTTACAATAAATATATAAGCATAGGATACAATTTAGCCTAGAAAACAGAGAGTTCTTAATACAACCAATAGCATGATGAAGAAAATAAACGCTTGATACAAACTCTAATTTTCTATTCTGTTTATCTTTGAAATCTGATAGTGTTAACCTTTAATATTTTAAACTTAGACCATTGATTCTAATTCATAGTTTTAAATATTAAAGGTAAACAAGAGGCTAGAAAGATGAAGGGATTAGAAAATTAGAGTTTGTAACAAAGACTCGAGATTTCTTTATAAAAGAATTTTATGTAATGCAAGTAAGCATTTGATATCTATGGAGCAAAGGATACAAACAAATTGGATACTTACACAAGTCTATCAAAGGGATAAAGAGATAATTGGATATATAAGTTGGGGATACCGTAATACATGAAATAACATGGATACATAAAATATACTTATACTTAGATACATGAAATACACATATAGTGGTACATGGATACAAGAAATACACAGAAACATTAAAAACAGTGATACATGAAATACAGTGAGACATGGATACAAGATATGCATGGATACAAAAACTAACAACTTACTATTTTCCACATTGATCCATGACGTGAGACGCGAAACTAAAGTTATAATTGTGAGAACTAAGTTTAGTTTTATATCCCAGTATTCCACACCTGTTCTACATTCCATCCATCCTACCCTTGCTTCCTTCTCATCCTATCCTTCCTACCTTCTACATTCCATCCATCCTACCCTTGCTTCCTTCTCATCCTATCCTTCCTACCTGTTCTACATTCCATCCATCCTACCCTTGCTTCCTTCTCATCCTATCCTTCCTACCTATTCTACATTCCATAATCTTATCCTTTCTTCCTTCTCATCATATCCTTCCTACCTGATCTACATTCCTACTCATCTAACACTTCCTTCCTTCCCATCCTAATCTTCCTTCCTTTTCATACTACCCTTGCTTCTATTTCATCCTACCCTTCCTCTCTTCTCATCCAACCCTGCTAACCTCCTGTCCTTCACATCATATTCCTAACATTCCTTCCTTCTAATCCTTACCTTCCTCCCTTCTCATCATATCCTTCCTAATCTCCTGTCCTTCCCATCATAACCTTCCTTCCCTTTTATCCTAACCTTCCTTCCTACACTTTTCTACAAGATATCCTTCCTTCCCGAACAATATCAGTCCAGATTGTTTTCTGAACAAATCTTATCTTTTTCTTGTTTACGTAAATACAGAGATATCATCATTTTTTCTTCTTATCATTGTTAATATTGTTGACGTGTAGTAGTGTGTGGAAAATATCAGTTTTCTTCAACAAGCTGAAGATGCAGGGACTAAACCTTCTCCTGGTCCTAGCCATAGCACTGGGCGTGTCTGCCAACTGTCCTGGAAACATGGAGAATATTCACGGAAAGTGTTATATGTTCGGTAGGGAAGTTTTTATAACATTTAAAAGATAATTATAAATAACCCATAAAATTAATGAAGAAATTTTTTTTATCATAATTTTTTAATAAATCTAACATAATCATATTCATTTTTTATCCAATTCTTAGTTATTTCTAACATAATTCTAGCCATGATGATTTTTCTAGACTCTGCTAGTTCAAGAGAAGACGCTAAAGCTAAGTGTGAAGCTGAGGCTCCAGGAAACCATCTCTGGTTGATCAATGATCAGCAAGAGATGGAAAATATTCTGGAGTGGTTCACAAAGTAAGAAATAGTCTTTTTAAGGGAGTGGTCGCACAAAATGAAATTAGATTATGAATCCCGAGTTGAAAACCCTGAATCCCGAGTTGAAAACCCTTAATCCCGAGTTGAAAACCCTTAATCCCGAGTTGAAAACCCTTAATCCCGAGTTGAAAACCCTTAATCCCGCCAAGCCAAATTTCTTGAGCCACTGTGGACACTTTTCTTCTTGATCCTCTCTTTTGAATATTTCATTGATTGCGCACCAAAATTTCTAAATTTCTCGAGTTCTGATTGACTTTTCTGCTTCTTCAATCGACACTCTGATTGGTTGCATTTTTGACACAGATCTGGATTTTAACGTAAGATTAAATTAATCTTAAGTTTAATGAAAGAGGAGATCAAGCATTTATCACAATATCCACAATTCTAACGTTTTCACTTCTGATTGCTTTTTTTTCTATCAGATGCGTCATAAAAGAAAATGAGAAAAAATTTAAAGGAAAATTATGCAAAATATAGCCCCTGTTATTTTTGATAATTCTCAACTAAATATGATTTATCTAGTTTGCTTTTTTCCTTAGATCTCAATTTTATCGAAAATTTGAGAGATATTAATTTATAAGTGAGAAAGACATAGTTCAACTGGATATCGATGTAGTTTAACTAACCATGTAGTTCAGCAACTTATTGGCTTCGGACAAAAACAGACTATTTGACCTTCTATTGGATCTTGAGGCTTTTGAGAAATTAAAAACTTGAACTGGAGGCTTAATCCGATTAAAATTAAACCGCCTTCATAAATATTGAACTCAGGAAGAATGAGGGAAAGCTGATTAAACCTTGGGCCTGGACTGACGGGATTAAAAAACCTCACACCGATGATATCTGGATCTGGGAATCCACAGGTTGATTTTATCAGATAAATAATCTGGATCTGGGAATCCACAGGTTGATTTTATCAGATAAATAATCTGGATCTGGGAATCCACAGGTTGATTTTATAAGATAAATAATCTGGATTTGGGAACCCTCAGGTTGATTTTATGAGATAAATAATCTGGATCTGGGAATCCTCAGGTTGATTTTATCAGATAAATACAAATATTGTTTCATTTAAAAAAAAAAAAAAATTTGAATAGAAGCTTTTATTTTAAACTTGAAGATTTTCTATCAAACCTTTCAAGATGTCGAGATTTTTTCAAATATTCTAATTAGTTTTTAATTTTGAGATTATTAAGAAACTTTGAACGTTTATTAGAATCTTAATGGTTTACTTTCACTTTAAATAATTATTGATCTATCAGGAGCAAGGATCAATTTTAATGAATTATTGATCTATCAGGAGCAAGGATCAATTTTAATGAATTATTGATCTATCAGGAGCAAGGATCAATCATGTACCTGATGGTGCTGAAGGACAAATCTGTGACGGACAATGTGTCAGTCCTGACTGTGGAACTGCTACCAGTAAGTAATTAATTGATTAATCAGATCATTGATCAATTCATTGATTTATTCATTGATAGATTCATTGATTCATTGATTTATTCATTGATAAATTCATTGATTTATTCATTGATAAATTCATTGATTTATTCATTGATAAACTCATCGATTTATTCATTGATAAATTCATTGATTTATTCATTGATGAATTAATTGATTTATTCATTGATAAATTCATTGATTTTTTCAATGATAAATTCATTGATTAATTCATTGATAAATTCATTGATTAATTAATGAAAAATTACTGAAAGGAAGAAAGAATAACTGAAAGGAAGAAAGGATGAAAGGAAGAAAGAATGACTGAAAGGAAGAAAGGATGAAAGGAAGAAAGAATAACTGAAAGGAAGAAAGAATGACTGAAAGGAAGAAAGAATGAATGAAAGGAAGAAAGGATATATTTTAGAAAGAATTAATAAAAGGATGAATAAAAGGATGTACATAAAATATATAGTGGGAGACTGTGTAACCTTGAGCGTGAATGACCTGGGAGCCCGGAGCTACCAGGGTTGTGCCTGTGACGAGGACGGAGATATCATGTTCGTCTGCGAATCTCCGGATGAGGTGGATTGGGAATGTCCGGAGGAGAACGGATTCTTTCCTTCAGCTCCCTGCTCAGACCTTTGGTATAACTGCTGGGAAGGTAATGATGATAATAATAATAATAATAATAATAATAATAATAATAATAATAACTATAATAATAACAACAATAATAATAATAATTATAATATTTAGGGCATGCTACCCCTGAATATTGTGATGAAGGAATAGTATTTAACCCTGAAGTCCAGTATTGTGACTTCCCCGGAAATGTAGATGGCTGCTAAACTTTAAGATTTAAATTGGTTAATTATTTAAATAAAAATCAATTAATTTTAGTAAAAATGATTTCTTTACATGAGAGGATAAAAATATAGATTATTTAGAATTGTTCCTATTTGAAAATATGTACGTTCCAATTTTGTGAGCCTCCATGCAAAAATGGCATATTGCCCGATTTACAATTGTACCCTTGAAACCTTTCATAGATCAATAATATGTAAGATAATGTCGTTTTTATAGGTTTAAAAGTCTGATATATCGTATATGTTTTTTGTAGTATAGAAATGCGCAAGTCGCTTTTGAAGAGAAACCACAATTTAAAATAATCAATTTTTGAAATTATAAACCTTCATATCTAATTCATACTTAGTCAGACAAAGTCTGAAGGGTATCGTTGTGAATCGGGCAGTGCTATCTTTACATGGAATGTCACTTGAAATTACGCTTATAGTCCCTTTAAAAATGTCTTTGAGGTACAGAATTATCAATGTAAATCAGAAAACCCGGGTTTTCTGGAGAATTTCATGGATTTTCCGAATATTTTCCGTGCTGTAATGATAAAAAGGTTGTTATCCTAGAATTCTGTAATCATACATCTTTAATCTTAATCAAAAGTAAGCAAAAAAATTCATTAAAAAACCTGTCAATTTCTGGGCCGAGCGCCGCGACCAGGACAGACTTCGTTATCGAGCGCTGTCGTCACATGAATTATTAATAGTGATATATATTGTTAACGACTTGGATTAAAATAGTAAATATGAATACAATAAAGGGGGAGGGAGCACCAATTCTTTTTTCGGAACGACTGAAAACTGAAACTCAGTCGTCTAGTAGCAATCATACACTGTTTAAATATTACCCATTTGGGAACATTAAATCTGTTTTATACTTCAAGAACACGTTTTCTCCTTCTCAATAGTTTAGACTTTTAAACATTAAGACGCGTCTGGAGAGCTGGGAAGTTTAAAAAGTGTAGTCTGGAGAACTGTTAACTGATTTATTAATGACAATATTTATGATAAATTATAAACAGAGGATATAAAAATATTTAAAATTTATTTTATTCAATGGTTTATCCCCCTTTTCTTTCTTATATTCACATATGATATAGTTTAGGACGGGTATAGGATATTAGTGTAGTTCTGACAAAGGATAAGAAAGGTTTTATTAGGGTTGGATCACGCGGTGTCTTTCTCCCACCCCCCAATAAACTTTAATCTCAAATAATGCTTACTGTCCGGTAACCTTCTGCGAAAAAAATATATCCAAGTCCCCCTGACTTTGTAAAAACAGTTTTAGGCTATCTAAGCTTTCTTCCAGAAAATTTGATTTTAAAATCCCTATATCTTTACAATACAATGTCTATTGGCGTCAGATATGTCAAATTATGAATTCTGTTAGATCAAATTATCTAAGTTTGAAGTATTAAAGGTTTATAACATCAGGTTGAATATATAAAGGAATTTGTAGCAAATTATTTTGAAAGAAATAGAATAACTATATCATGACATGTTAGCATTGAGTAAAATAAATCCGTTTTGACGAAATCAGGAACTACAGGAGCTCAGAAATTTTGAAGGATTTGAATCTATTCAGCTTTAGAAGTTTCTTATGCCTTTTGCATCATTAAAATTGGTTTGATTTAGATGAATTTGACTAATTGGAATCTATAACTGTCAAGCTAAAAATCTGGCCCAATAAGATTAATTTATATGACAAAAATACATTGCATTCATTTGTCTGAGTTTAGTGTGTAAGCTAAGATAAAGTTGAATTTGATATGGGTTACCAGATATATTCTGTAGAATTGTGACTACTTCTAATCGTTTTTGGTCCACGAAACATTAATTGAAAAAAAAACATAAAAGTAGCATATCAATATACTTCCAAAGTATGGTCTGTCATTTTTATACCTTAAAATTGCCGGAGATATTATGAAGTTTGGTCAGATTTAATTAAACCATTTCTACTAGTTCAAGTAGGTGGGTTGAAGTAGGTTTAATGGCTAGGTGTGGATATAACTAGTAAGAAGTGGAATGAAATTTGTCGTGTGTTTATTAGATATATACAGCTTATAGATGATTTTTGGTAGTAAGAAGTAGGTACATTAGTTCATAGATAAATGGAATAGGTAGGTATATAAGTAGATATAAGTAGTAGTATGAAGTTAGGTAGGTAGTTAAATAATTAGTTAGGCATTTATGCTATAGTTAGTTAGGTAGTTTAGGTAGGTAGGTACTGAGGTAGGTATGTAGGTAGGTAGGTAGGTATGTAGGTTGTAGGTTTCAGTTCTTCCTACTTCAATAATTCGTTCTTCTCCAGCTAAACTAGTCATACAGGATAGACGCTTAACAAGACCGAACCCTATTAGATTAAAAATGATGGCGTGAGAAAGTGTGGGGAAGCTAAGATTGGGATTGAATGGGCGAATGTATGAGTTTGCCTCAGGATACATTCCTCTAGCTCTATGGGAACCCGGAGAGAGAGAGAGAGCTAGGATGGAGAGGGAGGAAGGTGAGACGAGGTTAGATCGTGGAAACCGCTCTCAGGGCAAATTATGTGGTCAGGGGGGTCAGCTACTTGATCATTAGAAGAAGTATCTAGGTCTATGGTCAGGGCACGGGATCAAGTTCTCCTTATTACTCCCTCCACTGCATCCAGATCAGATAAGAAGAGATTCTTTTATACCTTATTAAATCCTGACTAATCTTTAACCTTGCTTTTAATCATTTTGAAGTAAGAACACGGAGCAGTAGATTACAACAATTTATTTATTAATTTACAGTAGAATAAACAACTATCACAGGAGGAGTATAATATAAGATATTTCAAACTAATCGAAAAAATAGGAATTATCTGAAATAGATTCGAGGCTTTCTGTAGGTTTATTTCCTTGGTCTCCCAGATACAGAACGCAAGGGGGCAGTGAGTTTACGCGTTTATGGGACTTTTGTATCCAAGATTCAATCCGTCTTGCTGCTCTTCTATCTACAGCCAGACCCGGAGTGGACAGAAACCTTGAAACCTCAGAAGCACAGGCGGAGAATCCGCTCCTAAACCTGTGAGAATACGTAACACTCGGAGTAAGAACTAGAGAATCTGAATTCTTGAGTTTGTTCAAATAGTTTACAGTAACCTCCAATATATCAGCTTTCTCCAGTTTGCTGGAGTTCTCTCCATCCTCATCCTCCATTATACTCTTCATTAGTTCCTTCAACTCATCTAAGCACTCGGAGATTCGTCCCTTCCTATCCTCACTGGTCGGAACATACATCCTGAAGGTCTCTAGGTCTGATCAGTATTGGAGTTGTATCCTGACTGAGTTCCCAACAACAAGTGGGAGGGGTTGGAACATCAGAATGGAATGTTACTCACACGCTAATGCTAATTTTAAATTTATAAAACTCTCCCACGGGTTGCGGGGGGCAGATGCACTCTGCACAGAGCTTCCCTTGCTTCCTACCCCTCCCACTACCCTGAGCTAAACCCTGGGCCAAACCTGAACCCTGGATATAAACTATAATTAAATAAAACAAGGACTGATCGGCTCCGGTAAAATATTTAAACAAAATCTATTCATAGTCTGGAATACTGGTGAAAAGAATTAAAATCTTTTCAGTTCTGAAAAAGGGTTTAAATACTGATTTTGAAAAAAACTCTAATATATTTTAAATTATGCGTTTTCTCACTATTTTCATAATTTTTTTCTGTCTTTAATGAAGACATTATTTTTGTTGGGAAAATCAGTTAAAATGTTTAAATTAAAAAATACTAATGCTGCGAACAAAATAATTGCAGATATTACGATGTTACAAAATAAAAAGTTGATGGAAATACTAGTCTTATTCTAGAAACCCTTAAAAGAAAAATAACATAGACTAAATATTGCTCGTGTTAACCTTGGTTTCTGACGGGGTTTTCCCAATCCTCTAACATTTTAAACCGCTCATTTGATTACTAGACAACCATATCTGATCAGGATTTACATGGACAAAATACTTGGCTTCTCCGAACCCAGCTCATTCTCACACCTCCACTACTAAGACGTATACCCTGAGAACCTGAAATCCTAGATACCGCCTCCAATCTAGATCCCCGCCCCAAATTCTATTGTATAAAACTGTAGGCGGTTCTACAGAAAATCTGCGCTAATTTTGACATTATATATATTGAGAAGCTTTTTCACCCTTTGTATGTATAAACCTTTTTCAATCTACTTTAATTCCAAAAATGGGCTTAAAAATTAAAAAAAGCCATGAGTCTTTCTCCTTCATGCTTTTGATCAAATAAATCTAAATTTTGTGTAAGAAATATTTCATAATTTTGTAGGTTTCTTATTGATTATATTGTTGTTTATTTTCTGCTACTTTTTCTTTTTTACAATATGTATTACAACAATTTGAACCGAGACGTGGAATTTTAGCGACAAAACCCCAAAAATCCCTACTTTGTCTGAGTTCCGAGCCGTATCGAATCTCCGCGCTGTAACTTGGATTTTTCTGAATTTGTTTGAACAAGGTTTACAGAGCCGGGGCCGAGTCAAAGCAACACAGAAACTATATAATCTCAATACATCTTTACACATTGATTGATTTGTTGCTTACAAGTCATGTAATGCAAGCTCGTCAATCTGGAGAGGGATTAAAGTTTTGTTTGTAAATGTTTAGCTGCTCAGGGTTCAAGTCGTATCAGGGCACCAGGGACAAAGTTCGGGTTTGGGAATAAAAATGTAGCAGGTTTTTACTTCTGTACAGGGGGACCCATCAGATTTGGGAACAGGAATACGATATTTAAACAATATCTTGTGGATTTGATGTTATTTTAAAGAAAATAATTTTACTATATAGATTGAAAATCAGCTTTAAAAGTTCTTCCACAACTCTTTTTTGCTATATTTCTTTGTTCTGTGAAACGTTTTAAAAATGGCTATATAACTTGTTTATTTGCCTGTTAATGTTAACAATTCCAACTTATTTATTATTAAATGCATTTAATCATTAATTCAAAATATATTAATGAAACCCACAGTTAAATATAATTAATTCTCCGAACAATTCTGGTTCTAAAAAGCCGGGAAAATTAGTTAGAAAGTTTTGGATCCAACTAATTGAGCGCGGCATTGCTTTGTTTATACCTCTCAGCTCCCCGTGTGAGAGCTGGCCTTTATGAGACCTCCGGTAGGTTAAAACACAATTGGATTAATTAGCCCCGAGCACATATGCAGGATAGGTAAAATAGTGGTCTCCCATACAACTATGGAAACCAACGACGACTTTTAGACTAAATACTTTTAAAAAGTCCAATAAACATAACATATATACGCTACTATTTTGTTCATAACTGAATCAGATTCAGTTAAAAAATTGCTTAAATGTCGTCTTCCTACTGCACAAAGGACGAGAGTCTAGAGACGACTCTATTGATTTTCTAAAATTGGACTTGGACGTAATTTGCATTGATAACCTTTAAACAGTAAGAAAGATATCGGCGTTTCTCCGTCTGGAAATGTGTTGAACCGAAAACTGCAATAAATTTTTAGATAGAAAAAGAGGAATAACTCCTTCATTTTACAAAAGTTTAGAGGGTTCCTTTGTGGATCGGACATGCCATCCTATAAAATAAGGTCACTTGAAGTTGATACTTTAATAGTTCCTTAGATTATATTGTCGAATATATGTGGCTGTATACAAGAAATATGACATAAGTTTATGGCATTTACCTTGAGATGGTGGTTATTATTATGGTGAATATTTGCAAATTATCTTTTTTCCATCTCATGATCAGAGTTCGTTTCCCTTTTCTCCAATTGACAGACTAATTTTTTTAAATAATCTTTTTTGTTTGTTTATTTTCTTGTGGTTTTAACATTCTTTTTATCAATTTTGATGGTTATTATATCGTTAGCACTGACGAGGATACTCAGACCGAAATATTTTCAATAAATGTGGAACTAACATCTTTACTCTACAGAGGTTTGGTCCATCACCCTCACGAATTTTAATATTTGAGGGTGTCCCTGTTTTCAACTGAATAAAAACCACGTTCTTAATAATATATTGAAAAAAATAATAATGAAAAAGAACCTAAAACTATCTGGAAAAAAATAAACAAATATCGAAACCACGCAACCTCGTCGGAATATCCAAATTATGGAGAGTTTTATTAAAATCATAATATCATTCAAATTCTAATTTAAAACAACCCCATAATGAATACAGGAAGGGTGTATGGATTAGGCGCGTGCAAATACAGTTTGAAATTTTGATGCAAAAATATGAAATCTATGAATTTGCAACAAAGCATCAGGGGTTTGCGTGTTGTAATAGTTGGACCCATGAGAGGCAACTTCGAGTTAATGGCGATAAAGCATGGGTGGAAGTGGGGGGGGGGATCTTACAGGAATATTCTGTTTATTTTTGACCTTTTGTTCAATTTGCCTTAACTTAATATTTCGATATTTCCAAGACGTAGAAATAGGGAGAGAGAGCTGTGATTGGCTCCGACCTTTGATGGCGGGATCATCAGTAGGTACAGGCTCTCTCTCCGTCCCGACTCTCTGCTTCAGTTTCATTCACTGCTCAGTTACTACCAAACCCGTCCCGAGTAAGGTTGCAAAGATGTCTCCAACATTGGAAACTATTAGCTATAGTTCTGAAGAAACTATGTCAAGAACGTATCAATATAGAAAGATTGTAAAGCCTCTCCTAGAGAGAAAGAGAAGAGCACGGATTAATGCCTGTCTTGATGAACTCAAGGATCTCATGGTGTTCGCTCTGCAGACAGAGGGAGAAAGCATCTCCAAGCTGGAGAAAGCTGACGTGTTGGAGTTGACTGTGAGACACTTGAGGAAGCTGAAGAGACAGCAGATGTTGGCCTTGAACCCTGGACTTGATCTGGATAGATTCCATGCAGGATATACTGCCTGTGCTACTGAAGTAAGCAAATGTCTTGCTTCTACCGGAGTAGATATTACAGTTGGATCTCGTCTTATGTCTCATCTTGGTCATAAACTAAACACAATAGAAACCTCAAGAGTTTCTCCTTTGAGAGTAAGAGTTCCATCCTCTCCCTCATCAGACTGTGGATACTCTTCAGGAAGAGATTCATCTCCTTCTCCGAGCAGTATTATTTCTCCTACTCCCCTACCTACACAGATCATCAAGACCGAACCTCACAGCCCTGTCTGGAGACCATTTTAAACCTGAATCTATTTATTGAACCCGTATCTGTGATAATTTAAAGAATTTAAAGTGCCTTCAATATATTTGTCTCATAACACTTTTATTGTTTTAATCAAGCGATTAGAATAGAGGATAATTAGATAGAATAGAAATATTTAGAATAGAGAATAATTAGCTAGAACATGAATAATTAGAATAGAGAGTAATTAGATAGAATAGAAATAGTTAGAATAGAGAATAATTAGATAGAATATGAATAGTTAGAATAGAGAGTAATAAGATAGAATAGAAATAGTTAGAATAGAGAATAATTAGATAGAATAGAAGTAGTTAGAATAGAGAATAATTAAACAGAACAGAAATAGTTAGAATAGAGAATAATTAGACAGAATAGAAATAATTAGAATAGAGAATAATTAGATGGAATAGAAATAGTTAGATTAGAGAATAATTAGATAGAAAAGAAATAGTTAGAATAGAGAGTAATTAGACAGAATAGGAATAGTTATAATAGAGAATTATTAGATAGAATAGGAATAGTTAGATTAGAGATTAATTAGCTAGAGTAGGAATAGTTAGAATAGAGAGTAATTAGATAGAGTAGAAATAGCTAGAAACAAGAATAATTCGATAGAATAGGAATAGTTAGAATAGAGAGTAATAAGATAGAATAGAAATAGTTAGAATAGAGAGTAATAAGTAGAATAGAAATAGTTAGAATAGAGAATAATTAGATAGAATAGAAATAGTTAGAATAGAGAGTAAT